ACTTTTGATAGGTATAATGACTAACAAAAATGAATACGAAAAGTTAATGAAAAAAGGTACCTATTATCATACTAGAGATCCGGATCACGAATCTGAATATATCACGCTACTGAATTCACTCGTTGGCAAAATTATGTCGTGCAAAGTAAAGCTATCTTACCTTCTTTATGTTTTCTAGTGTTTTCCATGTACTGGCAAAGATTTTCTGTAACAACACGTGTTAATTCATATTTCTTTTCTAATATGTCAATAACACCAGTACGATTCTGTGGACCGGGCATGCGTGGAATGTTTTGTGCAAAAACACCTTCATGGAATTGCATACATATTTCTTTTAATTGTTTTAATGAAATAATAACATGACCACGATCATGTTTAACTTCATCCATAAATTTATCAAGCCATAATAATTTTGTTTTTTCTTTTTCTTGTAAACAGCTATAATCGAGAATTTTCAAATGTGCTGTTAATGCTTGATCAATGATTTCATTGGGTAAATGTTGATCATGTGCGATATTCCACAATAGTTCAAGAACTTTATTAGCCATTAAACCTTCTTTATCATCTTCGGCTAATCGACGAATTAATTCAAGTAGCTTTTCTTGCTGTTTTTTACTTGCTTTCGTCCAACTTTCCTATAAAGAAACCAAGCTCACAATAAATAAATAAAAAGAAACTTCTAGTTGTTGTATTTCCATACTCGAAAGCAATCAAATAAATGTTCAAGTTGTTCCGGCGAAAAATCCCATGCTAATTTTGCAAGTAAATCATGAACATTTTTCTCAATAGCTTCATGTTTTCCATAGGATGAATTCCATATTTTATCTAAATCTGTTCGACTTAATGCTTGTTCTTTGATAATAAAACGAAGAATTTTTTCTAGTTTTTCAACATATTGTGGTTGATGTAAACAATCACGTAAAACAATATCAAGTACTTGATTTTCTTGTATCCATTGCTAGAGAGAGAGAGAGAGAGAGAAAGAAAACGGAAATCAAACAATTCTTAAATTTGACTTTTCTTACAATTAATCTTTCAGCTGTTAAACTTTCAGGTTCGTCAGATCGATTTATAGGTGAACGTTGGATTGTATTAAGACTCATAATTAATTTATTGACTTCATTGAGAGCATTCATTTTACCACTGAATGAATTGGTTTTGAGAATTCTAGAATAAATAATTTTATTTTTTCAATAGAATTTGTTTCCAATAGAACCATGGATTTACCTTAGAATCATTTTAAGTCTGAGTGCATCTAAATTTCGACATTCTTTTTCATTGTCTGGTATACGTGAAGCTAAATAACGTAACCATCTAATAACTGTTGATAATGTATCACTTTTTGGTTCAGTTTTTGTTTCCACTTTCAAATCACTTTCTGTTAATTGATCAAGAAATTGTGGAACAAATTCCTAGAAAAGAGAATTTTATTTTTCAAAAAAGTTTTCATATCAATAAATACTCACAATAATTTGTGCAAAATACTTTTTCACCATTGCTTGTGTTAAATATTCATAACAGAGGCCCCAAGGTTTCAGTAATGCAACAACAACCGAGATTGCTAATTTTGTATCCGATGATAGAAATCGAGTTAAAATTTTATCAAATCCACCTAAATCACCGAATCGATTTATAAAATCAATTAACCAACCCTATCAAATAATAAAAATGTTTTTATTTTTATTTTTCCAAATTACAAGTTTTCTCACTCGTTGTGGTAAACGATATTCATTTGATGATGTAAATACTTCCTTATCAGCTTCTAATTGGAAATCACTTAAACGACTATGATTTGATTGATGATATCTATAAATAGAAAATAAAGTTATGACAATTAATTCAATTTAAAATACAGGAATTTTACCGGCAAGAAGGATTCATCACTAGACCAAGAATTTCAAGTAATGGTAAACAATCATCTTCTATTTTCAATACACATAATTCAAGAAAAATCATACAATTTTGATAAATATATTTCTAAAAGAAAAATCAATGGTTAGTTTTTATTTTGAAACTGTAGTTTTGTTTCTACATACAAATATTTCATGTTTCCAAGTTTGTACAGCTTCATCACATAGAATTTTAGTAAAAGAATTTACAAGACTATCTCGAATAAATCGCTGACATAAATCACTTTTTGTATCTAATTCTAAAAAAAAGCATAACGAATAGTTAATTATTTTCATTTCACAGCTATATTTACTGTGCGTAGCAAGTCGAACAGCAGCTCGTAAACATTTAATTAATTCACCGTCAGGTAACACTGGTACAACCCATCTTGTTTGATTTAATTGTTCTTCAAGTTTAATCAAATCATTTAATGGAAATTTTATTTGACCATTTTCATCATAAATACTATTATCATCCATGGGTATTGATGATTGGTCATCAGCAGCAGCATCTTCAGATGCTGGTTCATTCTCTTGAATGGTTGAAGTAATATAATCAGGTGGTAACTGCTGCTGCTGTTGTTGTTGTTGTTGTTGTTGTTGTAATTCATTAGTATCCAATGATTCTGTTGGTTGTTGACCATTATTATCATCAAGTAAAGGTGAATGAATAGAATTATCTTTAGATGTCATTGAATATTAAACAAATTAAAATTTGTTTATAAATTTTTAAAAAAGCCGGGACGCCAGAAATAAAAATGGACTAAGGGGAAAATCTAGAAATAAAATTAAGCAAAAACATATGAACCATTTAAATAGAGAAGCAAACAAAGAACAACAGGTTCAAGTATATTGAAAAAAAAAGAATCTCAATAAAAATAAATAAATAATTGCTAGACGAAATTGAAATAAGCGTTTGTTTTTTCTTCGTTATAAAGATTATCAACGATTGTTATGCTTTTTATAGTATTGAAAAATATTTTTTCGACAAAAATTTTCTGAGAATAAAAATAAACAATATAAAATAAATCACCTTGCTCATTTATAAACATCGTCGAAATAGAGATAGAAAGAACATCCAGCCAGCCATTCAACCCAGACGGAAGTCTCACTATAATGATTCATCGAAGGCGACAAGAAAGATAGATGATGAATGTTTTTTTTATTGTTTACCATCAACTGGCGACATTCTAGTTTTCCATAGAAAAATTAAGATGGCGTCACAAGAGTGTTAACATAAATTCACTGTACATAAGAAGCTCGTATTAATAATTGAATGATAATATCATAATATTTAACTAGATAGAACAATTACTATGCATTTCTCTTTTTGATGTCAGAATTGATAACTATAATTTTCAGTATTTATATCCTATTGAAATTAAAAAGGATTCAATTTCTTACCACTTATTTTTTGTAGAATATTAATATCATTCAAGTAGACGTAAACGGTTATTTTAAGATTCTACTTTGAAGAAAATCTTTTACTTGCTACACAAAACGTCTCATAATACCTAAAATAGTCTTAGCGTAAATCTTAATAAATACACATAGAAAATATGTTCGTATTACATTTATTTTTCCTTTTCCTAATTTAAACATAATATAGTATAATAATAAAAAAATTGTATGATATGATTAAATTGGAATGAGCTTTGAATTGAATGAAAAGCATTTCCGACAATCTTTCTCATATGATGGGGGAATTTGAATTTGTGACAAAATCGAATTCATTAAAATCATCTCTATTTGTAACAAAATAAAAGCTGTAATGGTATAGTGATATGCCACTATACCCATATAAAATCATTTTTTTCGAATATTTCACTGCACTTGATTGGTTTGTTACCGAATTTACCGTACCCCGGGTGATTGAATCCGAGAACGGATCTTATCAAACCCTATGGGATCCGACTCCACGAAAGAATCCGACAGGATTCCTAGATACACGAACCTATTGTCAGTTCGGACGGAAAAAAATCATTTTCTATTCACGATCAAATAAGCATTTTGAGGCATCAGAGTGCAACGGGTGATTCGTTGGAGTTGGATTCCGTTAAAATCCAACATCGGATCCAGTTGGATCCAATGCCAGGGACCCGACTGTAGGCCCCTGTCCAGGAATCCCACAAGTAACGCGACGTAAGCGTAGCTACCCAGGTTGATCAAAACGGACTCGTTTACTGTCTGTTTATCGACGGTAAACGATGTCAAAACGGTATATTTCCCAAGCAGATAAAATTTCTCAAAAACGTGTTTGCACACCACAAAAACCACATTTATGTACTTTTTGAGGCACTTTTGGGGGAGTGCCCGTGCAAACGCGAATATTCCGTTTTTAACGACATGAAAACTCGCAAATTCTTTGCAGTCATTATATCCATCCTCATAAACGATTTAAATTGGCATTTTGATAGCGTTTGAACGATTATTTCGTTTGGCATGCGTGATGTTAACCAAAATTCTTGAATACCAGACATTTTTAAATAGAATTTTTCTTTTCGTGTTTAGAGTATTGAACTATTGACGTTAACATGTACAGGAAATAGGAGTTTTTTATGGTTTTAACGTGTTGATTTATTTTTCGTTTGATTTTCTATAAAATATATCATGGCAACTCTGAAAATCGAAGAATTGTAAGCGTTTTCAAAACCGAAATTTTCATTTCCGTTCTCTGGCTATATTTTATCACATTAGTATGCGTGGTATCGTTTAATCGCTGAAGAGATAAAAACGCGTTTTTTTACAACCGAATACTGTTACTTTTCCCATTAAAGCGCAGATATTTTTTATTAGTGGTATAATGCAGTTATTAGAATGAATCGATCGCGAGAAGTTTTGCATTTTAACGCTATATTTGCAACTATGTGTTAAACTTGCTCTGAAATTGACTTTTTCTACGTCTTGTATCAATGGTCGTGATAACCTGGTTCAGTTTAGCATTCGATAAGATAAAAGCGAAAAGGATTTGGTGTAAAAACTAAATAAGAAGAAAATAGAATAATAAAATCTCTATTAAGAAGAGAAGCAATAGTTGAAAGAAAATGGTTCTAAGGCTTCTGAAAAGAAAGATAATTTCATCGCACGAAAAAAACATAAATCAATCTTTATTTAAGTACTCTCCACTGTGTTTGGAAATTGAAAAAAATGAAAAATATCCTGTTTACTATGCGCAAGCTTTACAGTAATATCGTTTATATCAATTCTTACGATATGTGGTGGGTCAGTTAGTTGTTCCCAGAATATGAATGGATTGACAACATTTTTCTTTTTGATTGAGAGAAAATCTCGCCCATCAATTCTTATTGTATGAACTACTGCATAACATTGTTTCCTTGAATTATGAATGATAGCCATAATAAATCCGCAATTCGTCTCATGCTTCTCTTTGAATAACACACAAGAATCACAATTGCTACTATTTGAGCTAGATTCATAAACAGAGAATTGAACATTATTTTTCCAACATGTTCCATGAAGAGAGAAGTTAAAAATTTGTTTTTCTCCTAAGTAGGCCATTACGATATGATCATTTGGTAATTCTAATCTACAACCAAGACGAATAGATTTATTTTGTTTGGTTGTTACTTGTCTTGGAAGTGCTTGACGCTTTGGAGAAAACAGACGACATATGAATAAATGAAGAGGTGCAGCGTAATCTATAGTATCAAGTTCAACTGTAGCACATTTTAAAATGTTTATGTTATTTGTCAATTCAGAAACGATCAGATTAGGTCCATTTACTGATTGAACTATAGAACCTATAATAACGCACAGTAGACAACCACTTTAATGAAAAGAATAATTGTTGTGCCTTCAAAACATACCAATTACGCTTTCGAAGTTAAACGTTGAATAGTTCTGCACTGGACCGAAATATTTTAGCGTTTGAGGTACATGCACCATGGAATGTGCGACAGACGTCATTGATTTTTCCTAAAGATTGTTGACTTTGAAAAATATACAATTCAAAAAGGTGGGACATGCTGAAAACGAGCTGATATACCCTAATGATCAGAGATGGAACCAGTCTGCCTTGTTTCGTTCTCATTCACATCCATTTGGAGGACATCAACGACGGCTAGTTTTATCATTAAGCACGAGTAGAGATACATAAATAGTCAATAATTGCGTAGGACAAACGTCCTAAAATTCGCTCACAATATTTCTTATCTTCATCACACCTATAAAGTCTTGTTTTATCCCACAAGCAGACCAGAATAGAGTGAAACAAGAGATTGTGATTTTTCAGACACAAGTAATGTATTTTAAAGCAGCCAAAATCTTTAATAAATATTTATTATGGAAGAATTCACAATGAGTGAATTATTGATGAAAGCAGAAATCTTCACAAAAAAATCTTAACGCGACGAAAAGAGTATTTACTGAGTTAGTTTTAGTCCAATCAAACAGAGATCCACACTTTAATAAAAAGATGAATTTGCTTTTTGATAGATGCGTGTATTTCTGGGTTGAACAATTATTTTGTATATTGTAACATCACCCAAGAAAAATTCAAAATAAGACAATTAGGAGTTATTCTTTTTTTCACACATTGAGTCGAGTGTAATCCAATCCCTACACGATATACATGTATGCGAACGTAAAAAAATTTCTTTTTTTTGTCAAATTCATATATTATGCCTTAAAAAGTGAGAGTCATCATTTATATATGGCACAAACTACCGCTGTTCATATCTCATGAGTGATTCGAACGAAATTATAATGGCGAATATTCACTCATTCAGTAATATTAGAGAAAATGTTTATTTAATTGTTTGTGTTTATGGGCAATAATTTAGAAATCATAGTTAAGATTTTTACAGCAGCATATAGCATGTTTATACTGAGTTTTTAGACTTAGTTATTAAGGAATGATTTATTTGTATCAACCGGTGTTGGATTTAGAATTTATTTTATTTTATTTTATTCTATTTTTTTTTCTTATCGATTCTAAGTTGGTTGTTATTCCTTTATTTTATAATCGACGTTTCGAAGAATATATTTTCATTTTCAAGATTTAAATTTTATAGAACGAATAGTTCTGAATTTGTAACGTTGAACTGTTACATTTATATTATATTTGAGAAAGAGAATAACGGCTGTTCTGTTACCCGGGTCAAACATTCCGGCCACTGGATCCCGTAGGATACTCCAGGGAATATGCGGGAAAGTCACCATATCCTGCAGGAAAACACGGGAAATCGCTGGAACATGGAAGTAGTATTCCGATCAAAAATACGGTCGGACTTTTCCGGCGAATTTCTGCCAAGTTCCGGTGCTTTCCGGCAGGAATTGATCGGAAATCACCGGAAAAAATGCGAAAAATTTCCAACCGGAATACTGCTTCCACAAAATCAACGGAACTACCCGGAACCGGCCGTTTCCAAGCCGGACTGTTTGACCTGGGTATTGTTCTGTAGAGCGAATAGGATTGTGATTCCTATACCCCCAAACAACATGTGTAGAGATAAATAAAAGTTCTCTTTCTCAAACATAATATAAATGTAACAGTTCAACGTTACAAATTCAGAACTATTCGTTCTATAAAATTTAAATCTTGAAAAAGAAGATATATTCCAGTGGCGGATCCACCAGTTAGGCTACCCGGCGATCGCCACCCCCTTAAGAAATCTTTTTCGATTTTTCTCAGCAGAAACGAAACAGATTAGAGTCTTAATGCCTCAAATAGACTTGAAAAACCGTTTTTTGGCCAGAAGCGCCACCCCCTTACAGATTTTCTGGATCCGCCACTGATATATTCTTCGAAACGTCGATTATAAAATAAAGGAATAACAGCCAACTTAGAATCTATAAGAAAAAAAAATAGAATAAAATAATATAAAATAATAAATAATAAAAATAAATAAAAATAAAAAAATAAAAAAAAAAATTCTAAATCCAACACCGGTTGATACAAATAAATCATTCCTTAATAACTAAGTTTAAAAACTCAGTATAAACATGCTATATGCTGCTGTAAAAATCTTAACTATGAAATGTTTATTTATTCTCACAATCAATATGTGTTATAGCATTGTGAGGCAAGCAAAATGGTCTACTTACTGAGTATAACAATGGAAATAATTTGTCGAATTCATTTAGCAAAATCTCAATTGTTACAATGGTACTTTGGCATAGAACCGATGATTCAGATAAATTCATTGCGTACTCTAACAGCTCCAGATGTTTGTAATATGGAATAGGAAGAAATGATTTAAAATATCTATGTAAGTATATATGTATGTATGTAAATAAAAAATTAATTCTCTTTATCTTTCAAGCAATTTTTACCCTACTAAAGATCAATGGTATTTTTCATACTCCTGTTTGAACGATTAGAGTAAATGTGCAGAAAACAAGACTAGTAAAATAATTTTCCTCTAGGATTTGTTCTTCAGATGTCTCAAATTATTGATTCATTGTTCTTTAGTTTAACAGCTGCTTGATTAATAATCAATGAACATCTTTGTCTTCTGGATAAAGCCCCTGCTACATCAATAATATATGAAAGACTTACTGATAACCGAATAACAATGTCAGTCGATATTCATTTCTTTTATATGTTTGAAAGTATCTCAACTGAGACGGTAGATGGTATGTTGTAGAAGGATAGCGAATTGAGTCCAATTTAATCTCGATCAAATGCAAACTTTTGTGCATAGAAAAGGCTTGACGACGACTTTTAAACCATAGTTCCAATAAACGCTTCTATCAAATATTAATAAGGAAAATATGGGCTATGTATATATAAATTAGTGGAAAAAAATGAATACCTACACATTGTATTCCTCTTACAATATGAGTGCCTAACTCAAATTGAGATACTGATTTCTTAGCGATCTTTGTTTTCTTTCTACATTGTTTAATATCGTCATTTTTCAGAAAGATTTCTAGAGAACTTTTATGCTTTTAATTTATTAAATTTCAAACTAACCACTCCAACGTGTTTGATTGACTAACAACTATCGGGTTTGAGTTTTGCGAGATCTTGCCGCCAGCCCTCATCTAAGAAATTGTGTTATGACACTCTCTAGTGAGGAAAATTATATTTGCCATTAAAATCAGTATCCTAATTTAAGTTTCATGCTTAATATTTTAAAAGAGAGCCATGATACACTATGTTATTCAATTTTTCTTCGCCACTTTTCATGAAAGAATGCTTACAAACGTTCCAGCATAAACGTTGCGAAGTGAATCGGCAACACAAGATTGACCAACATTGAAATACGATAGATCACGTAAGAGACAGGGACCCTGTTGACCACAGGCATGATCGTTTTCATTCGGTTTTAATTTTGATTTTCTCTAGTCAATCAAAGAAGCAATACTTTCCCCTATTTGAACAAGCCAGTCATTTACTTTTGATAATATAAAAATATGTTTGTCGTACAACACATTACTTCTATTTTCAATATCATCTTCTGTACTTTTAATAAACACCCGAATGGTTCCATTTCCACTTTGCACATATTTCCCTGTAAAAATAACATAAGAAATTCGACTCTATCCAGGCATGTTCTAGCATTAATTAACAAAATAAAATAGATGGATATTTTTCTAGAGCTATTTTGAATAGAATTGCTAGTGAGTTTATAAATGCATTGTCACGTTACAATATTCAACGAGGCTACAACTTCGACGAATTTTTTTTCTACGTTACTTTTATTAAACGAAACCATAAATATGAAGCCGATGGTTCTATTAAATTATTCTTTATTTCTTTTTCCTTTTAGTTAAAAGAACTTATACAAAATGTTTTCCCGAAGATGCAACATCGACATAATTGTATTATGAAGTCGTATAACATTGTCTAAAAGATTAACCTCGATGAAATATATATGTATACTAAAGTTTAAAGTCACACGATACACTTCCGCTTTTGATAATATATCAATATAATGCTTAGGCTGTTCTCATAAATGATCAGAGATTTAACACTATACCTCTAATTGTACATCGAACACAACTGTGAAAGCCTACAGGATCATTGATATTCATCAGTAGCGCTTGAGCAGGCTTGTCAAGTGTTGCTGCAATTAGATAAGCATACATTTTCACAAAATTTTTATTAGAATTCAGTGGAGACACATGAAAACCAAGTTCCAATTGGCGTAACTCATACACCCAATCAGCTATAAAGCTTTGAAATTCGCGTTTTTTAGGTTTACTACAACCCATGGATATCGAACAAATTATTATGTTATTAATGTTAAATCTAACAGCTCGTGGTAATTCATTAATGATCATACAAGTAACCCAAATTGAACGACTCAGTTTCTTTAAAACAATACCGTCGCTATTTAAAAGAAGTGTTACTATTTTCTTTCTTGGATCACGGATTAATTCTTGAACAGCAATATTACGTCGTACTTCACCTTCCTGAACATCGCGTATTCTTGAACAATCATTATCTGGTTCAGGTAAAATAGCCTACCGCTCTAAAGTCGATGTTATTTGTGGCAGAAGTTTAAGTATGCATAGCGCTGTTGAGGTTGATTGAAAATCAGCACTTGACATACACTTGACATTCTCACATTTTGATGTAATATTCCCTTTGTTACCACATTTCGAACAAACAGTGTATTTTTTACTCTGCAAAATGTTCTGTTAGTTTTGTAGAATATTTCGCTCTATGGAACGAAAATCAGTTGGTACACCTTTTACACCAAGATAGCGTAGCAATTCACATAAATCATTAATACATGACTTTGATAAGCTGTGCCTATGTCGAAAAAGAGCAAGAGCAATTGAGATCTGTCTAGCATCAGGTAGAAAAGATTGGGCATTATCAGTAGCAGGATCTTGTGCTGGTTGATATGAGTTGCGTTCATGATCATCATCTGACATCATCGAACATAAGTTAGTATCAGATTCATAGTCGATAGGATCTTCGGGCGTGGTTGAACTACTGCTCAGCTCTTCATTTTGCTCATGTATTCCCAGGACGAGCTTTACGACGTCCGTATACGGCCCGTATTCTGCCGTATACGACGGTAAATCGCCGTATTTGGCCGTATTACATGGCTCCGTATTACGATCGTAAATCTCCGTGTCGTAATACGGTGAAATACGAACAANCCCCCACCCCCCCCCCCCCCCCCCCCCCCCCCCCCCCCCCCCCCCCCCCCCCCCCCCCCCCCCCCCCCCCCCCCCCCCCACACCCCTCCTCATCCCGCTGGTCGCGCGGGTCCTGTTTACAGATATCTATGAATTCGATTAATGTGTGTCATTAAATATTCATTGTTTTATTCAAAAAGATTCTTTCCTAGTTTTCCGACGTAATTGATCTCGATCAAGTACACCATTTTGCTCTTTCGAGCCTGCAGATGTTGATGTAGCATATAAAATCGTATGAACATAATTGATAACTTTGAATATATATATACATCCAGATTTTATCCGATATTCTTTTTTAATACGAAAATAGTCATATGTTATAAGTTTTCATTTATGTTTCTGATATCAATATAAAAAATGCTTTCATCATCGTAAAGATAGTTTTGATTTTACTGAAAGTATATATAAAAGCTGGGCAAATGAAAGCACACATCTTTTAAAGTTACAAAACATGAATAAAAACAAATAATACACTGTTCACTGAAACGAGATCAGCTATTTCAATACAGATAACAATACAAAGCAAAAGATAAAATAATGAATAAGCAAAAAAAACGTGTTTTAATTTTAAAAAAGGTAATATTAATGTCGTCTCGATGTGTGTATTTATATCATAAACTTTACTTGAAAGTGATCATCTTCATCATCAATGTCTTCATCAATCACAATTCACAAGATCTTCTTTCTCACTAGCACCATCGTCTTCGTTGTCAAAGTCATCGACATCATCATCAGGGTCTGCAATATCACCATCTCCATCTGAAAATATTTCCATGTCGTTGCTCGCGTTTCGTGCTTGATCAGATTCATTAGAATCTACATTCTCATCATCTTGTGAAGAATTCAATTGATGTTGTCGATGACGTTCGATTTTGCGTAATTCACATGTTGCGCTTCTAATTGAAGTTCCTATTGCTTTTCTCATGTCAGTTCTTGTAAAATTTAAATTCCTATGAAGACCACGCACATAGACTAAGTAAAGATAGAAAAATTGAATTACTCAATGGATGGCAGATAAACTCGCTGTAAATGTTTTCTAATTGTTCTCTAGGAACTTTTGAAATTTTCCTTCGCACTACCTTCTAGAAGATTCGATAAATGGAAGAAATGCTTTAACAATATAACAGGCTTTTCCAACCAGAATTAGTTTATGTCTGTTCACATTATTAAAGAAAATATCTCATTAAGTACTTTCTAATCATTGTTTGATCGCTAGTTGAAAATATATACTTCTTATCACTAAACGAAGAAAATACTACACTTACGAATCGTGCTCGACTTGAGATAAGCTACTTGTCGCTTCAGAACATTGCAGTCCTTGCGCCATTCTTCTGTTTGTTGTTTTTCACCTAAATACAGACGCTTCATTTCTCTATATTCAAGAGAGCCCTCCACTAGAGAGTGAATAGGAAACGTAGTTTTCGAAACATTGGGTGCATTGCAAAATGATGGTGATAATGATAATCGCTGATTAGGTGCAAGTACATCGTCGGCAGTTGAACACCGCAACGAACTATTAACATGGTACCACAATAGAACATTTTCATGTAAGAAAATAAAGTTTTTAATAGTATTACTTTTGTCTGCCGGGTGTTGTTTTCTTTTTATTGGATGATGTTGATGATATGTTTCTACAACAAGAATGAAATTTGTACAATATAAACATGATAAACACAAACTTTGAAGTGGAATCCGTTGTTCGGGTTAAAGTATTAATTGATTTTGAATTCGTTGTTCGCTTTGAAGTAGTACTTGAATTTGAATTCATGGAATTTGATCTTTAAGTAGAGGATGGTTAAATAGAGAGAATAAAGACGGCATACTGACTTTTCACATCCTGTATTCAAAACCTTTTTCGATGATCTAAATGATCAAATCCCCAGCTGAATCAATCCGATACCGAATCCCATCGGATTCTATGGGGTCCTACCATCCAACAAAATCCCGTTGGATTCCTGGTTGAGGAATCAATGTCGGATCCGATAGTCGTATTTCCAATGATATCCGATTGTCGGAACCAATGAAATTCGAAGCATTCCGGTTCCGATTGGCGGGTACTGTCGGATTTTATCAGTTTCCGATATTAGGATCCGATATCGATTCCGGAACCAGGAATCCGACGATAATCCGATAGTTTCCTTGCGCCTCCCGAAGAGCTCCGTCGGATTCCAATAAGAACCGACCGGAACTCATCAGATCCTAGGGTAGGATTCATTCTCCTGGGTACTGCTTTATCGTGCCATGGCATTGCTACCTTTGATACCTTTAGCGATCGACTTTGTCAAGAGTCTTATGGGCGCCGAAAACCGTATGTATGATAAAAGAGATGAGCAGTGTAAAACTTGAAAGTTAAATTGAATTATTGCATCGTTAAAAGTTCAAATATGCTGAGTTAATAAAACGTTACGCCGAAATCGGCAAAACATTAAGGATAAAAAGATCGACTCATTTGAGGCTCTTCAAGAGCATGACAAAGAAGCAACAGCCGCTCTTGTGCAACTAGCTCGTAATACTCAGCCTCATCCAATGCAAGGCAATAATGTTGGATTGTTCGGTTTGGCATCGACTGGTAAATCAACAATGCTTAGCTAATAGTCTGTCGGGTTCCAAAGTGGCTGAGATAGGCTCTGGCGAAACCACGATGGAAATTAAACCATATCATTCTGAAAGGTTTACTTTGTGGGACATTCCAGGACGAAACGATGAAATGTCACATCTCAGTATGCATTACGTCGGCTTTTGGAAGGGTTTAACTCGACGATTAGTACTGATTACCACGACAGTGAAAGAAAATACGAGCACGATGAAATTGCTGGACGCCATCAATCTTCATTATGATATTGTGGTGAACAAGTTCGATCAAGTAGATGAAGAGGAACGAGCAAAATTTCAGCAATAAGTTCAGACTCAAATAGCCGAAGCTGGGCTCAAGGGAGTCGATCATGTGTTCTATGTGAGTGCGAAAAATCCGAAAATGTTCGATGATTGGCTCAAGTTGGTCGACTATTTGACAAATTCTGGAAAATGACGAATAATTATGTGTCTGCTTAAAAAGTTCATATTTCTTAATAAATAATATATCTCGTATTTGTCTAACTACTACACTGAAAAAAAAATAGCACCACACGGAACCAAGAAAGTTTCGAATTTTCTCACTGAACTTTAAAATGGTTTCGCAGGCACTACGAAACTTAAAAAGGGTTTCGAGATTTGAAACGAATTCTGAACCTTTTTTAGGTTTCGTAGGTTTTCCACGAAACCTTCGAAAAAGTTTCCTGGACTCTTGATAATAATTTTGAGACTATCTTGGGCTTTTACGAAACCTTTTTGAGGGTTTAGAATTCGTTTCAAAAATGGTTCCGTATGGTGCTATTTTTTTCCCAGTGTAGTACGGTTTTCAGTTTGGATATTCTTTTTCACTATATTCATTCACATCAATAACAACATCACCACTTACATGTTCCCTATATGATATGTGTTGCGAGGTGGAATGAATATGTGAGACAAATAGCAATCGGCCGATGTTGATCAATTTTTCAAGATCAGTTTCGAAGAAGGAGGAGAGTTCAATCATTAACAGTGTTCATTCATGCTTGCTTTCTATTTATCATATTCTTGAATTGCTTCTCTTTTGTTACTCTGGTAGCCGGTAAGATCAAGGATTATAACGTCTTACGATGATTTGAACATATAAACTGATAGCACAGGATACAAGAGTGTAAAAGTATTAGACGTTTGTGACCTCATTATATACGTATATGTGAGGGAAAACTAATGTTACATAGATATTGATTGATACAAAGCATCTAAATTCTCTGCAGGAAGTGATATTCACTATCTCAAGGCCTCAAGAAGGAAACATCGTACTTTTACTACTCAAAGTGCAAAAGTACCTCAACGTATCTCGAAGTACACTGAAAGTCTTTAAAGTAAATTGTTTACAATACTAAATTGCCCAAAATTTCTTCTCGTTTCTTGCATTGACAATAGAGTGTCTTGGCTTAGCTAGGAATCGGTAATTTCTTAAATCGAAAATTAAGGAAAATTTTGACAATATAGAATATTGAAATCCATGAAAAAAAATGAGTACTATTTTAATAAATTTGCCAAGATGGTTTCTTTTAAGGCACTAATAATTTTGAACATTTGATATTTTGAGAGTATCCGATTTCAAAAGAAAATATTAATTTCTTGTACTGTATCACAACAATATGTTCTCAGCTTACCTAGGAGACAAATTCAATACCATTGGACGTGCTCTAGTGTCTAAATGAGAATCTATCAGATATTCTTTCTGAATACCGTTTTGTTTTTGAAAAACTGAACTTTTGAACGTAGAATATCATAGCACATTAAAGCACTCTTGTTTGAAGTAGTTTTTAACGAATGAATTCAGTTTCAATAAAGATCGACATCGTATTCGAAATCAGCATGAAACTTGAACTAAATGATATTGACGTTACTTTGAAATATTTTCTATCGAAATGTCACCCCACTGAGAAGTCCAGAAAATAAAATTGAGTGAGAAAAGCAAGTCCCTGCAGTTCTCCGTACTTTTGTTTTCAGTTCTATGTATCTTTGCCACTGCAACAGAACATAAACATCTTTGTCTTCTTTATCTTTAGAAATCTTCAATAAAAAGAATAAAATTGTTGCAAGATTAGGAGCACTCAGTAACAGAATACTTGTGTTTTTCTGTCGATGAGGATTAAGAGCAAATTTCCATTCTCTCGCACTTCTTAGTACATCGGTACCAAAAAAGCATTTTTTTCTTTCAAGCAAGGAACGAATGAAAATGGAAATCGAATATATGCTGAAAAATATTTTAAAATAATGTAAATTTCCTTCGGCTCAAATTTTATAAGTTGATTTTGAATGTCATGTCCATCGTTATTGACACTGAACTCGTATATTAAAAATTACTTGAAACAGGAGGATTTGAATAGTTTTACTATTCTTCTTTAACAAGTTCATCTTTTCAAAAACAAAATTTTTCTGAGAAAGAAAATCTAAGTAGTTTTTCCTAAATACTAAAGAAGGTCAGCGGCATAAAAGTTGTCCCCTGAGTAAACTGATAAGAGCCTGTCACTACACAATACGTAAATAGAGTTTTTCGAACATCAACAGCTCTAAAAGCCTCCCATGTCGCACAAACCGATCGAAAACCGTCGGTTAACCGCGGTCAATTTTTATAAAAATCGGTTAACCGCGGTTGTTTAAGCCATTTTAGCGACTTTACAGCGTAAAAACCAACGGTTAACCGCGGTTAACCTCCCAATTAACCGGAAAAATAACCGCCAGCTCGCGACATAACCGATGACTTGTCCGGTTAACTGGGAGGTTAACCGCGGTTAACCGTTGGTTTTTACGCTGTAAAGTCGCTAAAATGGCTTAAATAACCGCGGTTAACCGATTTTTATAAAAATTGACCGCGGTTAACTGACGGTTTTCGATCGGTTTGTGCGACATGGGCTTGATATAAAGATATCACTAATGAGGTCATTGTATTTCATAAAGAAAAGCACCAATATTAACAATAAGTACAATATTCTGAAGAACTGTTCATGCTTTTATGAGTGAAATGTACTACTTATTAAATTTCAAACCTCTATAAAAGTGCTATGAGAATATTTAAACAATACTTTCCACTTATAATTATGCCTATCATTACTGAAATAGGCTCACTTATTACTATTTAGGATATTTTGTTTTAATCTAGACTTATTATTGTGTCTGTAAACAGAGGAGAAATATTCAATGTTATGTGAAAACCGAAAGAACTTTAACAAGACTTGAATGAATTTGCGAAACTTCTTTTGAATATGGTACGTTCATGGGAAACTTCATAGGTGCTTTTCTTAAGTAAAAACTTAGTAACAGAAGTTTTTAAAGAGAAGTTTCGTTGGGAAATACAAAGTTCTTATACTGAATTTTTTCAATCACAACTTTTACAGATCCTTCATAGTGATAGAACCTTTAATTATTCAAATTGTTTTAATTATACTACCTTTTGTAAATTGCATTTTCATACTATCATTTTTAATGATATTTAAAAAATACTCTTTGCATGGGGTTTACACATTTTTGTAGCAGGGGTTCCTTTCAAAGTTTTCTAGTTAAATTCTTTATAATTTTAAATTGTGAAAATCGGAAAGTAGTTAAGAGTATATCGCTTGGCCAGCGTCGGTTAAAACACGCATGCATGAAATCGCTATATAAGTTGGTTGAAAATGAGATAACGCAAATATAACTTTAATCTCCTTTGGAAAATACTTAGAAATTCTTTCCTGTATAAGATATAATTAGCTCATTTTTTCCACGATCCATAGAAGTATAGCACATCTGTAATCGAAAGTGGCCTAGCCACACGGTAAAAATCAATAATTAATAAGGAAAAGAACCAATTCCTTTTTACTCTTGATCCACGGATATTATTGTTCCTATTTCGATAAGACAAAAGTTTTTATCTTTATCTATTTCGAACTTGCCACTGTCACTATTATTTCTTCATTAGAAAATTTCTAAAAATGCGGTCAAGTTCTCGATATACGAAAAAATGCTTCCAATCACTTCTGCGACATTGCCAAAGACAACGAAATACTTTTGTACAGACCAAATAGTCTTATACTACCTTTATAAATTGAGCGAGTACTAATAAATATCTTACGAAATATTTGCTAGAGTTTGCAACTAGAATTGAAACATTGAAGAGTAATAATCAACTATTTCAATCGTCAGAGAAAAAACAGCAATGTCTCAATAACTTTCTCACTTCTAGTCAAATACTTCTAGAAGAACCAGAAATAATTAGTATAAATTATTCTATGCTATTGATCTAACTGACGTGAGATCAGGGAGCTTAGGAAATATAAAATTTAAATGTTTTACTCATTTTAGATGACCAGGTGCTGTGAAATACTTCGAACAAGTGCAGAGGTAATAAAATACACTGTAATTACTGATAATTACTAAGAGAAGTAGCGATATTTTTATTTAAATGATATATTATAAGCACTAAAAGATAGATTTCTCCTTATAATAATATCCTCACGTAGTTTAAATACTGAAATCTTCAAATTTTTGAGTGATACAAAAGCATTTTTATATATATTGTTCAAATTTTAACCCAGAATCAGGAAACAACCCATAAACATTTTTTACACAGTAGATAAAAATATCATCAGTTGTATGAAACAGTACTCCCTCGTTTTTGCTATTTTTAAATTCCATAGTACCGAGCTGTTTGCTAGATGTTCAATTAAAAATTTACTCACAGATCAACTTTTTCTTGCTAAGTCAATGCAAAATTGCCATTCATGCAAAAAAAACGGGAAAAAAAACAATCGAATCTATATTTCTAAACAACTTGTTTTTAAATAATTCAAGGTACTCTCACATATGTCAAAGTACGATGTTTCCCCTTTTTTCCATGAAAAATATTTTCTAGCTGCCTCCTTAGTAAGGCGCATTTTCAACGTCTACTCTCTAAAAAAAAAGGTGTTACACTAATCCTTAAAAAGGTTCTATAGCTCGGTACCATTTTCTGAATCATTTATGGATTCTGTAAGAGCCTTGTTTAATACAGAATTTTTCACTCGTCCTAGAAAGATGATGGTTCTAAAACAACAGCAAGTAATAGAAAGAAACTCCAGCGTGCAAAAGCGGCTCCTGGTAGCTCTCGACAGATGTTGTAGGAGCCAGTCCGACACACCATTGTCAAAACACCTAATTGGTTGACCGAAACAATACCGAAAACCGATGAAAAATCTTCATGGTCAAACTGATCATCCCAATCCTTTCTTCTTCTCACAACAGCTTCAATCTCACTTATTGAATGCTATTCAAAAAATAATATAAACTTCACCCCTCACTGCTACTCATCAGCAGCCAAAACACTGGCGACTTCGAAAGCAAATTAAACAATCCTCTGTCATTTGTCCACACATTCGCATAGAGTAGTTGCTGACTATTCGGTTTTCAATTGATTCCCATTAGTTCTTCTCGTTTCTATTATATTACTATGCTGTTATGATATGATGATATTGATAGTTAAATGATACGAAATTGATGATTTTTAATTTTACTGATTACAATTATTTTATAGGTGTAATTTCAAGTTTATGTTGTTATTTGTATATGTCGATATGTTTGTCTAGTCATATATTTTCTGTTTGTAACATCAACAAGGTAGATACTCATTTTTCTCCTACATTATTAAAAGAATAACTATTGCCATAAAGTAATAAAACTTATCGTGTGAAAAATTCATATAAATCATTTACTTCACTATAAATATTTAAAAAAAGGATAGGCGCGGTCTGGTCACTGCAGTTTGTGTACTAATAATCAGGTCATGTCATCACTTCATTTTTTTCCTGTCAGTTTGATGACGTATGATTGTTCAATTATGATTATACTAGACTCTGATAGTTTATTGACGATAATAGACGTCTGTTCACTATCTTATGTATTATATCTGTTATCACTTCTTACTATGATACATATATAAATAGACTAGAAAAACGAAAGGGATGAGAGTCGCAATGTGTCTTCTTGTGTATTGCGTCAACAACAATAGTCTGGTAACAAAAGTTTGATTTTGAAAAACATTTCAACTATAATTAGTAACATTCAACCTTTAAACATTTGTTCGAATGCCAAGATTTCAAATGACTGAAGCTGCTTATGAAACATAGAAAAAACATATCATACTTAGAATAATTTGGACTGATTCAATCCATTTCACAATAATACTCTGTGTATATGTATTCTCATATTATTATTTTTTTCAATCATTAAAAATCCCAATTGAAATAAATATTATATTGGTTGGCAAAATCGTATAGATTCTATGAAAATCTATTGATTTTTTTTTGTATATAACAAAATATCATTTGTCGGAATGAATTGCTTGTATACTGCTTGTCTATGTCATAATCTCTTAGTATTTGTTCATCTAGATGAGACCATTAGATCATAGTCATGTAATGAGAATCGCATAACAATAATTGTATGAATTGCACCATTTATTGTACAAATATGATTTGTTTTTTATTACTTGCGTCTTTCTGCATAATATAGTCAATTAAAATGAATAATCGTAAGTTCAATAATAAATTTAGAGGAAAAAAAACGACATAGAGCGTTTTCTATCTTTTTTTCTCATTCCCATCAACGCATCTATCTAATATATCATCAACATGGCTGCCTTTTTTTCCCATTCATCAGTCAAACATGATTTTTATTAATCTTCTTTTTTGATATCATTATGATTTATGTATATATATCGATCCATGGAGATAGATGGCAGTAGTATGCAATGTTATTTATTTTAGAATTGAATTAAAAATTAAATTAATTTTTAGTTTTCAACAATAAATCTTTCATTTATTTAACGATATTTAAATATAAAAATAAGAATAAACAGCTTCTTCTTCTTATTGGCGCAGACATGATGCTTATGATGTTTATGAATCCTTTTTTCCAGTCAATTAGTCTCATCTGTTATTGTCTTTTTTTTTCGAGACAAATCGAAAAGAAGAAATAAAATTTATGTGTGAAGTAACATCGTCAAATTTTTTGGAATTATTTCCATTCATTACTCAACTCATTGATCAATCATGTTTTCTTGCTATTGATACTGAATTTAGCTCGGTTGATACGTTTTCTTCATCAATAAAAACAATTAAACAACTGTATGAACAACGTTCTAGTTTTGTCAAACAAATAACTATACTTCAATTTGGTCTTGCAATCTTCTCTAAAACATCTGAACAACAAAAATATGATGTTAATATTTATAATTTTTACCTTAATCCAACATCAATTCATCCAATCGATGTTGAATACTCGATGAAATCATCATCAATTAAATTTTTAGCGGAATTTAATTTTGATTTTAATAAATGCTTTTATTCAGGTATTTCATTTCTTAATCAAACACAGGAAGAAATCTTGGTGAATCAAAATAAAGTAATAATATTCGTTTTATTATTTTCGCTTCGATCATCTATGTTTTTTGTTTTGTTTTAGTCATTATCAAATTATAAATTTTCAATAAATGAGCAAAGTTTTTTGAATATTTTATTTGAAAAAATGAATGCTTGGTTAATAACAGCACATGTTGATGATGAAATGGAATATGAATTCGATGAAAGCAATAAAGATATATTAAACGATTATTTACTTCATTTTGAAATACGTCGGTGTTTTAAAACCATTTGGACAACTACGAAAATAATTGATGATAAAAAAATACTTTTCATTCATCATATTACGAAAGAAATATATGAACAACAATTGAAAGATAATCTGGATAATGAAAAAAATTTTCAAATATTTATTCAATCGTTAACTGGTTTTACTAATCTAATACGTTATATACGAGATAGTTATCGAAAACCAATTGTCGGTAAGTTAGAAGTAATCGAGTGAAAGTCAATACGAATATAATATTTTTCAGCTTATATATTTGATTTAATCGACATACTAATAAATACATCAGTTCAACTCTAAGATTTGAACGTAGAGTTATCTTGTTGATTTCCGTACTAATAAAGTAAAAAGATGAGCGTTTTCTTGTTCAAAGATAATCATACTTTGTTTGGATCTACATGATGCACATAGTCTCGAGAACAATACGATTTATGAATTGCAAAAAAATCCCTTGCGAGCAAGATTTCCTATGACATCATAGACCTAGCATAAAACTTGCTTCCTGACAATTTCGTCGACTATCTGATTAAATAATGTCTATTTTAAGGACATAATTGTTTTCTCGATTGGCTACTTATTTATGATAAGTTTCTTGATAATCTTCCACCAAAATTTGAAGAATTTCAAAGATTATTAAATCAAAATTTTCAATCATCCCTATTCGATACAAAATATCTTGCATTACAAATGAAAGAATATCTATTTACTCGTCAAAATCGTTCTAATATAAGTAATTATATTGATAAACTAACAACAGCTACATCACTGTCATCTTTATATGATTTATTAACATCGAAATACTATGATAGTTTAATTTTTCTCAAGCCTATTATTGAAATAAACTCAACAAATCAATTTCAATATCAAGTTCGAGTAAGAACGAATGAAAAAAAAAGGAAATTATGTCGATTTTAATTTAATTTAATTTTTGTTTAGAAACATGAAGCTGGTTATGATGCATTTATGTCGGGTATTATATTTCTTAAAATGATTTATTTATATAAACAAAAACATTTTAACAATAAACTTGATTTCAATGAACATCAATCGATATTTGATATATGTTTAAATGAAATTCAAATATTTAAAAATCGTTTTTATTCAACATTTCTTCCATTTATCTCATTAAATCGATATGATACAAATAAAATTTTCAAGAAAAACACTTTACAACAATGCCTTGTGATACAAAAACATAGTAAAGAAAGAATAGATCTGCCAGATATTATAACAAAATTCAATGCATATTGTACAATGGAATATGAAGTTAATAGAAATTTAAATAAAATTTATCTTCTATTTCAATCTGAACGTTGTCAACGACAAATCCTTCAAGATTATATCGATGATCCATTATATAAAATTGAAAAATTTAATTGGTTTAAACATTCGTTAGTTGTGAAATATTCATTTGGAATATCAATAGTAATGACTGGTATTTGTATCGCTTTTCTACTCAAAAAACGTCAAATATGATAGATATGTTTAACATTGATTATTTTCATTTGTTTTTTAATTTCGACGATTGGAATCAAAAAGAAGAATATCGTTCGATTACTTCGTGCTTTCATACTTTTCGACGATAATGATCCATCTTTTTTTCTTTTTCATCACTTCACCTTGCTGTCCTACCTTATTATAAAGCAGAGGCTAAATGTATGTATAAAATACATGCGTATACTATGTCCGATATCGTATATGCATCGATTGTCGTCAAAAATACGTATCATTTCTTCTTTTAAGTGGTATATTTATGTTACAGGTACTTTATATTCATAGTTTGATGTGTTTTCGAAGATCAATGAAAAATAGTTGACGATTATACACATAAGCTCTATTATCTTTGTCATTTTTTTTTATCTTGTGGCCCTTCGATAGGAAAAAAAGGAGAAGAAAGATCATGGACCGTTGATAATCTGCTATTGATTTGTCGACTTATTCGTTGTTGTATTTCTCTTGGTATCATGCGTATTCACATAACAACATTGCTTCCCGATGTTAATAGTACTCGTGATGCTACTTATGATGATGATGATGATGATGATGATGAAAACAAGAGAGAGAAAAAGATGTTTATGATTATGTGAACTTTGAATAAGATTCAAGTACTTCGATTTAACGAAGATCGATAGTTTTCTTTTATGTCAAAAGTGTTCGCTATAAATATGATAAGTTATTTTTAATAATGAGACATTCTACGTATATAATCTAGTAGTATTAAATTCGACTCGTTTTTCCCCTTGTTTCATCGACAATGTTTTGTCTTGTCATTTATTCGTAATTGTCATCGTTGTTATATGCCGTCGTCGTAGTTCTTCTACTTCTTTCTTTTCTTATATTCTTTTTCTTTCTTCATCATCATAGTTAGGGCGTTTTCACATTAGAGCAACAAGAGCTACTTCTTGTTCATCATCTACATAGACGATGGATTTTCTTATTTTTTGTTCTTCATTTTTTTCCTCCCCGCCTTTCCTTCGTCTTCTCAACAACATATACAGCTGAAACTATTCTTCTCCCATTTTTTTTCTTTTGTTTTCTACTGATTTTGGTGAGTACAACAGCATATAAAAAAGAAAGGAGGATAATAGAATGAGAAGACGGCGAACAAGAAGAAAAAGAAGAGAAAAATCTTAATCACATTTTAACTATCCGCTAACACCATCATCACATAGTATCCATTTTCTTCATCAATGTTGTTGATGTCTGTCTTTATAACATTGAAAACTGATCTGACATAGACAAATATAGATGAAGAAGTTATTTGTATACTGACGTAATTATAACAGAAAGAAGTTTACTTCATTTTTGCCTCTAGTAGTCGTTCATAGTTCTCCTCATTCATTGCCAATCAATCAATAAATAATGTATAGTGTGAAATGTTAGCAACGTGTGCTATGTTTTCTCTCGTTCTTTGTCTACAGAATTTTGCTGTACACACGTAGAAAAAGAAGAAAAACTAGAAGTGAATTGTAATTGTTGCCCACTTGAGTATCATTTTGAGAATTGAGATGGGAGGAAAAAAATGACGAAAGAAGAATATGATAAACTGAAATTTGTTATAGTTTTTTTATGTGAATATATCATTGATAAAACTACTAAAGAAATACGGCAAAGAATGTTATGTCCAATATTGATTTCAGGATATTCTTTGTTCATTTATCTATTCTATTTTCAGATAATTTTTGTTTTCCTTTTTGTTTTCTAACCATAATCATGATCATCTTCAATTATCCATCAACAAACATATATTCTATTTGACAATGTAAGTCAATCCTTTTATAAGTCTATAATTGAGTTAATATTATTTTCTGTTACTTAGGTAGCATAAAATACATTGGTAATTGAATAGAAAATATCTTCTTTTTTTCTTGTGTGTCTGTGTGTTCATTGATCCATACATATTATTGACATGTATGCCGATATGATTTGTGATGTTATGCCCCCCATACCTGAAGATGGCGGTGGTAATGGTTCCAATGCTGAAGGTAATGGATCAGATAATGGTGAAGAAGCTGAAGCTAATATTGAACAGTTAATGGTATCAATGCTTGAAGAACGTGATAAAGTAATAATAATAATAATAGAAATAATCTTTCTTTACTTAGACATTTTTTTTTCTGTTTTATTTAGTTACAAGAAAAATTACGTGAAACCGAAGACATATTAAATACATCACAACAAAAATTGACTGAAACCGAAAAAGAACGCGATATTCTATTACGTCAATTATCACTTAATGCTCCACAGGTTTGTATTCGGATTATAAGATTTGTAGTTTTATTCTTTTTGTGTTATACATTTATCTATGATATTCAAAAATCCCGTCAGTTTTGATTGACATCGATCACATATTCTTAAAGCAATCTACATAAAAGCTTAACGACCATTTAAAAAAGTTGTCATGATTTAATGACAGCTCGATAACAAGTTGAAAATCTTGTCAGTCTCTACACACAAGAAGGTTATACATCGTATTAAATCGAAATTTTGATTTTACTTGTTCGTTTATACCAGGGGGTGGCCAGATCGAAAATAGAAAAATAAGAAATTTTTTTGTAAAAATCAGAAAGTTTTTAAGGAAAATCAGAAGTTTATCAGAAAGAGTAATTTTTGCGAAATAGCGACTTCTGTATACGATGCTGGCATTAACTATTCCACTACTTTTATGTCATTGGCTGGTACTTCATTTCCAAATATTTGCCACTATAAAGATGAATATTCATCAATCGATAACGAATCTTTACGAAACATGGTTTTTCCTTTACATGTCGAAATGATAGTCCTGTGGCTAATTAATTTACTTCGATTTGTTTCCCTTCACAATCAAATTCAACCATATTAATATCATCCAATAGATAATTTTGTTTTTATTTGTGGAATGTTCAATTAGATAAGATTCTCGAAATCAAGAAAAGAAATTTATCAAATTCTAGTGCATTGCAGTAGCTGAAGTTGCCTATATAAGTCAAAAATTACCAACGGATAATTGAGAAAAACAAGGTACCGCAATATACATCTATGTTACCAATGTGTGTTGTAATTGTACTGAACTGCACTAGCAAAAATGGGATCTGAAATAGTTTCGAAATCGGAAAAAAATCAGAACATGGTACGAAAATCAGAAGAAATTCAGAAAGGACTTCAAATTTCAGAATTTTCCCCTACTTTTCAACAGATCTGGCCACCCTGATTCACACTATCCTTCGTAATAATCACGTTATCATTAGCACTTTCGTATTTATCTTAATTAGTGATAAACCTTGATATATCTCGACGATAAGCAATTTCTTTTTTTTAATTTATTCGTAACATTTGTATTTAAAAAAGAATCATATGCACACACCTGATATGATCAAAAACTCGTTACTGAAGATAAAGGCCGTTTTATTTGTGATTAAGGCATCTTTTTTCTCTTTCTCTCTCTTTACCAATCATTCACACGTCAAGAAAAATTGACCCTCGAAATACTATTTGAGTTTGTTACTCGCGCATTAAAAGAGTATGTGTGATCGCAAATTTCACAGTCGCTGTCGTGATGATCAAACACTAGTGATTAGGTCGTTGATTCTTTTTCTTCTTGTGTCCTATATACCTCGTTTTCTCTTTCTCTCGTTCTTTATATTCGATTCGTCACTGATTGTTTGCTAGAATAATATACCCCAAAAGTTTGAATGGGAATTGACACACAAACATGTATAGTCTGATGTAATTTAATATACTAGTACATGAAATGCAATGCTTTACGCGCAACTGATGATAATATTAAAAAGAAAACGAAGTAGAAGACACTTTTTATTCAATATTCTCATTGATTCACAAGAAACCAACCAACAACCAAACAATTAGATGGCTTCATACTAAATAAATGAATGTTATTCTATGTAGATAGACTAAATAAGACATATGATCGATGTCGCACTGTTGAATGACATACTGTTTTCATCGTTAGAGGCATATTAGTAGAACAGTAGTAATAGTAGTCTTAACAATCAAGTCTTGTGCGAATTTTTCTAACTAGACCGGATGCCAGAGAGTAGATATTTATACATAAGAGAGCATGTCTTATAAAAAGAGAGTGAAAACCTAAAATTTCAAAAAGAAAATTTTTGTATTACTTGTATTGCTTCCTAGTAATGAAGCATTTTGCGTAATTAGAAAAGGGAATACACACACTTCCCACTATCTCAGGGCCTCTGAGTAATACGAGTTTGATGACAATAGTCATTTCAATAATAAACAAACTCATCTATTATTCTTTCCGATGCATGAGATGCAGTCTTTTCTTCTCTTTTTTATATGTCTATCTGACGTTAGCTTACATATTATTACTCGTATACTAGTTTCAATTGACGACAATGCTAAGTGCCATTGCTTGCCTGTTTTCATCTATAGAATACGAATATGATATCGACCTTCATTCTTGTTTACCGACAGCATCATCAAATTCGCAAGGCGCATATAACTATGTAGAGACATGAACTACTAGTAAGTCAACCATTTAATGCAAGGCCATATGGATGATAAAACGAATGCGCTACCATCTAGGTACATATACTGATAATGAATGAACGGCAACTAGAGTAAACAATTAATCGTAATAATAATTTTTATTTCTATTTACTCTTGTAAGTAAAGTTATAAAAACAAACCTGAAAGAACAGAAAGAGAGAGAAAGAGAGAGAGAGAGAAAGAGCACTAGAGGAAGACAAGAGATAAGTAGAGAAGAGAAAACGAGTGAGGCAAAGAGAGAAAGAGACAATCCGAGCGGAAAAAAGAAGCGAGAATCGACAACGACGACAAATTCGTTGATTATTTAACTCTACCAACGAACGAGCATATATATATATAATACATACATATAGACACTTACATTCACGTATAAAATGTATGTTTGAGCAAACCTGAAGAACCAACATACACGTCTATAAATAAATAAAAACTAATAAATATAATGGTGAACATTGAATGTCAATCCAGTTCATTTCTATTTGACGATCCATCAAGTTCCCTACGTAAAATGACTTCAACTATCAATCTCTACGATTATTTAACATCGAATATTTCATTTAAAACACTGTTCAATCATACTGGTGATGATGACGATGACGATGATGATGATGATCAATTAAATGCAACAAGTCCAATAACAATGACAAGTTCCGATAGTAGTGATAGTGCTATTGTCTCGGATGATATCGATGATAATGATTTGGCAAGTGAAGAAAACCCTATCGTTCATACTTCATGGCCTACGATAATTAAAAAATCGAATATATCAATAACATCAACGGTTACATCGCTTTCAAAATCATTTGATATTCTAAATAATCTCGAATCAACAACGATTTCCGAATATAAATCACAACACGATCGTAATCAAGAAAAATATAAACGACCTTTACCTTGGCTAAATGCTACATTGCCTAATCATCATTCGACTCCTCCTGGTCTTGAATTAACAACAAATAAGGTTTTTTCCTCCGCCATAGAGATTGGTTGATTGATTGATTGATTGAAGAAAAATCATAAAATTAATAAATATGAAATAATAATGTTATGATTTTTTTTTTGCTTTATAGGATTATGTTTCACTTGTCCGTGAACTTGCTCAACTACGTGAACAATTAACTGAAAGAGAGGATGAAGTTACTGAACTTAAAGCTGAACGTAATAATACACGAGTAAGTTTAGAGGATTGAGAATTTTTTCTTTTTGAATTAAATATTTTTTGATTTTAGTTGCTTCTTGAACATTTGGAACAACTTGTTGCTCGACATGAAAGATCAATTCGAACAACAGTTATGCGTAGACAAGCTCAAGGTGTTTCATCTGAGGTTGAAGTACTCAAAGCACTTAAATCTTTATTTGAACATCATAAAGCATTGGATGAAAAAGTATAATAATAAATATTCTTCTTTAAAAAGAAAAAAACGCATCTCTCTGGCTTTTTTAAGGTTCGTGAACGTCTTAAAGTTGAAATTGAAAAAAATACTCAACTCAAAGATGAACTTGAAAAAACAAAGAATGAAGTAATCGAAATGTTTTTATTTATTCTTAAAACAATTTAGAACATGAGAAACGACAGCTATTTGTCTCGCTTCATCAGTTCGATAGAATTGAGTTCAGTGATTTCATTAGGATGCATAGGACGGATATCTGTGCAAACAAGAATCTTCAACTAAGTTGTTTTAAAGGATAGATCAATTCATTGTTTTCTTTTTTTTTAGTTGGCTGGCGTTCGTGAAACACAACAAGCAAAAGTGATCGATATCAATCAATTAAAAGTAAATAAAGTCTTGTCAAATATTCTTTGCTTTTATTTACATTGACTGTTCGTTTTATTTTACAGACGATGTCAAATGGTACAATCGATCCTGACTCTTTGGCTGGTAAACTAATTGAAATGCAAGAACTAATGGATAATCAATGTAATGAATTAATATCTTGTCGTGCACGTGTACACGAATTAATGAATCGTAATAAGGAGTTAGAAGAGCGTGCGTGTTTATTTCAACGTGATCTATCTCATTCACATGAACAAATAAATAAATATCAACGTGATTTAAAAGAATCTCAAGCACAAAAAGAAGATCAAGAAGAACGAATATCAACATTAGAAAAACGTTATTTAAGCATTCAAAAAGAAACAACACATCTAACAGAATTCAATAGTCGACTAGAAAATGAATTAGCTACCAAAGAAAATCAATTTATGCATGTAAGAATCAAGCTTTTTTCGCCTTCCATTTTCCTAAGGATGCGATGATCTTTAAGAAGTAAAGACTCTTGGGAATTTTGGAGTAGGCAGATCTTGATGAGTTGTATGACAGTTGTTCTAGATTGGACATTCTTTCATACCTATTAATAGCAAACATCGATCCTCTTTCATTTACTCATAATATGTTTTATTAGATCTACCAGTTGTTTTTACATACATCGGATATTATTTTGGTTTCCCAAGGATGTTGTTGGCGAATTCCTATGACTTTTTCTTTTCATAGAAAAACATAATACTTTTTTTGTATAACCAGAAGAAATTATTTGAAGTGTTTTTGTTTTAAACGAAATTCAATAGATCTAATGGAGAGGAAATTTCTGGAGAATATTTATTCCTGATCTAAGTGCGTGTCTTCCTTATTTATTTAGGCCGAAGAAAAATATCAAGCTCTACAAGAAAAATATGATTTATTAGAACAAAAACTTCAATCTCAAAATGAAGGTGATTCATCAGGTAAACAAAATGGCATTACAATTCCAAATAATCTTAATGGATCGTCTATGCAAATGTATTCGAACAGTGCAAATACTGATGATAAATTACACCAGCTTCAAAGTGAATTTGATGATCTCAAAATGGAATTAACTCGAGTAATACATGGAAAAATTCTAATAAACTAAATTTTCATTGTGAGCTTTTGTTTTTTTCGTAAAGGCTCGTCAGCGTGAAAAAGTAACCGATGAACATAATACACGTTTATCAGCGACTGTTGATAAACTACTTGCTGAATCAAATGAACGTTTACAAGTACAATTACGTGAACGTATGCAAACATTAGAAGAGAAAAATACTCTTGTACAAGAAAGTGAAAAACTTAAAAAACAATTAGAAGAAACACAAACTGATCGAGTAAGAAACGAAAATTTTCATTTCCTTTCTTTGGTATTCTTAAGTTTCGTAATTTTTAGACAAAACTACTTGACGAAATTGATAAACTTAAAAATGAACTTGAAAATGTTCGCAAAGAATTACAACGTTTACAACAACAACAACAACAGCAACAGCAACAGAAAAAGTAAAACGAATGAATATTAATTAGTTCTTTTTTAAAATAAAACTTTTCTTCTAAGTGAGTCAATACAAACGTCTGTGCCCAACGATTTTGTCACAAGTACAACTGAATCAAATAATCGTGTATCACCTTCAACACGTGTTGTTAAAACAGTTCCAACAGTAACCGATCATATTTTTAAAGTAATATCTTTAATTTAAGTCCTATTGCTTATATACTTTTCCCCCCATCTAATAGACATCTGAAGCTGATTGGGATACAATCGATCAAGCTCAAGTTATAAATGATGTTCGTTTAGCATTTGAATCATCAGATGTTGAATTAACAACTGATGATGAAGATTCGTTATATCAACATCATCCGGTGACAATTAATAATGGAAATCTTCCAACACAATCAACGCATAACGACGCGCAAACGTTGGCACTTGTTCTACAAGAACAACTTGATGCTATTAATAATGAAATTCGAATGATACAAGCAGAAAAAGTCGATGCTGAATTACGTGCTGAAGAACTCGAATCACGTGTTGTTGGTAATGTTGTTTATCATCTAGCTGATGAGGATATTGATGATGATGATGATGACAATGATAATGATTTAAATACTCACCATCATAGACATCACCCACAAGGAATATCGAATGGAACAATGCCACATTATCATTCTCATTTATCACAGCGTTATTTAAGAAATGCATCACCGCCAACAACATCAACATTAAATACAAATACACATTTCCCAGGACGATTAACACCATATTCAACAACACCGGGAAAATCTTATAAATTTAATACAGTAACATAATCAATTTTTCGAAAAAATATCATTATATACATATATATATATATATTATTCATTAGGCTCCACCTGGTATGACAGCTGCAAATATGTATCAATATAATCTAGGCTCTGATCCAATCAACATGAATGTAAGTAGAATTTCGTTCATGTTCGAACTTTGGTTTGTTTTTTTCATAATATTGTATTCAATAGGAATACGATCATACTTTACATCATCAATCTCCACGTACATTTCGTAATGATTATGGACCAGGAACACGCTATTTAAAATGTGAATCAAGTCCGCCAGTAACGCCACCTCGAGTTACAACAAATATTCGAACAGCTACACCACATCATATTTATCATACATCGTCGAGTATTCAAAATCAGTATAGAATAAATACAAATATGTCGAGAACAAATCCACAACACATCGACGATAATACTAGGCACTATTAGTAAGTAACGAACAGCAATGTTCGTTGTAAGCTGTCTGAGTCCACGTTGACAAAGATTAGATGAATCGTGATTTTTACGAACTAAAATTATTTCGACGTTGATGTATAAGATCATTAAAGTGTTTATTTTACTTGTACAACTGTTGTTCTTAACGGTTGTTGTCAGCGTGTTGAGTGTCAGTTTATCGCTGCGACTGACTGCTGATATACAATGTTTACGTGCGACTATTTTTATTCGAGTTTTCACTAATGAATTTCATTAAGCGAGTACGATGAGCTCATCTCTGTACAGAATTAGCACTAATATTTTTGCTTTTTGCAAACCAATAGTCCGATATAAAAAAGGCAATTTTGAATAGACTCAATATTGATAGAATTTGTTATATCCTTGGAAATCTCATGACAATCTAATTATTATTGATCCTGCCTGTGACTCGTTTTTTTCACTGCTCACCTGGTGCCGTGCGAACCCCTACAGATAAAATAAATAGATTACACAATCATATTATTATTTTATCATGGTCATGTGAAGATTTGATTATCATAAGAGCAAACAAAAAATAAATAAAGTTCGACTCAACTTTGTTTCCCTAGTCTTTTTTCATGGTTGTATCCTTGTGTAGTTTCAAGGTATTTGAAATTATCTATTCTCATCTAATTTTAATTGATCTATAATGAGAAGAAGACGGTTATGCATAGATGATAGACTGATGTTATCAGTGTACTATACCTCCTATCTTCGATATCCACCGAAACGGACGTGGTTCGATTACTTGCTATAAATGCATGATATTACAAGGAATTTTCTCAGCGTCTCGATGAATAAGCGTTTAGGGTACAAGTATTTATCAATAGTCTACTCCAATAATTAATAGTTAAGCATGACCGCCACTAGATATTATCAACTTAGTCTTTACAAAGACATATCTCGGAGATAGGCGGTTTTATCTTATAGTTTAATCAGGCTAGTCTACAAGGGGAAAGATTTTTATTTCTCTCAAAGAGTAATATAACCCTAAATAAAGTTCTTTTAATAGTCAAGGATTTTCCATGTATTGTTTAATCTTATATGAATACCAAAATAGAAAATTGAATAATACGCAACAGTAATTTTAATTAATCTATGAATATTTTAGTACAAATTCGTCCATGGCCCAACCAACATCTTTATCGTCAATAACACATCAAGATTCTCCGAGTCCTATAAGTTCTCAAAATTCAACATCAGGTGATGAGACTAGTTTCTATACAAGAAATCAACAACAACAGAAAAAGAAAGGCATACGAAATTCTCTTGGGCGGTTATTTACACGAAAACCTGGCTCAATCGATAATAAATCCATGCATGAAAGTGTTCATCAGCCGACACCATCTTATCCACAAAATTATCCATCACCTTATGTTACTCGTGGTAAATAAAATATTCTTTTTTCTTCTTCTATTTAAATATATTTTCATCGTCTTTAGCATCATCTGTACCGGTCGATCCTATGGGACCTAATGAAATGAATGAATCGACTACTGGTACATTACTTAGTTTAGGTAAAACAGAATTCGATCGACGTATAAAGAAAAAGTATGTTGAATAAATTACTATTGAAATAATCTAACCTATTTTCTTCACTGAAATTTAGACAAGAATTACTTGAAGATGCCATACAAAATAATCGTCCATTTTCAACTTGGGATGGTGCGACTGTTGTTGCTTGGCTTGAAGTGAGTACTCATCTAGAGTTAGAAGATGTTTAAATATCTATTATTTATAGTTATGGGTTAAAATGCCAGCATGGTACGTTGCTGCATGTCGTGCCAATGTTAAATCAGGTGCCATTATGTCGGAATTAAATGAAGAAGAAATTCAACGTCAAATTGGTATTAGTAATCCTTTGCATCGACTTAAACTTCGTTTAGCTATACAAGAAATATTAAATTTAACATTACCAGATGGTCCACGAACATCAGTTACTGTAAATTTTTTGAAGATACGAACTTTGTTTTTTGTTCTAATTTTACTTTTACTTTAAAGTCATTAGCATTTGGTGAAATGGATCATGAATGGATTGGAAATGAATGGTTGCCGAGTCTTGGTTTACCACAATATCGATCCTATTTTATGGAATGTCTTGTTGATGCACGTATGCTTGAGCATTTAAGTAAAAAAGATTTAAGTAAACAATTAAAAATGGTTGACAGTTTTCATCGGTAAGATAATTCTATTTTATTTTTTTTATGGATTTGAAAGAAATGGTTTTGTATTAAATTTAGAACGAGTTTTCATTATGGTATATTAGTATTAAAACGAGTTAATTACGATAAGAAAGAACTTGATCGAAGACGTGAAGAATCTTTAAATGAAAATCAAGATGTACTGATGTGGACCAATGAACGAATTATTCAATGGTTAACAGCTATTAATGGATTAAAAGAATATGCTAATAATTTAACTGAAACTGGCATTCATGGTGGTTTGATTGCACTTGATGAAACATTTGATCATAATACTCTAGCATTAGCATTACAAATACCAAGTCAACAAACAATGGTAAGAAAATAGAAGAACGAGTTGGTTTCTTGTTCTATGAATAGTTTTGGCATTTGTAATTTCTGTTTTTAGGCACGTCAAATTCTTGAAAGAGAATTTCGTCTATTAATTGCAAACGGTACAGATCGAAAAATGGATGAAGTAAGTTAATAGATCTACAAATAGGATCAAATAAATATGACACCTTTTTTCAGCTTAATAGGCAGTCATAACAGCCGGTAAATAAAATAATGTTGTGCTTTTTCTATTGTGCCTTTCCATGTTCGCTAATAGTTAGAAAATATCTATGCAAAGCAAAGCCCAACGATAAAAATCTTCGCTCTAAACTTTTATCTATCGGAAAATAATTTATTAATCGTAAATTTTATTTTTGTTTTAGAACGACCGAGCAAAATTAAAACGTCATCCATCGTTATTTTCTCGAAAACCGAAATCAAAAACAGTCAGTGACGAAACGACACAGCCCAATGAAGTTGATTCATCAAATGCAACTCCAACTGATGAAAATCAACAATCATAAAATCAATTAATCAAATTTGGCATTAAATTAGCCAAAGAAAGTGTCCTTGTTCAGATTTGTGTATTTTCTCTCATGACATCGAAGATTTTGACTTTTTCTCTTCTTCTCGCTTGTATGTATGTGTGTGCAATTGGTTTTTCTTTCTCTCTCTCTCTCTCTCTCTCATTTTCTTGTGTACCCGCACGACTATTATCTTATATACATATAGATATCTATTTTTTGTTTTTTTCTCGTTGTTGTTGTTAATGATCAACACAGAGACACACACAAGCAAATAAGACTTTTGTTGTGTACGGACCCATGTGTGTTTCAAACAACAAGAAACGAATTGTTTTCTTGTCGAGCGGCGACTATGCAATAAATAATAAACTCATTCTTAATCATGTTTTTTGTAAATCGGCGAGTGTCGATATAGAGACGCTGATTTGTAGCGGCAATGTTTATTTATGACAAAACAGAAATAATATGAGTTAAGGATTTTCCACTAAAAACCCTACCCATTGCTCACAATTCATGTCGTGTTTCTCTTCCTCTCTCTCTCTCTCTCTCTCTCTCTCTTATTCTCCTACTTTGTGCAACTGATAGAGTCATGAATCATCATTTTAAATGGCCAGCGATTCATTCTGTTTTTTTTTTCTTTTGTATACGATATCTTTTTCTTACTCTTTTTTTTCTCCTGCCTATCTCAATACTCACTTTTTTTAAAAGTCCTCTGTCAAGTTCTATTTATTATTGAACTCATTCTCATTTTGTTTCTCTCGTGTGTTTCCTGTCATTTCACTTTCAGCGCATTCTTGATTCATTGATCCTCATCTATGCAGATTGATATTGATCGTGCACATTAACATTATCCTTGTCTTCTGTATAGTTCGAAAAACGTGTGAAGAAAACTTCATTTTCGTTTTGTTTTTGGATGGTTGTTGTATCAATTTTCGTGTTTGCATTTTTTCTTTCTTTCTATGTTGCTCTAATTGTTTGTTTTTGAGAGCATAATTGGAATTTAAATGAAAAATCCCATAATAACAATCTACTGAAAAACAAAAGAGTCTCTTGATTCCTGTCTTCTAATTCACAGATCGACTGATAAAGTTCATACAGTACTAATTATATCAAGACAGCAAGAACTGAAAACTAAAACGGGACTCGACAATACATAGTGAATGAACAGACATCGATATGGATATAACATGTTGATTATAATGATAGACAACGATAGAACTTGAAAAATCGAACGAAAAGGCATCATACTAGATATTTTGTAAGTATTGACTTACGATGACATGTTTGTTTGTTCGTTGATTTCAGTCAATAAAATTAAGCAATCAATGATGATATTATTATTATTATTATTGAAATTACTCATGCGAAAGTGGCTAAATGACAAAAGATATTTATAGTTTTCATTGATTGTAAAACTAGAAATGAATGTCGATAGATTGTACCAATACGTTTACTGATTTACTACTTGTACGGATGGTTAAATTAGTATTCATCGATATAAAATTTTTATCAACTCTATAACATCATTGCAATGCATATGAAAGGCTTCGAAAAAAATTCGGAAGTACTGACAATTCAGAATGCAAACAATTTTTGTTTTTGTCCAACGAAGGAGTTAAATTAAGATGTAGCGTATTGAAATATTGTAGTTTTTATTGTATAATCAGTAGATATGAGTCATTTTAAATATGCAGCATGTGTATGTCATAAACTAATGATTATCTTCGTATCTATTTATCATTGTATGTATATTTTGTTATCTTAGAATGATCCATTACATCCTTGCCGTGCATATAATATGCGCCAGGAGGATTTCCAGAGGGCTCTGAGCACATTCTTTCAGAGACTGGTTGTATACTATTTGAGTGAATTGTAAGTGGTTTCCGCACTTTGTGTGAAAGATATTTCGATCTACAGCTAAATATTTATTTACCTACGATAGTTCATTTTACGATTGTTTATTTCCATAGACTGCCTTTCTTGACTGCACAGAGATCCCATCTGTGGCTTTTGGTTAGCTATTTACGTATAAGTAAAGCAAATATTCATTTTAACATTGCCACTTGTTTTTTTAAACTAACCACTATACAGGAAAGCACATTACTGGCTCGAAGTTTTCTTTGTGCAAGGTCAATCTTACAGAGAAAATAGCTGCAATGATTCCGATTGGTTTGAAACTATCGTCTGGCGGGAAAAAAGCATAGTTCATCGTATAGGTCAGTCATCTTTCTCGTCCGTGTATTTCTAATGCAAAATATCACTGTTTATTATAAGATATTGCTGTATTGCATTTGACCTTTTATTTTATTGCTTCTCTATCGGCGTATTTAGCAATATTTTATTTTAGTTCTAAATCAAATTCAATAGTAACAACTTCGTGGCAATGAACGCTCAATCATTGAAACGTACTTTCGATCGCCTATCACCCGAACCCGATGAGCAGGAACTTACAAATACAACTGGACTTGAAAAATATATTGAAAAGGAAGTAACAGTTAAACATGATTATATTAAATTATGCAAAATAAATTCTATATCTACCATTCAAGATCTTTGTACAGAGATTTTTCTTGTAATTTTTCAATATCTACGTCCTCTGGATATTCTCTATTCATTTAGTCATCTTTACGATCATCTTGATGCTCTTGTAGAACCATATACACCAGCACTTGATTTTCGTTGTGTAAATAAATCCTATTTTAAATGTTTAACAAAATCATTATTTCCATGTTTTACTAATAATTTGCATATACTTCGTTTAAGTAATGCATATACCTTTGGCCAAATAAGAGAAACACTTGATAGACTTGATTGGTCACAAATAACTCAACTTGAATCATTAACATTGGATTTCATTGAATTTGATGAATTATTAAAATATTTTCAAACTGTTCATCCATTGCTACAACATCTTTGGCGTTTATCTCTAACATTTAATGAAAATGATAGATTAACTGAAAAATTAATCATTGATGAAATTTTTATACCTATTAATTCATTTCAATCGCTCAAACATTGTTTTATTAATGGTATTATATTCGATTTGAGTAGATTATCCGGTCAAAAATTACACGGAAATTTACGTGAATTAACAATAACTTTAGCAACAATAAATGATTTAATGAGTCTCTTTCGATCGGCAACACATTTAGAAATACTTACATGTACGATTATGGACAGTACAGCTAATGCAAACATTGATAAAATTCAACCGCTTGACGTCCTAAAAATATTAACATTAACTATTCGGAAATCAATGCCATTCAAAATGCTAGAAAAACTCTTAATCTCACATAGCAAACTAGAAAGATTATCATTAAAAGCTATTTTATGTGATGAGGTAAACTAATGAAATTCTAGAAATTCTATGATATATTCAATCGAGTTACTGAACAATCTGACAGCGTCTACCTTAGATCAAGTACAGGTCAAATTATTCGAAAATCACACTAAAAATTCTAATTTCAGTTGTTCTCTTGAAAGTTTTTGGCGACTATATCACAGAACTCATTTCTTCAACCATAGACATTTTCTTCTAATTCGATTATTTAGTTGAGAGAAATAGCTAATGCAAATAAATAGTTAGACTCTTGAAATTCGATGCTTGTAGCATATTTCATCCTTTTCTAATGCATTTGTTTTATTTTGAATTTAGACTACTTCTATCAGTTACGATCAAGAAATAAATGGATATGTTTTAGAAAAACTGTTTCGAACATTTTTTCATTTAAAAAAATTGGATTTTTATCTACGCCATATACATAGTCATAATAATGTTACAACAAATTTTAGGCCTGACTATTTATTTTTATTTTCATTTACCTCTCGGTTTTGGCTTGATCGATCTATTGAAGTTTCAACACATTTTGTCCTTCGACCCAATCAACGCTACATTTATACTCTACCATTTGCTTTCGATTCATTTGATATTGTTGATGACATAAAAGAGTTTTTTTCCATAGATTATCCGTATCACTATGCCAACGTTCGTCATTTGTCACTTTCTTCAATGTCAAATCTAGATCAATCTATTTATTCAAATATAATTTTGAAGTTTTTTCCAAATATTCAAACAATTACATTCACTGAAAAACCTGCATTGAACATGACACTGAATATTTTGACTAATAACCAATGGATTCGACAGAAGTAAATTTTGTTTTTGCATAAATTAAAAATAAATATATTTCCTGTTACTTCAGATCTGGAACGAATATCTCATCATCCATAAGTTATCCATGTGTATATATTCATAATACTCGAAAACAAACCCATTTACATGTTCGAACATTAAATATTCCCCATAAAGAACAAATATTATTAGCCAATAGCAGTAAACATATTCGACAAATCACGATTCATGAAATGACTCAAGAACAATCAATGTGTCTGAGAAATTTCTTTCCATGGGTTCAAATTCTTACACTTTACATTAGTACGTTAGATGGATGTTTTACATCGAACGATTGGTTATATCATCTGTTGACTGATATGCCATCATTATTTAGTTTAACTATTTATTATCCAAAGTATCTAATTGATGGAACTTTGAGAGATCTACTTGCTAATACATTATTAACTGTAAAAAAACATTTCTATATTAAATGTAATGATGGAATATTAAATATTTGGTTTTAATCTAACTCAATAACTGTTGTTTTCTTTGGTTTGTTATTGTATTCTGCCATTATTTAATGTCTTATGTATAACACATATAGTAAATCTATTCCATTTTTGAAATAAAAAATAAGCCCGTTCTGTTTTCTTCTGATTCTATATAATATATTTTAAATGGGCCGATGCCAGATAATTTTCTTATTGAATAATCTTGACTTCTTTTTCTGCTACGGCAAAATATGACCGAGCGAGAAGATTAGATGATGCAATGAAATAATTAGAAATGTATGTATTAGTTTTTTTTCTTTTCTTTTCTCAAACATCGGAATGTTCTGGCGCGCTTAATCAAAGAATCTGTTGACTTTTGCTTGAAACGGCAGATAAACGAAATATTACTGTAGAATGAATTCATTCATTTATTTTGTAGTTTCGTAAAAATAAGGATTGAGAAATTGCATAAGGTTCCGATAGAACCAAAATAACGTGTTCTTTCCAATGAGAGTATGAGTTGAATTTTTATGGAGACACAAAAATTCAGTTGATCGTTAAAATTTAGAAACAATGATTTAACAATGGTCACTTTCATTTCCGCAGTCATTTTCTGTTCGTGTTGAGAAAATTAGCTTGGTGACGCTTAACGTACTGAAATTGATTCGCACTCTTTCGAGTTGATTGATAACTGTAAAATCAAAAGCTCTTAGCAACGTGTTACTAGTAATCCAATGTTCTTTTATTCCCGTAGGCTCGTTGCAGAGAATGAAAAATGTTTTTGTCAAATTACTTTTCAATCACTCCAAATAACAGCTCCAACTCGTGATATGATTTGTAGGGCATTTGCATAAACCACTCTGAGTCTCAGACATAACAAATGAAAGTTATATCATGGAAAAATTTTCGACTATTTCTAAATATAAAAAGAACCCGGTGTTTTTTTTGTAGTCTATCTCATAAATTCAATTCAAATAATGAAAAGTCTTTTTGTTATCTAATATTTCTTACTTTCTATAGCAATCAATTGACATAATTACTTTGATCTTTCACATAAAAAAATGGCTACATTTTAAAGCAACCCTATTACATAATTCTGACAAGTCGCTTATCTCTTGCATAGGTCATTCTCTTAATTATGTTTTTTTTCAGAATAATAAAAAAGAAAAAGAGTGAATGCATTTTTCGCATTAGTATTCTAATATTTTATAAACCAACATATCTTGATATAGATTAAATCAAAGAAAACTCGAAATAAAAAGTTATACAAGCGACACATTCGGTGATATACAAGATGTATTCATTCGGTTAGGTGCGTCATATGGTGATGATGACATTGATTGTCGTGTTCGAAACTCATATATACGATACTGTTCGAGTAATTGATTAGGCGCAAGAATTGTTGATTCGACTGGTAGATGATTTTCAGATACATCCGAACTGCCCGAATAACCTTCATCATCACGTGTTAGACTTGACGACGATGATTTTTGTACGAAAAATATCGTTGTATGTCCTGGTGACAATGATAATTCGTGATCATCATGTACTTTTAATTTAGATATAGTTGAAATTGCATCATATTCTATAAGTAAAGAGAAAAGCATTTTTTTTAATGATGCAATAGAAAAGCTGACAAGAGATAAAAGGATTATTTTTGTTGGCTCAACACATTCAAATCTACTTACTATCATGTATACTTTCTTCACTACCGGATAAAGATGCTGGTTTCTATATGAAAGGAAAAAACGGTTATAATTAAAGAAAACAATTTTAAAACTACAAAACGTACTTGTTTATTATGACGAAGTTTATTATATTTTCGTTTTCTAACGATGACCATAGCACACATCATTGCGAAAAGAATTAAAAAAACGCCTAAGAAAATAGGTATGATAATCATCCATTGCGATCGTATGAATAATAATAGAAATGTATCATTTGTATCTGATGTTATTTCAAGTAGAAATGTATCTTCATAGGAATTTTTTTCATTAAGTTGTACGTGAAATAAATATTTTCCTTTGACAGGTGTTGATAATTTTAAAAGTGTACAATTAGTTAAAAGTTGAAAATAATTATAAATTATTGGTTGATAACGACAATAGGTTGAATTAAATAAATCCAATGAAGAAAATTCATATTGATTAATTTCTAATCTTTTTCTTATTAAAAATGGTATATGACCATATTCGTTGAATATTCGTATAGTTATATTTGTTTGTAGAATTTTCTTATATTGATTGATTACTTTAAGATTTAATTTATAAATGCTTTGTCTTTCTCGATTGATACTTGTCGCTGTATATAAATGTCCTGTTGTTGCGTTAATATAGAAATTCTTTGTATCATCTATTATATAGGATACATTTTGGCAAAATTTATTTGTTAATTGTTGTAAAATTAATGTTCGATTAGGTAGATGTTCTTTAATATCTAAGATAAAATTATCTTTAGCAAATGAAAATTGGCATAGATTTCCATTAGGTTCCATATGAAATTCATAGGAGCGATTTGTCCACAATGAAGGTTGATCATTATCACATGAATTCAATGACAAATAATAATATTCTTGGTCGATTAATTGTGCATTATTTTTTGTTGATAATATATAGATCGATTCAGTTACTAGACCGTGTTTTATTTGACGTACAAATTGTATTTGAAAATGTTCAGTATCATTTAGAAGTAGAGTTAAGTTTTGCGTTGATTCATCAACATCTTTTATATTTATTGTTGCTAATGGTGTTGAATATGTATTTAGATCATATTTAATTAAATTTAATTCAAATAAAACTGATGGATAAAATATTAAATTTATTTCAGGTAAATTATCATTGATATTTACAACATGAACAATTATTTCACTATAACAAGGTGCTATTGTTGATGATGAACGTGCTTCAATAGTTAATTTATGCATTGTTATTGTTTCATAGTCAAGTATATTTAATAAACTTAATTCGCCGGTTGAAGAATTAAGATGAAATATTTTATATGTATCACCATGAAGTTCATATTCAATTGTTAACGCTGACGATGATGTAGCTTGAATAACACCTATTTTTGTATTTATAGGTGCTGCTTCTGATGTATAAAATTCATATGAATCACGTTCGAAAAAAAGAAATGTAGCATCCGTTAGATAAATAATTAATAATAGTCGTAAGAAAATCATCTGAAACATAGAAAGATAATAGAATTCTTAGTTGTTTCTATGGTCTCAATACAAAATGTAAGATGATCCCTTGTTGTTTTCATTGTTTTATCATGTATTATACTTTGAACCTATACTACTAGTAGGGTTACTTATGGTGGGATTGATTAGCACCTTCACCACTTGCCTCAAATTAATGATGAGACAGGCCTTCTTTTTTTGCTTGTCGAACATACATACTTAATCTCGCTCCGACAACTGTGCACTGCTGATCAGCAAAAAATCTTACCTTGATCTGTGCGCTAATCTCATGATGCTATCTGACACAATACACGCGTATAGATCATTAGACGAATAAAGAGATAGATATCTTATACACCATTATTTTTCTAGACTGAAGATTGTCTTCGCGTGAACAATAGCAATTAGTTTGCATACACATACGCATTTGAACAGAAGCAAGAAGGAGACAGAGAAAGACGACAGAGAGAGAGAGAGAGAGAAAGAGAATACTCTCTCTCTCTGGAAAAATAGACAGAAGAGAAAAAGTTCATTTATTCGAACAGAATGTTGATGATCTGATAAGCACGACGACACCTGTATAGAAGTAGTTTGTCAGGATAATAAATTAGCTTTTCCAAGATATATGTGTGTGTGTGTAAACGACAGACGATGAGCACTGCTCGAAGATACGTGTCTTATACGCAGCGGGGTGTCGAACTACTCTCCATATGTCCGTCAAAGAATGAACGAGTGAAACATATTCAGCTGATTCAATATGGATACAAAGCATATAGAAAAAGCAGTAAGAAAAAACAGAAGAAGTTTGACTTCTTTATTTCTTCCCTTTTTTGATCTGCGTCGATGAATTAGTATAGTTGCCGACGGCATTCAAGTTTATTTTTCTTTCATAATTGATGTTTTTCAATTATATTAGCCGACGTTAGATTCATGACGATGGTTACTGGTTCACTGGTCCATATTGAACTGATCGTCCGAGAAGAATTTCTGATGTTATGATAAGGCTAGAAGAGGCAATCTGGACACCGGGAGGTGTGACCGACATTGGTCAATTACTCTTCATTTTATTTTGTATCCGGTTCGCGATAGGAAAGGAAATTGGCGTCTCAACTAGACTTTAAATGGTCATCTCACGTAATTTCAATGTCACTTACAGATCGACGAATAGACAGATAATTATCTATCGACTTTTTTTTCTTTTGTATAAATGTATTTGGCGATTTTCATCGTTGAATAGTGCCGCGCAACAATGAAACGAAGAGTTCAAAACGACGCTGTTGGAGAAGAGAGAGAGAGAGAGAGAGAGAGAGAAAAAGGCGTTATTGTGTCTGCAACTACCACCTACTGTCAATTAGGCACTGCATGTACAAAGGATTGGTCAGTCGGCAAAATGTTTTAAAAGTATAAAATGTATGTACGGTATATATGTGTGGCATTGTAGACGTGATCCAAGCAGTGTAATTTGTCTTGAGCAACCGTCCGAATGGGATTATGAATCACTTTACTGATGTGTACATGCATGTGTCTATACTGAACGAACGGGACAAGAGACATAGTAACAGTAGTAGCAGCTTGCATCGTTTCTCTGTTGTAAGAGTTACTATTAGTGTAATTGCAATAATGCTTGTTGTAAGAAGAGAGACAGAGAAAGGTTAGACAGAATGAATTCATTGAAATGGAACATTAAAAGTTGAAGAGAACAGAGAAGGAGACATTCGCAATCACTACTTACTGATAGTTGTGATGAATGAGTCTTTTGTGGGTCTGATAGACGTACCTGCATTTGTCTTCTTTTTTTTCGTCTGAACGCACGTAGTTAAAAAAATGATATCCTTGCGGCTTCATTTGACTTGGTCGACACGCACTACGTTAGGAACAAAAGCGAATGTATTACAATAAAAAAGCCTATATGAAAGAGAGCGAAGCGAGGCATTGTCTATTATAAACATATTTATCAAAGAAGTTCAATCATGTTTTGTTTTGAGATGTTGTTATCCACTAACCAACTCACTTGGGATATTGAACCTGAATTATGAGTGTGCACACGCCAAGCATGTACTTTACATATACACCAAGTGGCAGCAATCATTCTTCACTTCCACTGGGTTGTCATCCATTGATACGACGAAAAGGGGAAAAATAGTTCATTCGTTCACCCTCTCACCTTAAAACAAATTAAGTGAACAAGACTACATACATGTCTTCTTTGTTTCTCTCTCTCTCTCTCTCTCTCTCCTTCTCTCGTAAATCTTATAACAATACATAATCACAAGGACTCTTTTGGGTGCTCTTTTTTTCTCCTTCTTGTGCTTCTACGCGACCCGTAAAGCTGATAATCGACAATCAAAATCCATGAAACTAATTATACGGTAGATTGTAAATAACAATATTAATCGAAAGAAAGAAGAAATGATTATATTCTCTCTCTCTTTCTGCAATCAAGGTAATAACAGAAGTAGCCATCGTAATGCTTCGTTCATGACGAAAGACTCGATTTTTTTCTCATTTACTGATGATGAGTGTTCAATTGCCGATGTCTGACTTTTCTTTTCCGATAGACATACACATACACACACATGTTTCTTTATTTTTTGATCGTGTTCAACGTAATTATCTTGCAATCGCGATCGTACATATTTATATATGAGCACAAGTACATATTCAGCTATGATCATTACAGTTCCGAGAATAGCTTACGAATCTTTTCTTTTTTAGCTATAATGAACTATTGCAAGCTGTTTCCATGAGATACGATTTTCGATAACTAAAAAGAAATGTACTCTAGTTATATACATTGTTCTCAATCATTGTTATTATTGATTGAAATCAGAGATGATTGAATTGGATTGAAGGTTATAATGATCATAAGAATAATTATTCATTCTTTCGCACAGTTGTCAAACGTTAAATTTCACACTTTTAGAGAAGCAATTCATGGAGAGTAGCAGCAAAATTTATCACCTTTCAATTGATCGATTTGTTTTGTCTTTTCTTTTTGAGCACCTGAAATAATAGATGCAATTATTTTCTTGAAATTACTAATTCATTTCAATGCATTTTTAAATATAAACGTTTGAAAGTAGAGAAAAAATAACAATAACAAAAAACTTCATATCGACAAAAGTAAATGATATGCATGATTAGAGACTTATTGGTTTAAGAGAATCAATTGTTTTCTGTTTGCTTATACACATACAGCTATCGATAAAACATTATTCAGCACAGGAAAGAAAGTTGATGTTTTGTTGTTCTTTTACGACAAATGTTTTCTACCGTGAAATTACTTTTCCTTTATGATGTGTTAGTACTTCTTGTGTCAATAAAAATAGACAAACACTTACAAGAATTCACTGTTTTATGCATTATACAAAATTTATTTGATAAAAAACACTAATAAAAAATGTTTATTAAGATTTCTATATTTTCTATTATTTATTGTTGGTCTATAATGGCTTTATCATCGGTCAAAATACCTAAATATTTAGTTAACTATTATGGATGGTCATGGTTAGTTGAGCATAGTTTTAAGGTAGTGCCGTAACAGTCAGCTAGTTGGTTTGCAGAATTTGATTTAATCATTTTCGGTGATGGAATCTAGAAGAGTACGCACGGTGATCTTATGAAAACAAATGATATTATGAGAAATTTGATTGTTCATGGTAAACAAATATTTGGATATGTTGATCGAGGCGTTTCAACGAAAAATTCAACTGAACAAAAAATGAAGGAGGCAGTTGATGGTTAGTTAGCGATGGGTGCGAACGTACGAATATAAATCAAAATTGAACAGTAGAGTTTTTCCTTCTTCTTCGCTATGCGATCCTTTCATAAAGGGGAATATTTTTGGATGATGCTACTTTTGACTATGGCATCACATGAGTTCGTCAATCAAATATTATTCAGTATTGTCATTCTAAAAATATGAATGCATGGAATCCTGATGATGTACTTGCTGAAGCTCATATTCAACTGAATTCAAATAAATCGATAAATGTGCCCGTTATCAAAAACAGCTTCATGTTAAAGTGGTATGTTTAGCAACAATGACATCCAATGATCCATTTACACAAGCATGGTTTGGTACAGCCATGCATCATTTTTGATTATTTTCAAGCAACGGATATAACATATAGTGCTAGTAATAATCAACTCGTGTATATACACCTAAGCCAAGTTCACAGTATGGAAGTCACTGGGAAAGTGATACCGCAGCGTCAAATGCAGCTAACAAGTATTTTTCATGTTCAATAGAATCGTCGATGTTGAATATTACTGGAGATGGCGCATCATGGGGTTATGGTACATTTACTGCCAAGGGATAGAAAGAGAGGACTGGTTAATCTTTTTGTAAATTCATTATTCCAATGAGTAATGCATTGATGATAATCAATATTATGACATTATATTTTTGACTTCCTTCAAATCTATGAAAATATGGTGCAAATCTGTCGGTAATATCAACATCTCAGGCCTAAAGATAGATCAAAGTCGACTTTAAAATAATCGATGACTAAATTTGTCTTTTTATACGTTCTAATAGAGTTGCATATAATTTTAGTTTCCAAAGTCCATATATATATATATATATATATATCTTTAGTTGATGTCCACATTGACTGGAATGAGTGTTGAAAGATAAGAAAATAATGTATTAGGTTAAGTATTAGAAAAATACCCAAAACTCATTCACAAAATGAAGAATTACACATCGCTATCTGTTAATCTCGTGTAGATGCATTTTGTTCATTTAATAGATAGCTTATCTATATCTCGGACTGATCTTGATGATTTACTGAGACAATTCAAAAATTATTTACTATATCCATAGCTTTCACTATAATCAGCTGGTAACTTCTAGTTCTATCAGACGTTTTTTTTTAGCCATTCATAAAATCAAAGTTGAAAATCTACCTCATTGAAGCTGGTATACGGCAGCTGAGAGAGTGAGAGAGTCTCAAAACAATGTCGCTTGAAGATGCGTGACCTAGTATTTTACGACAAGGTTGTCATTGAATCTTCTTCATCATCAAATAAAAATTTTCTTTATCTTCTATGGCGCAGATATCTCATGGTCTATCCATTACTATAGAGTGACGATAATATCTGTTGTTGTTTTTTACATTGTAATAGGTTTCTTCGAGGTCCGAAGAATTCTTTTCCCAGATTTTGTAGCTTTTTATGTTAGTTAATATGAACTTTTAAATTATCAGAACGGATAAAAACAATACCGATTAGTTTTTCTTGAGAGAGATTTTCTACGGGTTCATTTAACAATTGAGTAGCTATACGAAGGAATATTGATTGATAGACTCGCCCAATGCAAAATAGTTTTTATTGAAGAAAATGAAAAACTAGTTCTGGATGACTGCAACATCGTTTCTAGGCATTGTTAATAGTGTTTCTGTTTTCTGAGTTAATATAATGGCACGCGATGGCTTACGCAGAAGAGTTTGTTCAGCAATTTTAGAAATTCAATATTCAATCCTTATCTTCATACATTTCTGATGTGTTGAGTAGCGTCAACTTTCTGTATGGAAGTTTTTGTAGATTTTAGTAATTGTTATTGCTCTTCCAAATGTCAAGATATTGTTTGGTCTATATATAGTTCCCAATCTAAAGTTCAACAGAAACATTTCGTATAGAAAAATGGTCACTTCAATCGTTTCTATTTTCCGATGGAACGATTTACATCTCTCATTGTGTTTAATAAAAAGGAAAAATTTATATTTATTAAATTGTCAGTCTTCGTTATGTCTGCGTACCACGTTCATGAGCGTTGATAGAAAGAATTTTCGGGTTTATTGTACTTGTTTTGGGACGCTTCATCGCTTTAAAAGACAAAAAGGTTAATTAATAAAGAATTTTATGAATACAAACAAAAACATCATACGCGGATTATTGAGTTGAATATGAGACCTTCTTGTACGTCCTGCATTACTATATATATGATTCGGGGATACATGTGGCTGTCGATGAAACTCACGTAATATTGTTGAATCAATAGGCGATGTGACTCGATCTATACGTTCATTGTGTACAACAGGTGATGAGGGTCGCTTTCTAGCGTCCATTGGTCGTATAGTTGATGCAGCTCGATTTCGATTATCAGTTGCTTGAGTCAATGATCCAGGGTTGACTCTCGTCGATCGTTGCGGTTGTTGTTGTCCTATTGAAATGTTTTATTGGTCAAAATATTTGTCGTATTATTAAATTCTACTTACGACACCACATAAATGCATGAATCAATAGAAGAGCCGAGTCTATTGTACCGATAGCAGCAATAATTGCCGACCAATAACCTGAGAAAACAAAACGAAAATACTCGAATCAAAATTGATTTGAATAATTATTTTTTACCATAATCCAATGTTGTCGAAGGAAATTTGATATTATAAATACAATGCAAGGTAAATAGAGCTTGTAGTTGTACACAGCCGACTTGAATCACACATAATAGAATAACAAAGAGGAGTAAACATCGTTGATAACGATACTCAACTTTGAAATTGAACGCAACGATAATAAAGATTGAAAACCATAAAATAGTCACAAGTGCCAATTGAAATGCAATAATTAGAATGGAAAATATGTTAAAACTCAAATCTAAAACATATCAATTTTCAAACAAAACAAAAACCTTCTTTAATAAACAATTCTTACAACGAATAATAAAGAGAATAATCGATATAACGAGAAAAACAACCGATATAGTCCAAGTTAGGAACGGCCACCAAAATCCAGTTTTATCTGCAATTGATTCAATAAAATAATCATTCAAACATCGTTTCAAATACAATCGAACTCACCTCGATGAAAATTTATAAGATAGAGTGTACCACTAGACAGAATAAAAAAGTGAATCAAATTCACTAAATAAGTTATCCATAATAATGAACCTGTACATATGCCGTAGGGTGCATTATAATTTGTTGTAGTATCAATATATCCGGTTGATACAAAATAATCATACCAAAAGATTTGATATGTTGTATCTGTTGAATCTGTGCAACTCATTGACTCGGCCCTTATCAGAAAACTACTGAGATTCTATATGCTTGAACGTTTTGACAAATTCATCGACGAAGAAAAAAAGGCATAGTTAAGATTATTTTTTGTCGACTCTAATGAGCTTCTTTTTCCTCCATGGTTGTGCTGGTTTGCAAGGAAAAAATTGGTTGTTTCTCGGCATACAATTCACCGATAGTCAAGGCTATAGTTAAATGTAAAGTAGAGCAATGCTTTTGTCGCTCAATCATTGAATTTGACTACTTAGGAAAATGCGATTTGACGTAAATTGTTGGTTAGTAACAGATAAATTGTTTAGAATTGAAATATTTTATCCGTTGTGTTACATTTTCCATTAGAGGCGTCTTCATAGAAACATCTAAATCGTCAATATGCTAAGGTCTAATTGATATACAAGAGACTCGCAGACAGAACGACAGTTGCAATAATGGCCTTTGGCTTATGGACCTATTTACTGTTCAAGACGACTGATTTGTCGATGACATAAATGGAATTGATGATATGTTGCAGAATTGATATCGCCTAATAATATTCGAAAGGGTACGTGTGACAACAGATTATCATTCGTATACGACTTAACATATGTGAAAAACTTGACACTCATTTGAATTGAAAATATAAAATAAACTTTCACAGAAATTTTTATTTTTTTCATAACTTCTTTTGACTAAAATCATTTAAATTCGATATATTCATCCTTGAGATAACCTTTCAACCGTGCTTTAATGATTTATAAGTTTGAATATATATATATATATATATTTTATTATGCTTGTACATCCTCAACTTTTTGTATAGTAATGAAGTCGCCTGTATTTTGATAAAGAACGAACAGAACGAAAGAAAGAAAGAGAAGAAAAAGAAAACGATTGTAACGTAATAGAAAAAAAACAAATTTTCACCATTAGTTGTTTGTATTACAAGTTGAAAAAAAAAGGAAAAGTTTAGTGAGTGATCATTTAATCATTATAAGGTCTCATAAAGAAACATTTTGTTTTTATTGTTTACATTAATCGCTATGTTGTATATTCTGCAGGGAACCAACTAAAGCTTAATAATATCAGAAACAATTTTTAGAATATCTGTATCTTTGTATGATATTATGTCACAAATAGACACTGAGGCAAAAATCGATTACTCATTTTTCTTTTTTTCTTGTTCTTCTTCTTCTTTTATGCTTCCCATATCGGCCATATCGTCTCAACGCTAATCGAATTATATATATATATATACATAAATGTTATGCGTATAAAGCCTTTTCTTTGTCTGTCTCAATCGTGCAACATATAACGATATGTTTGTTAGTAGCGCGTGTGCGCGCAAGCTGGATATTATCTATTATGCGATGTGCGGACTGGCACGATCGGCATCATCATCGTCATCATCATCCGCTGTCATAAGATCGAATGATGTTAGTAGCTCGTGTTACATTCATTAATAGTAGTCGTCGTTTTCTCTTTTTTCTTCGCGTTCTTTTTATTCGCTCGAGCCTATCTTTCTCATCCGGTCTGTCTTGCAGGTAGGAGAACAAGAAGAAAACGCTCGTTGTGTCGAACAAGAAAAAGAGAACAAATCGTCTCCTAGTTTCTCATATGCACCACCACACCACAAACAACGCCAACCCCCTCTCCGAAAAAAAAAGAAAGCGAAAGAAACATTTGACAAACAGAGTCGCGAAAAAAAAGATCCCTATTTGCTGGCAACTTCTTCATATTTCTGCTGTTGCTTCTTCTCTTGCAATGTGTTGTTGACAACAGAACGTCACAATTATACAACATATATATGTATATGTAGTCGTTTGACATTATTGATTGAATCCGTACTGATGATGACTGTGCTTACAGTGGCGCTTACACATTCTTCACTAGTGTCCGCCAAAGAAAAAAAGTGTTTGTAAAAGAATGAATAAATGAAGAAAAAAGAAACAAGAGAAGAAACGAAACACCAAATCAATGACAAATATTCTCAATGTTTAGAATCATATGTCTTAGGCGAATGTAATCGTTTTCTTTTTTTTGAGTTACAATAGATGCACTTGACGGATTTGTATAGTAAACAAGTAAAAATGTGATCAAACCGAATAGAAGAAAAAAAGTCGAATGATACACGATTGACAACTTTCTTTCGTTTTCCGTTCTTTGGCAACTAAAGTATATTTTCAAATGCACAGAAGAATTGTAGTTGAACTCTTAAATGTTAACATGATCATAGTCATCAAACTGGTCTAGATTTTTTTTTTTGATTCTGTGAAAATGAGAAGAACGTAAGAGAAAGTTTGACATGGTCACCTACGCAATTGGTCATGATGTAAAGCAAGTTCGTTTATAGTGGCATTATCGAGTTATTGCTTCATTACATCATTGTTCTTGTCTTTACATTCTTTCATTTCTTTGTTCTGTTTTTTCGTTGTCGAACATGACAGCGCCAGTTTGACTGATTGAAATTATACTAACTCAAAACAAACTACAAACAATACCGGTAAGCAATTTCCGCACTTAAACTATTTTAATTCATGATTGCAGACCCAACTAGTCCTTCCTCTTCTCTTTGTTTCCTTTTTCTTTTTATTTACATCGATTACATAATTAAAAACTGGTTGGAGAAGTAGAAAAAAAGAATCTCAACTATAATTAAGACTAAATAGTCGACCCATTCAAGCACACGTCGACATTGTTCAGCAGATCATCATTTTGTTATTTTTTGTGTTAGAAACGCAACAAAAAAAACTGCGCCGATACTAAGACATTCCGGCTGTTTTTGCCTTTTGCACCTTCCTACAACTGGTTTTATTTGTCTATCTCGTTTTTCTCCATTCATTTTTGCCCCGCTTTCTCTTTCTTTCTCGTTGATTCTTATATTTATTCGTGATGCTATCGATGTTGTTATTGTCATCATCGTTGCTATTACTACGCTTCGTTCGATTATTTTTCTTTTTTGTTGCTCATCTTCTTACAGTTTTACCCTTCATAACAGCAACATATCCAAGAGTAGCTTTTATGTCTTTCTAATCTCCACTCAGTCCATCATCTCACCGATAACTTGGTTTTTTGATTCTTCCGAATTTAACGTTTTGAAAAAAAGGAAAAGAATGATGCAAATACATAAATGATGATGATGAAGCGGGAGAAAGTCAACACAGCAACTTATTTTATTTTTCAACTACGAAAGAAAAAAAAGTGAATGGACCGAACAATACTTATATTCAGACAGTTGTACAATTTTGACATTCAAAAGCATGAAAGGAAAAGTACTCTGTATTTTAAAATGCCTTGCTGAATGTGTACGAAGAATCATAAATAAAAACCTACAAAAAGAAAACACAGACAAACATTGTTATAGGATATGCATCAATCGTGTTGTCATGATTGTTCAAATTATTTAACATATAATCATCAATAAAAATGTCATCCATTACTATAACTTCTCTTTAACTTTCAAAGAGTGATTTCAACTAAAGATTAACATATTTTTACTTGAGATGTTGAGACATGTTTAACAAATAAAGGGTCAATCATCGAACTCTATAGGTCACTATTTTTCTCTCTCATTCAATCATGTCATATTGAAACTGTGGCGATGACCTCTGTACTCTCTATTCGCCATTTATACTCGCTCCTTATTATACCTCACTAAATAACAATACAACGATGATGACGACGACGACCTCTCATCCTCCATCCTCGTCTTTTCGTTCTGTTTCTTTAGCTGCCCTATGCCCTATCTTCTACCTAACCATTCATATACGAGTTCAACCATAATATGTATTAAACAAATCGGCGTGTCCGCTGAGAGAAAGAGAACAATTGAAAAAATTTAGATAGAAATATGTATATATATATATATGAACTTAAACTGATAGTTTTTTTTGTTATTTTTTCTTTATTGATGAATATGACAACAACGCAAGAAAACGAGGTAGCTCTTGCAAGGAAGAAAATGATTTTTTTTATCGATGGAAAAAATCACTACGATCGTTTTGTGACTATTTTGCTGCTTTCTTTCACTCCTCATTTCACGTTTGTATAGCAAGTCAAAATGCAAGAGAACAAGTGCACGTTTCCCCGCTATTTTGATGTGCAACAGCCAGCCAGAGAAGAAGAACAAGAAGAAGAATTTTTTCCTCTCTTTCTCTTCGTCGTTCGTTGATATAGGCAGACGAAGCAACGCGAACCTTTTTGATAGTTTTTGATCGATTACATTTCTTTCTTTCTTTTGCTGCTGCCCGTCGAGCAATGAAAAGAGACCAGTGACAGTGACATATCGACGCCAAGAGAAAGAGAAGTACCTATCTACAATTCGCGAATCATCGACGAGCAAGAGAAGAAGAAACATCTAACGCCACCATCATCAACACAAAAGAGAAAGACACAGATAGACGGGTTTGGCTGGTGCAAGTGATTCTTTCTCGTTTTTCTTTTTTTTTCTTCCGTTCGTTCGCTTCTCTGCTACTGCTGTACGACGTTTTGACGTATGTCTTTTTTTTCTTCTTCTCTTTCTCGTCTGTTGTGTTTCGACCAGTCGTTCTCGTCACTACATACGGACGCGATTATTACCCTTTTAGATGATTTAGTCGATTATTTTTCTTTAAAAAAAAACACACAAGGAATTGAACATTTCCAACAGGTGAATTATATCATTACAGATTTTCATTAATATTCGTCCAATTGTATCAATGGATGAATGGCGAATACAACAGCATCATAGAATGGTATCAGGTGGCGTCGGTCCAATACTCAGTTATCATACAGTACATTCAAGAACTTCTCCATATCCATCACCACATCAAATGAGTGAACTAAAACAATCATATCAATATCAACAGAATTCCTCAACAGCATCTTCGAATCCTATGTCGCCTTCAAATATGGCACAATCACCAAATCCGAATGCAACACAAATGTGTGTTAAAAACGATTCAGAAGACACAACATCGTCATCATCCTCAACATCATCATCTGATGAAGTTTCTAATACAACAACAACATCATCAAATCCTGTAAATTTTTAAATAATTTTTCTTAATATTTATAAAACTTTAATTTTTCTTAGAATGTTTATACTCCTAATAATACAAATGTTTCATATTCACCAGCACAAATGGAACAAATTCAACATCAACATCAACAACAACGCATGATGGCTACTAAAACCCATGGTCCCATGGTTGGCTATCATCCAGGCCAACAACAAATGATGGCAGCGCGAGCACGTTCAATGCCATATCCAATGCCTCCACCTCAATCTCATCATCATCCTCAGCCTCATCAACATGCATCCATGTATCCGCATCCACCTAATGCAGTTTGTCAATGTAGTCAACATATGCATACAACTAATGGTCATTATCCGATGCATCCTTCACAACATCCAATGTATTATCAACAACAGCAGCAACAACAACAACAACAACAACAACAACAGCAGCATGAAGCATGGTATCGATATCAACAACAGCAAGCCGCTTGGAGACAACATCAAATGCATCAACAACAACAGCAGCAGCAACAACAGCAACATTTACATCCTCAACCGATATCTATTGAACAGAGTTACAATGCTATTTTATCTGATACAACATCTACAACAAAATTAAAAGCAACAAAAACGAAATCGAAAAAGAAACAATCAACAACATCTTCATTAAATGAGGAGCCCATGATGAAATATCAACCAATGCCGCCAACATCACTGAATTTATCTGTGCAACAGCAACAATCACGTGTATGTATTCCATCAACGGCAACAGCTTATTATCCATCAGTTTATTCAACATCAAATCCATATCTACCAGCCCAACAACTACCTCCAACATCATCTTCATCTATTCCACAAGATCATCCGCTGTATGCTCAAACATCTCCAACAACTCTTTCACATCATCAATCTCAAATATTCACAAGTCCATTGAGTAATCCTGGAACACCACATCAGATACATAGTAATGGAGAATTTAATGGTACTGCTGAATTTGGTGTACCCTATCATCATGTTGCCCCAGGTTCAGTGAATTCACTGACAGATGCTCTTTGTCCAGGTGGTGATGCAACTGATCGACAAATGACACCTGGTCCACCGGTAAAGATTCTAGTTGTTTTTTTTAAATTCAAAACAGTTTTTTAATACGGAAATTCATTTTTTTCAATATCTAGAGTGTTGGTACACCTCGTGTTGCACCACATCAATATTCATTTCCGCATACGCCACTAACTCCTCAAACAATAAACAATCAAAATGCAAACCCTCATACACCAGTTATGATGCCACCAACACCAAATCCATTATCAGCTCCACCGACACCTCTAGCACGTCCACGTTCATCAAGTGATCAAACACAACTTCTATCAAATACAATTCAACAATATGAGCAAAATAAATCAATGAATAATGTTGATGATCTTGCTGCTTATCTTAAAGATCCGACAAATGTCTATTTAACTGATGATGTATCATCTGTAAGCTTTCTTCAAAATTCATTTACAAGAATAAAAATATTTTGTTCGTCATTTTTTTTCTAGACATTCTTCGATGATATTGATGCACTAGCCGATACCTATTTGGGACCACAATCAAACAATCAACAACAATCTCATGTTGAGCGTAACTCAGCTGAAGATATTCTCTTGAATTTTCTTTGTTCAGATGATTTAACAGCATAAACTCAACAACAAAAAAAGACAATATTCTGTACGTTTCTGTGTTTTTAAAATTAGTTCTGAAAAAAGAAGAGAAAATCTGTCGTTATTGGCCTATGTATATTTTGCAATCGTTTATTTGCTTTCAAAATTTGTTTCGTTTCATAAACAAAAAAGAATTTTTTTCTGTACGCTAGTGCGTTGTTCATTGTACAAAGGAAAAAAAACGTTTATTAATTTAAAGAAGAGTTCTCTCTGTATAGTTTCTCTCTCTCTCTTAAACAAATTTCTCTCTATCTCTGTTTTTTTTCTCTTTCTTTCTCTTTATTATTTATTGTGTATGTGCTAGAGTTTGCCTCTATCCCTATTGAAAAATTATTATTATTATATTACTTATATCATGTTTTTGTTTTGTTCTTATTGTGAATATGATGAATTCTTTTTGTTTTTCTTTTTCTCTTCAATATTTCTTTGTTCAAGAAGAGAAAGAGAGAGAGAGACGTCGAGCAGAGCTATTTTCGTATTTAATAAAAAATAATGATGAAAGATGAACAACTGATTAGTCTAAGACATGTTTTTTTTATTTATCGAAGTTTCGGTATTTGATGATCTGGTGAAACATAGAAGAGTAGAAAAATGATGCAAGAACAATATCTAAAAGAAAATAAATGATGAAGAATTTTTATCGAAGAATCTAAATGGTTACGATATCCGGAAAGTGTTTGCAACGTCGATGAAAACAAGTTCATATCTAACAACATGGTGAATACTATTGGTATGTAATGGAAAAATTATGATGTAGAAATTTGGCCATGAAGAAAAGGACGAACTCGAAGAATTATTTTGGACAATGTTTTTTTTTTTGTTTGAAAATAAAGAAAACTAGGTCAAGAAAAAGAATGACTAGAGAAACCTACCAAAAGTAAAAGACATGTAATAGAGAATGTATAATATATCAACATTGATTTCATATTCAATTTTACTTAATCAATTGGAGAAAATAGGTCATTCATAGTTTTCAGCGAAATTCGTTTCCTTGAAATTTCGAAACCAATTAAATTGAACTAAGACTATCAAAATTTTTATCATGTGTTCACCTTCGTCGTGAAATGGAGTACTGTAGAACAACAAAGTCTCAATCGTTTCTTGGTATGTCTAGGAAAACATTTATCATATTAATAATAAATGTAGAAATCTCCATCGAATAATATAATTAATATTTAAAATTAATAAACATCAAATTTCGATGTTTGACACAAATAAAAATCAAGTCGGGATAATAGAAAATAAATGAGGAATTGTAGGTGTTGATTTTTCTACTTATATCCTATGTTTTTCTATTTTTATCATTGAAAGATAAATCTTATGACATGTTAAACAGATTTCATTAATATAATTTTAGACTCGAACCCGGTTATTTGAAGATCTTTTTGTTTTCGATAAATATCAACTGTAGTATTTTTATGTTAGTTTACCATGTGATGTTTCTCAATTCAATGAATTATTTCACCTAGAGTTGCAAGATTTTGTTTAAGAAGAAAGAGTGCATTTAAAACCGCGCCCCTTGTTTTTTTTCTCCTATGGCTTACATATTTCCATTATTTTGAGTGATTGAAAGATATTTGTCAGTTCTTTGATCGAAACGATATGAAGCATATAATTTAAAATTCTGAGAATTTAAATTTTTCGATATTTCACCAACAAATGTTTGAATAATAATTTTATAAAATTTATATTTATCAGAAAGTTCTTGACGAATTGTTTTAGCAATATTTTGCGATAGTTGAATACTTAAATCTAGATTATAAATTTTTTCATCAAGCTGATCAAGAATATATTTTGATACAAAATGTTTTATTTCATTTTCATCTAATCGATTTCGTTGTCGTTCAACAGTGGTTTCATAATTTGAAAATATTTTCAAATCTCGTTCATTTATTTTCCAAGGATGAGAGTCATCTATCCATGATTCAGTTATCAACATGCTAGAGACAAGAAATAATAAATAATAAATACAAGCGGGAATCTTTGATGAAAACATCACTGATGAAAAAATGTTGTCATATTTTTCTTTTCGAAAGAGTCCAGAAAAATAATATTTATTCAACACTACAATATCGCTGTATTTACTTTGACTTTATAACCAAACATACCGTTTAACAAGGGTTGATAACTAGACATGAATATTTTCTCTAGCTTTTTACTTTTCTTTTTTTATTTCAAGGCTATGATAGTGAATTCTTATCTATTTCGTTTCTTATATAAGGATGCATTATTTCATAAATGGTCAATAAGATTCTATCCGACTTGTTGTTATTTGTATTCAAAGACAAATGCTCGCCATTCTTCTTCTCTGTATAGTTGGTTTTGTTGCCGCCCAACAACCTCAACCATGTGTAACACCACAACAATGGGAAGCTAACATTTTTGACTACAGTGAACCAAACAGATTCATGGTACGTGGACGATTGAGTTACGATGCTACCAATCACCGTGAACGTCTCCTTGAAGAAGTTGAAGTTGGAGATGACCGAGAATACTATGATGTCATTGCTTTGTTTGATTTACAAACCGAATTTATCTATAATTACAAAGCGCACAATTGTTCACGTCAACCATTAACTCGACCATGGCGCGATTTCGGTATTCGACCAGATGCTCGTTCATTCGGTGAAGCTTACATTGGTACATCGGCATTACCAGGCTTAGGTTTATTAGTCACCATGTGGTAAATTTGCCTTTCTATGTTATTGTATCAAATTAGAATTGATTCTATTTCTAGGGGTACAAACCATACAACACCCACAAACGACACTGTTCGCACATTCGGAACCTGGACATATCGAGCATGTCTTCCAGTCAGTTTTATTAGTCACAGCACTCAAATGGGTCGTACTCAATCATCATTCTTCGATATTGTTGCTGGTATCAGTGATCCAAATGTATTCATTCCACGACCAGAATGTCTTACAGCCAAAGAATATGCTATGCGAGACACCCTTTTCGGTACACCCGCAAAAAAATTAAATAAATAAATAGACAACTTCTTTTTATTGACTATTTTAATGTAAACCTAGTTTTTAATCAATAAAATAAAACAAAGTTTCCATCTATGAAAAACATAATCTTTATCTTGCATGTAATTTTACAAGATGATAGCCATTCGAACAACAAGCACTTTTTGGATTCTCATTCTGCAGTCATTTTAAACTTAAGACAAGTATAGCGTAGAGAGAAAAAAAAGAATGGAAATTTGATTGCACGCTTTGCGTGTTAGTACTATTGTTATTGATATTTATAGAGTTCTTCACATATGTACATCATGCTAATCAAGATTAAATAATTTCACGGTAGACAGAATCCTTGAAAACAATATTTATTATTTTTGTTTTGTTACTTTAATAGCACTAGCCAGACGCAAATCGAACTATTCGATTAGAAGGTCACACAATCTGCGAAATTGTTCGAGACGATTCTCGATTACTAAACACGAAAATGATAACCTATTTTTGACTGTGTCATTCTTATAGTATGATTTTTAATTTTCCTTCGCATCATCTAAATGATTATCCAACACGATATAACTTTATTTACTTGTACTTTCATGCACTTCAGTAACACCCTTTACCAGTCTTGATAATACCTATGTGTCATCTTTTTTTTAAATTTATTTTCTTTCTAAGGTGATAATATATGTACTTTAGTATGTGGTCTGTTTGAGTCGATGCTAAATATGAAAAAGATATTTTTTTTATGCTTATCTATTCCTATGAAAAATAACCAAAGAAGATATTTGTGGTTCTCTTGTGTTGTATGCTGGCTTGTTTACTTGTATTTTTTTTGTGGTAGGATAAAAAGCCACCCAGTACTTTTAGCTTTACTAAAACATGAAGGACATCTTATTAATATTCATATAGAATAACAATTTACGCCATTATCTAAAATAGGTTATTACATTGTTTAGGACAAAGAACTTTCTATTGCGTATTTTGAAGTCCTTCTTCAAGTCGAAATCAACCATAAAATTTCAGCTAGTGCTTTTCTATTAATATTACATGGTTCTAATAAATATATTCTTTAAAAGAAATTGTGTATAAACAAAAGCTGCTTTTTGCAATGCGCTTTCTTCAGTTCACAAACAATCCACGCACATCTAAAGAACCTGATAAGCTTTTTCGTGGCTTGCCTTTTCTCATGTTAATAAAAATCTTTCGATTGTTCCCTTAATTTGATGTTTATAGTTCGTTTTCTTGTAAATATAAGCATTCTGATGATATTTTCATGGATGATCAAGTATCTCAGAACTCTTGTGATCATTTGTTTGATGGTGATTCAAATCTCACAAAAAAAGTATTTTGCACAATATTATTTTTTTTCCTTTAGTGGCCATCGTAAGTGTGTTAGTGTTAGATTAGACTGCGTTGATAAGAGAAGATACACTGCTGTTTGGTTTCTTTTTGTTAAAACAAGTTAACTGACAACAATGTTGACAATACACTCTGTTTTCAGTATTACATATATATATATATATAGGCAAGTCATTTCTCAAAATCTTCAACAGAATAGTTTAGTCTTCGTTTACTATTTCATTTTCAACAAACTAAATAATGCTTGTTGCTCTCGTTCTTTGTTTGGTTGGCATTGTAGCTGCACAACGACCAATTCCATGCACGACTCCATCACAATGGGAAGGAAATGTTTATGATGTTAATGAAGAGCAAAAATTCCGATTAAACGGAAGATTAAGTTATGATGCAGTTTATCACCGTGAACGAATTGCTGAAGATATCGAAGAAGGTAGTCAAGATGATTTCTTTGAACGACTTGCTCTTTTTGAATCACAAATTGAATTTGTTTACAACTTCCGTGCTCGTAACTGTACTCGTCAACCAATAACTCGACAATGGCGTGATTTTGGTATTCGTCCAACAGATACTTCATACGGTGAAGCTTACATTGGTTCATCTGCTTTTCCTGATACAGGTTTATTAGTCACAATCTGGTAAATAATCTTTCAATAATACTTCTCAATTAAATACTTCTTTGTTTTTTTATATCTAGGGGTGGTAATTTCACTTTACCAACAAATGACACAATTGATTATACATCAACATGGACCTATCGAGGATGTATTCCAGTTACTCGAACAAGTTTCAGCCCTAAATTCGGTATTTCACACTTGTCATTCTATGATGTAACAGCTGGTATCAGAGATCCAAATGTGTTTATTCCACGACGAGAATGTCTTTCAAGTGAAGAATGGGCTAGCCGATATACTCTCTTTGGCACACCAGCAAAAAAGCACATTTAGAAAACATTTTTTAAATGAATTATATCATAATATTTCTTTTACAAAATAAAAATTTTGTGTAGTTTCGATAAACTAACGCATACTAGAAACTGATATCATTTGTGTGATGTAATCAAAGGAATAAAAGCTAACTTTCGCTGAGGTTTCATCTTTCGAAAAACATCATGTGTGATGATTATCAGCCAATTGATTGAAAGTGAATTTGGAAAATTTTGCACAATGCATTGAAATAATTCTGATGCAGATTTAGCATCTATATTAAACGAACAAAAACTAAAAGAAAATCAACAGAATAGAAAATTCAATAATCGAAGTTATATTATTTTGAAGTGAGAATCTGTTCTAACCATTTTGCAGTGTAATGATTTCTATCATCCGGTGTGACTAATTAATTCTTCAGTGGCAAAAATCTGTTTTGTGTTTTTTATCAAGATTTTGACGCAGAAGAAATTGTTTAAACATACTATTATTATTTTTACTCTTTATTAGCCAATGTAAATGTGTTATCTTGCACAGAACTGTACTGATAACTGCAATCTACACTGACGCCCCGGGTAGTTTTTTTTGCTAGAATCAAGGTGAGTGACAACAATCTTGACTAAATTCTTCTCTCAACGTTGTATATATATATATATAGAGAGAGACAGACAGAGAGAGACGAATCATTTTTCAGCATCTGCAACATAAGAGTTTATTCTTCGCTTACTACTATTTCATTTTCAGCAAACAAAAAAATGTTGGTTGCTCTTGTTCTATGTTTGGTTGGTATTGCCGCTGCACAAGTACCCGCTCCATGTACATCCCCACCACAATGGGAAGGTCGTGTTTTCGAAATTAATGAAGAACAAAAGTTTTCATTAGGAGGCAGATTAAGTTATGATTCACTGTATCACCGTGATCGCTTTGTTGAAGAAGTTGACGAAGGTGGTGAACAAAATGTTTATGATCGACTTTCCCTCTATGATCAAAAAATTGAATATGTTTACAATTTCAAAGCCCGCAATTGTACACGACAACCATTAACTCGACCATGGCGTGATTTTGGTATTCGTCCAACAGATACTTCATACGGTGAAGCTTACATTGGTTCATCAGCTGCAGCTGATACAGGTTTATTAGTCACAATCTGGTAAATAATCTTTCAATAATACTTCCTAATCAAATATTTGTTGTATATCTAGGGCTGGTAATTTCACTTTACCATCCAATGATACAATTGATTTCATTTCGACATGGACCTATCGAGGATGCATTCCAGTTTCTCGAACAAGCTTCAGTCCTAAATTTGGTGTATCCCATTTATCATTCTATGATGTAACAGCTGGTATTAGTGATCCAAATGTATTCATTCCACACCGAGAATGTCTTTCAAGTGAAGAATGGGCCGCGCGAAACACTCGCTTCGGTGTATCAAGCCTGAAAAAACATTAGAATAAATTCTTCAGTACTTGTAGTTCCATGAATTCTTTTAAAATTCCTAAATAAAGAAAATTTTGTCAAAGTATTTCATATTAATACTATAAGTAATTCTGATTTTTCAATAAAGTCATCTCAATTTTAAATCGAACTGAGATTTTAGTTATTTTGAAAAGCGAAAAAAATGTCAACTGTTGAACAAAAAGATCTAATTAAATGGTTGCGAAGTATATCATTTCAATAAATACTGAGAAGTTCAAAATAATTATTGTGAGAGAGGAATACTGGAGACTTTATTTATGCGAAATCTGTATTGAAAACAACAAAATTAAATGGCCAGTATACTCTAATGTTCCCCATGTAATAAAAACCGCATGAAAATCGGCGGTTAACCGCGGTTTTACCGGTCCGGTTACCGGCTCTCATTACCGCAGAACGGATAAATACCGTGGTTTACCACAAAAAATGAACTGGCATTTACCGCGGTAAACCGCCGGTTTTGATTAATACCGCGGTAAACCGCCGGTTTTGATTAATACCGCGGTAAACCGCCGGTTTTGATTAATACCGCGGTTACCGCTAAAAAACGCGGTTAACCGGTTCATCTATAATTTTTGACAGAAAAAGTCTTCCAAATCATCAATTAAACTATTTTAAAGATCCTTTTTTTACTTTTACATGTAATAAACATGCGCAAAAAAACGCCGGTTTTACCGGTCCGGTTACCGGCTCCCATTACCGCAGAACGGATAAATACCGCGGTTTACCGCAAAAATTGATCCGGTATTCGCAACATGGGTCTGTACCAGCCAGAGAGCGAAAACGAACCGAACCGAACCGAACCGAACTCGAGCCGACTTTTTGAAAAGTCAGTCGAACCAAACCGAACCCGAACCGATTTTTAAAAAATGCACTCGAATCGAACCGAACTCGAAAAAGATATTGAAAAAATGAACAAATACAAGTCAATGTAGAAAAAAATCTAATTAGGTGCACTATCATCTATTTCTTAAAAATATATGCTGCTGACAATGGTTAAAAGACCTTTGATCAGTTCTTTTAGGTAATTAATTCAACCTGTGTACAATATTTTGTTCCTTATTCATATTACGTACACACTCTGTTCGTGACGGTCGGTCACTTGTAAGGGTGATACATTCTTAATTTATCTCTCTTTTTTTCTCCCATTGTCTTACGCTGCAAAGAATGGACGGATGCTCGTCTAATTGACGATAGTATATGAATGTCAAACAGATGCTCTATCGTCATTTCTCTTTCACTTCTATCTTGACATTAGTGTAAAAGTTATATTTTTGTTCCAATACACTACTCATTTCAACTTGCCATGTGAATAAAAAATTAAAGAATAAATTTGATAATTATCGAATATATATTGCAATGTTAATACAATCAAACCGAACCGAACCCAAACGGATTATTTAAAAATGTACTCGAACCGAACCGAACCCGAACTGATTTTTTAAAAATACACTCGAACCGAACCGAACTCGAACCGACTTTAAAAAAAGAAAGACAAACCGAACCGAGCTCAAACCGACTTGAAAAAAAAGACGAACCGAACCGAACTCAAATCAGAAAAAGTCGGTTCGATTCGCTCTCTGATAGAGATTTCGCTATCATCCCATGTGTCATAAGAACGCGAACACGACACAAATCGCTATCCCCCGAATATTCACATGCCACCTAACCATTCGACGAGACCCACTTGAATAATCTAAAAACAAAAGAAGAATTGATGTAAATTTGTGATTCTCGAATATAACTCACCAATAAGATGAAATACATTTGAACAATCTAAAACAGAAAAGGAAAAATAAACAAGTTTTTGTTTTAGATTCTTGAATATAACTTACGAATTCGATACAATTCATTTAAAGAAGCTTAAAAAGAAAACTTAATTTTGGCATTATGTTTCTATTCTTCAATGTGCCTTACCCTTTGAATGAAATCTATTTGAAGAATCCAAAATAGAAGTACAATTAATTTTCGTTTCTATCATTGCATCTCTTGATTTTTAGGACAAAATGAGTTATATCGGAAACCTACGAATTTTCAAGCCTTTAGCAACAAACAATTTACTCTCGGAGATTCTTCAGGTGTTGATAAACATTCTCGAAAATCTCTGAGAGCTTGCAAAACGGTTTCCGAGAGAGCTCCAATTTTCTACGAAACAATTATTTTTAAAGATTAATTCCTTATGTCCGTCCTTACCTATTATTCATTTATGTATATTGTCATTTCTATCTTTAAGCCGATATTCTATATTTAACTTCTAAACTGTATACTCAGTGACTGCTATTTACCGTGACTCGTCATTTATATCCTTAATCTATGAACTCGACATCGAACACCTTCTTTCTATATGCACTCTTTTAAAAGTGTATATAAATTCTTATGACTATGTCTAAGCTATTATATGCTTATGTAACACTTTTTTCTACGGCAATCCTTTCAAAACTATATCCAACTCCTCATAAATATGTCTAGCTCGTTGCAACTATATATATTCCCTTGCATCAGTTTTTAATGACTTATAACTTTGTCAAAGCTCTTGTTTCTATGTGTCACTTGTGAAAACTATTGATCATCACGTATATCTAAATCAAAATTCTCATAATTCTGTCTAAATTCTAAACTCTATCCACATTGGGCCAGTGGAGTAAGAATGAATACACAAGAAGTTGTTAAAACTTTTGTATTTGACTATGAAGAAATAATTTAATGCTCTTGTATTAGTGTTAAAACAGTAACTCAATACTTCAGCATTCATGCTAGTTTAGCATTAGCATAATTCAAACAGTTATATTTTCAATATTAGCTATTGGTAGATATATATATTCAGTTGATCTCTGAAAAATGAACAGGATTGTTTTGTTAAGTCGACATCGATCGTCAAATCTCTTACGAGGTAACATATGCAAGTGTAAAATCGCTTTTTTCATCAAACCTAGTGGATTATAGGTAATCGATAGTGCTGATTCAGAATATCAATATGAAATGGGCTTCTAGGCCTTCGGAGGTCCGGTTTCTAGAAAACTGCTTTTTCAAGCCGAAAACCTTTTTTCATCAGAATTTTTTTTGATTCATCCAGGTTGTAGAGCATGTCAAGTTGTATATAAAAATGTATTTTTCATAATTTTATAACCTTTGTATAGCGAGAAAAATTAAAAGAAAAAAAAACAACAACAAAGATATATAATAGAGAAAAAAGTGCTTTCCCCTTAGTCTTTTAGGCTGAAAAGTGAAAATGGCGAATTATTCTCGACTTATGACATAGTTTTTAAGTGAAAGAGTTTCAGGTAAGCTATGAAGAGTGGAGTTTAAATGAATGAAACGAGAAATATATCGTATTTTAAAAAGAACACGGCCTAGGTAATAAAAGAAAGCCGTCTGCGTTCCAAAACCTAATGTATGTCGAAGGGTGTGGGTGTGGGTAAAGGTAAGGACTCCAAACCACACCCACGCCCACAATTGTAAAAACAATCTTTGTCTTTGAAAAATAAACAAGAAATAGAGAATATATTTTTTTTATTGTTCAAAGACAAAGATTTCGTCTTTGTTTGTTTTCTGAAACACAAATTAATACTGCTACCAGTAATGATTCAACTAACTAGAAATTTTGAACATTGAAATATTCATTTAAAATTGTTAGACGCGATGAAAACTGCCTTTGTTCTACAATATATCTTTGTTGTTATTTTTTTTCTTTTAATTTTTCTCGCTATACAAAGGTTATAAAATTATGAAAAATACATTTTTATATACAACTTAACATGCTCTACAACCTGGATGAATCAAAAAAAAATTCTGATGAAAAAAGGTTTTCGGCTTGAAAAAGCAGTTTTCTAGAAACCGGACCTCCAAAGGCCTAGAAGCCCATTTCGTATTGATATTCTGAATCAGCAATATCGATTACCTATAATCCACTAGGTTTGATGAAAAAAGGGATTTTACACTTGCATATGTTACCTCGTTAGACGAATTATCTGAACACTTTATACTTATGTAAGCCTTAGAACTTATATTTATTTGAAACACTTGTATACATGTCGAATCATCTATATCCGTCGTTAACTTCATATATATTCTTAAGCTCTCAATATCTATTTAGATCCGCTTTAATTAATGCACATATCTTATATCTGTGTCTATACTCCGATGTCCTTTTGCGTGCGTCTATATCTTGCAACCTTAAAATGGTTTCGTGGACTGGTGCGATATCTAATAGCATATAGTAAAGTTCCACAAAATCTCAAAGGATTCGTGTGGCGCCATTTGTTTTCAGTGTGTCGCACTACACTACCGAATATTTTCGAGAGCAATCAATTACAACTACCGGAAAATTACGGATTCCCACGAGTTTCACAACAGATTTTACCGGATTTCACGATATTCCGATTAAAAGAACCGGCAAGAGTATAGCTCATACCTGCATACAACGATCCGCGGATAAACATTATTCAGTCATCAAAAATCACACTAAACACCATCCCCGCCGCGTATGAAACCATCCAAAATTACCCTCAAAATCACCTATAACAAACTGTAACACATTTTGCGCCAATAGCAACTACTCTGATTAACATTCAACACAAACCAACCGCTTTTTCGGTCACAAATACCCACTCTAATAATGATCCTACACCATCCCAACAGACTTTTTCTTCCGCAACCACGACTCTAAACATCTTCCAAGACCCATCCAATACCATATAGATACGATGAAAAACATTCTTCACAGAAAGTAATATCAGTAAATTCTTATCTTCGACCAAATATTCTTGTTTAGCTAACTGCTTCATGTAATCACGATAGTTTTGATTGATGGTGATAGGTACTCGTAACATTGGAAACTATCATAGCAAATCGTCAATCAACAATTCGAAATGCAATTCCAGACAAAGAAGATGTGTCGCATTTGCTTCATATTACCCCTTTATTTAGAGGAGCTCTAAAGGGTGTGTGGGTGTGGATGTGGGTGTAGATATCGCTGTCGATCGGTTGTAAAAACAGAATGCACACCGATGACTGCAGCCTGTCTTTAAATAGAAGTAAAGGCAAACTAAAGACAACTCATCTTCAGTAACAGCAGTTAGAAACAAGAAAGAAATACCAGTTTGAAAAAAAATAGATGCAAATATTAATAAAAGCTGAGGATAACAGTTTTTTACGCTGTAATTTTCCTATATTTCAATTTGCATAAATACGAAAATTTTGAACTTGCCAAAATTGCTTATATCAACTAGGGAAATTCTAGCATTATTTTCAGTTCTGTTTTTGTATCTGTGAACAGAAACTTAGCTTGAGCTCAACCTTCAGATAGATATTTCTCACTATTAAACATAAGCTGAACTGCACAATTTTGACTGAAGGTCTTGAAGATCTGGACTATTAGTATGAAAGGTGTTGCTGCCAAGAATAAAGATAAGTAAAAACGATCACAAAATATCAGATATCGAATTAAAGATCTTATGAATCTGCATGTAAGAGACGTTCCGCGAAAAAACCGAATATTCTTCTGGACACCAGCTGAGGTATATTTGGGTTTTCGCTTTTAACTATATGGTTCGAAAGAGCATTCATTTTTACCAGCAGATCCAATGTTTTTCGTTCTAAAAGTGATCCAAAGACATTTTAGCCGGAATTGACTTTGTGCACCCTCTAAATCATCATGTCATTTTGCTCCTAAATTCAACGGGAGTTCTAATTTGGCATTTTCTTGAAAACAGTAGAAGCGACCGAATCGATTCACGCTTTATGTGATGATCCGTGGTACGTTCCACAAAACACTATGCATTATGAACAATATCTGTTTTTGTACTATAGAGTTATATGGTACTGAAGGTTAAAATTCATCAAAAACAATAGGCGCGAAAATATTCATTTTTTCTTGTTTTAGCCCCCTTCTAACTCCGGTTATCAAACTACCAACACTTCTATTATCTCATCTTGTAGAGAGTTTCAAGCTGCATCCAACCATATGAAATAAATGGTCTGAAAAAACTATCAACAGTTTGAAAAATTCTTGACAATGAAAGTCTCATCAAGATTCTAATATATGAACACCCTGATAATTATGGCAAAAAAAGTTACTAATCATCATGAAAGTAATCTTTTCGTAGCTTGTTTAAGAGAATACAGCAGTTTATAGGCTACTCATTTATTATCATGGCTTTAATCTAAATTTTTTAGAGCTCCATTAGATCTGCGAAGCAATACAAAACAAAAAAAAGAACGCACCTAATTTTTCAATCGATTGAACTTTAAAACATATGCACCGAAATGATATGACGATTCACTTGAATGCGCAGAGAATGACGAAGAGGCAAATGAAACAGGTCAACCAATGGTAAAATTACTTAAACGAGCACATGAGGAAGAATGAAATATATTTTTAGGCTTTAACCTCTTGATCGAATGGACGCTCATATCAAGTGAAACGAATTTCTTTCTATCAATCATTGCATGTCTCTTTGCACACATGAGGTAAAGTATCCACATGTATACGCATGATCTATAACGTTAAATCAAAAGCAAGGTGGCTGGGTGTGGATGTGGGTGTGAATAGCTACCAAGACGCGTTTCATCCTTGCTTAAGGGATTCATCAGTTGGCAAATAATCTATATGATTTGAAAAAATCAAAAGATTTAACTATACTATTATAGAACTTTATTCAAAAAGAATCTATAATGATAGAAAAAATTAAAAGTAGTGTGAATACTAGCCACGTTGATGTAGATCGTATGGTTATTGGTAAGGTGTTGTATTTTGGTTTTCATCATTTGTAGGTGAATTTATCTGAAACAATGAAGCAGATTTAAATATCTAGATAAGGTAAATTCTAATGATAGAAACATGAGGATTTTTTTCTTTTTTTATTTCGTTGCAGTTAGGGGTGAAGGAATCGCAAAAGTTGTCCTTTTTGTTGAGTTCAATAGTTCAGTTGAGTTTGTAGTTTGAGTGTCAGTATGAACGGAGAATTTTTGAATGAGTCTTTCGATCATGGTGTTGCTGGTTTTGAGGTTGTTTGACGTCGTTATATTCCTCGGTGTTTTGCTCCTGTTGTCCTATAAATATAATGGCGAAAGGATATGAATGGACGGAATTCGAAATAAATGAATAGTTGTTTTTTCAATTTTTATGATTATTGTGAAACTCATGTTGGGTTATGTTCTTTTGTAGTAACGTGTGTTTCGGTCGTTTACAGATCAACTCATTACTGGCTTGGTGTCGATTTCGATTGCCAACGATAAGTTTGGTATACATTGCTGGTGTAGACTAAAATATATGTTCGTAGACATGATGCATATCACGTTTGCAAACTCGAAAGCGTTTTTCATGTGTGTAGTGAAGAATTCATTTTTCTTCATAATTTGTAATTTTGGTGTCGAGTTTCGTTGGGAATTCTGGGTGTGTGAATAAGTTGCCATGATCTAGATTTCGACCTTGCTAAAGGGTCTCATCAGATGGCTTAAATTATTCTGAATTATTCTTAAACGAAAATTCAAAACAAATTCTAAAATCTTCAAGAATTTACAAAATTATATAAAATAATATAATTCTAATAATAATAATGTAATAGAAGAATCAATTCACAAATCATTTTTTGGTTGATAATCGTCGCTGAATTAATTTTTTTGCTGTTATTCCGTCGGTTAGGTAATGCTGCGGTTCGAGTTGATATAAGCAATAGCATTGTTGTGTTTGAATTGAAGTTTGTTGAATGAGTACTTATGGTTTGATATTTCACTCGGTGTTTGACTATGTCATTATCGAGTCTTGATAAATATGGAATGGTCGTATACATTGTATCTGAAACAGAAAAGAAATCATTAATGAAAGAATGGTTGATATTCGATTGGTTGTTGTATATCTTTTTTTTCAATGTTCTTTTATATAATTGGTAGCTGAAATGTATCTCATAGGTTAGTTATAAAGAAAAGTTTAGAGTAATAGCAGCTTGGAAGTCAGGTTTTTTTAGTTATTTATATTTTGTTGTGACTTGACAGCTGGTTCATTGTGTTTCCGATGTTGATGATTATTGACCATTTGGATCAGATATATTTGATTTTCGTGATTGTTTTCTTTTTCTTTGTCGTTCTAGAAACAGAGGATAAAATTAATTATTGTGTGTCGGTTATTCTGTTTTGATTTCTATTTTAGATGACTTACTTTTGAATGACTTATTGATAAGTAAAGATTGTTTAGGTCGTTTACAAATGAGTTCAGTTTTTACCGGACGACGATTCTTATTGCCAACAATCAATTTAACGTCGGCAGCAGGTGTATCTTTGAATAGATTATCATAGACTTGATGCATGTCTGATTTAAATGTTCGAAATCGTTTTTCATGTGTATAATGGACGATTAATTTATTGCCAAAAGGGTGTGGGTGTGGGTGTGAAGAAGCTGCCATGACCGGTTTCGATCTTGCTTAAGGATCTCATCAGAGTGTGGGTGTGAACAGTAGTCAAGACTAGTTTTGTCCTTGCTTAAGGGACTCTTCAGTTGGCAAATAATCTGTATGGTTAAATAAAAATAAATAAAAATATTTTAAAAAAATCACAAGATTAAAGTATACTGTTATATATTATAAAAATTTTTGACAAAATAAAACATAATTCAATATATAATGATAGTATCCATATACAGATTTTAAAGAAAGAAATTTTAAAGAAAACGGAGATCGACGCGACGCGTTTCGTCCTTTCTCAAGAGACTCATCAGGTATTTTCGAACTTCTATTATGATATAAACCAAAACCCTCCAAAATGCTTTGAAGTAGTTAAGAACCAATGGTAATAAGTCAAAATAATAAATTATATATTAATATAGTATATACTAGATTGCGAGTACCACACGATGCTTCGTCCTGACTTTACTCGATGTTGATTATTAGTTTTTCAAGAAAATTCAAAATAATTTGACATAATCTAAAGTATTCTAATAGAAAGTAGATGTCTAACCGTTCATTATTCAAAATTTTTTACATCAAAACAATTGTACTGCACATTTTTGCACTAGAAGGTCACGTATTATGTTTGTCTACAATCTGTTAGTATATAAATCGAAAATTACCAAAATCAATGTAGAATTGAAATCTGTAGAAAAAGTTACATAAACACATGATTCCAATAAGAATTGAGAATTTGAATAAATTGATCATAAATTAAATGGCACTGTTTATTCGTCGAAATTTATTTTCTGATTACTTCTAGGCAATGTATGTCTTTTTTATTTCTTAGTGGCTTATATTTAACGTTTCATTCTTAATGAAATAATATTAGATCTTCCTATCGAAAATTAGTTTTTTGTTTAGCCAATGCATAAATTCGTATACAAAAGTAAATTTTTTTGCTAAATAGTTCGAAGTACTATAATACTTATTGACAGAATATTATTTTACTTCAATATCACCCTTATCAGTATTAATATATAATCGTAAATTAATCGATATAGTATATATGACGAATTCTTTTAGATGTGCGATTTTAATAACGGATTTCTTATTGTGTTAAAAATCATATAAAAACAAAAAAAATCGACGGTAGACATCATCAATCATAAACGTACATGAGAATCGTAATCAAAATGCTTCGAATGTACTAAATACATTGTTAAATAATAGCTTCTTCAATTAAATGAATAGCAATTCGATGGACTATCTTGAAAAAAAGGTTAAGATTCGGTTCCGCTTGATCTAGATTTAATAACTTAGCGTCGGTTTCATTTATATACTGTATTAATCATCCATTTGTCGATCCATTTTACTTAATGAACTATTCTGTTAATTCTTTAGGAGTAACAGTGTATATTCTGATTTGATCTAGGAACTATATCGAAAAACAGTCTTTATCATCAATAACCATTCTGTTAAGTAATTACGTTTTAAAATTTTCTTCTCATTCAACTAGTCAAAATTTCATATTTGATTAATTAGGAATGGTCACTCAATGATCATATCGATAATAATAATATCATCTCAAAACGAAAACGACACACTTCTAAAGATGATCATGATAGTAAAATCATTAAATCACTCAGTCAATTGTCGATCACACAAAAGAATAAAAAAAACAAAAACAAATAATATAGAAAATAAAAATTCAACGTCAACATCCAAAAAAACAAAGTAATCAACAACGACATGAACCAGCAGCTAGCACTTTATCTAATCTACTTCTGCGATATTTAACTGTATCCGATTGCATATTTAAACGCATATTATCAAATACAACAGAAAACGCTAATTTAATTGTCCCATGACTGGATACAAAACAAAAGTTGCAATCTACTCGCCAATTGGCACATACGATTAATATGCTACAATATTTTAATTTACAACAAAGTCTATGGCAAGCCTATTACAATGTTGGCATTACAGAACATGGCTGGACTACACATATTTCGAGATATGCCGCCAAGGAACATGCTACTTGTACCACTTATGGTCGCTCACAAAAATTCGTTGAACAACGTCTAGCAATCATAAACAATCAGTTGAAACAAATAAAAAAAGGACTACAAGAAATTTCAATACAACTACCACAATGGACAGGTCAAGCTCAACCATCCGTTAATTCCAATACATTGTATGTCGCCATTGAAGAATTGGTCAGTAAAAATCAAAAATATTTACATGAAGAATTTCAGTACAAAGAAATGATGTTGAAATTCGATGTGAACGATCATCGTCTGATTACGAAAGCTTATAATTTATAACCAAATGAAAAACAAGTTTGAATGTTGATTCTAATTGTTGCTCGAATTGAATTCAACTATTTTTAGATTGCTTGGATTAAAGAATATTGGAAACAAACAGCTGTTGAATTACAAGCATTAGAAGAAGTAGAAATACTTCGTAAACGAATCTCTTTACAACGACTATCACCATCATTCGACAATCATGTAAATCAATCAATCGTACCACTTCAAACGATGCTTTCATGGCCTATTATTAGTAATGAACAACGAGCCATTCTTTTATCACGTTGCTCAAAAGCTGTCATACAATACAAGTTTGATATGATGACACTAAATATTCTTGCCATCGAAGATACTATAGACTTTTTTCGACGAAGCTCCGATGGTGATCATCAATGACAAAGGCAGTGTGCCCATCGGAGCAATGTAAACATCTATACTCGAATAACTGCCTCATTTCCATTCATTCAAACAGATTTAAATCTTTCGTCAGTACAAATGTCTATGTTGATCAAAGGTTTCAAATATATCATTCCTTGTCAAAGTCGATTTTCCAAGACATCAACCGATAATATCGTTAAACAAAAGTACATGTCTATATCCAGAACTATACAGCGTTATCTTGATGATCATGGTGTCGTAGCTCAGGAACTTGACGATAAAGAAGCCTTTCTAGCGTTGAACCATCTTCTCCATGAACTACAATCGACATTATTGCCATGTAAATTTAAAATTCGTTCTCGACATGAACGTAACATAGTGAAAAGTATTCGTCAAATATTATCCACCAGATCAGATGTTATAATGAGGCGAACGGAGAAAAGCAAAGTATTATTTCTTGGTAATGCTTTAGAATTTTCAAATAAAGCATTAGAATATATGATAAAAACAGAAGCTTATCAAGAATTAATCCATGATGATTGTCCATTGCATGATATATTAAATGCTGTAACATCATTATTGATTTATCTTTTAAAACATCGAACTATCAATCAATGTCAACATAAGAGAATGAATCCAAAAAGGGATACATTGGAATTGGCTCATCTCTATTTCATACCAAAGCCACATAAGGTAATGTTTACTTTTTAATCATGATAATATTCGCCTATTCTCATAGCCGGATTGTTCTCTACGGCCAATTGTCGCAGCAAATCATGCACCAACTACAATGATGTCTCAATATCTCAATGATTTATTAGCACCTATATATCTATAAGTAGCTCGAAATACGACTGTGATCAATGGCATCGATCTTATTCGAAGTTTAGAACAATACGTATCAAATGGTCACCTCAAATTGAACACACTTTTCATTACTTTTGATGTCAAGAATTTATACACAATGATACCGCGACAGAATGGTCAAGAAGTATTCCGACGTTTTTTAGAATGTCATTTGAAACGTAGCAAAACTGGGACATTATCCATTGATGATTTAATGAAAATGGCATCTCTCGTTTTGGACAACAACTATTTTATGTATCAAGGCAAATATTATCAACAAATTCGAGGTAGTGCAATGGGATCAGCATTTACACAAACATTTGCCAATATATATATATATGTTTGAATGGGAATAAGAATTAAGTCAACATCAACTATCCAACAATGAAATCTATGGAAGGTAACTATAAAAGTTGCATTTACAATAACTGATAAGATAATTTTTTACTTGTCTATCATTGTTCATTCTTTTTCTAGATATATTGATGATGTCTTTATGACAACTAACTTATCACAGGATCAAATTAAAATTCAATTAGACAAAGTTGCAAAGAAAGATCCAAATATTGAAATAACATATAGTATTGCATCCTGCGTCGATTTTCCTGATGTTATCATTAACAATGGCAATGGCAAATTAACTACATCCATCTATCATAAACCAGCTGCTGAGCCGCATATTCTTCCATACACATCGGATCATTCTCGACATGTACATCGTAATATTCCATATGCTGCACTATTATCTGCTGCTCGTCTATGTTCTAATATCGATGGTTTTCACATGGACCGTGTACGTATTGACATGTCATTACTTTAAATGATTATCGACCAGCATTTATCTCAAAAACAATTTCTTCGATTCTTCCAAACGAATAAGGTTTTACCAGTCTTGCAACAATCGGATGCAATCATGTACGATAAATTACATAGCACATTACTTCAACAGTCAACTCGGCGTGAAAAACAACTAGCAAAATAGTCATCAATTGATAATGCCGAAATTCCCAAATTCTTATTAATAGATAAGCCATGGAATCCAAACTTCTTGTATGTACCACATCGATTCGCAACTGGACCAGCATTGACATTTAAACATCGATTTCGAGCTTGGTGGAAAAAATATTATTTGAAACAAGAATCGAAAGTGGCTCATGTCAAAGTTAAATTTGCAACAAAAACAAATCGAACATTAGAAAATATTTTTGTTCACAAAAAATTTCATAAAGCAAAGTTAACAAAACGAAAGCTTCCACAATGAACTAAACGTATCCACATGTACATCATCATTTGTATTTCATTTCATTTTGTTTTTTCGTAACAGTTTATGTCCATAGTGTATATCAACGTGTTGTGAATAAAGTTTCCCATTCTAATAAAAAACAACATGAGAAAATCATCATTATCCATATATTTTTCATATATTTTCAGACTATTTACTATACACACTACGCTATAAATCAGAACGAATCAACCATCTAACGTCAAGCTCAATGATAATAACCAGAAAGAAACAAAACACTGTACTCAAACGCCAACACAAAACAGTGAAATCTGAATATGGCAACAAAAACAGGAAGAAAACAATGAAAATACGGAAACTCAAAATAAACTACATCAAAGGTATTAACCCTTTCTGCCAATACCCCTTTCTGCCAATTGAAAAATTGGCAGAGCGTCACAAAATTTCTGCCAATTGGCAAAAGTGTGTTGTAATTGGCAGCGTGTCTAATGATTTTCTGCCAATTGGCAGAAATGGCTATGAAACTATAAACTCGAATTTCTAAATTAACTTAAAAAAATATTCTCGACTAAACTTAAAGATATATTTTTATTCTGTTATGGTTTATAAGTTGTCGCTTCCTTATATAATTTATTATGAATTTCAATGAACATTGAAGATTTTTGATCCGATTTACTGTTTAGAATAATTCTCACAACAGAACGAGTAATTCACTTTTCAACGGAATACGATTTGGTTGGTGACATAACAAGCGAAAATAATATTTATATATTAACAAATTAACAGAGGTCGACAATGAAGAAGTTGTGATCTACATACAAGAATAAAATGATCAGATTAGAGGAAGAAAAGAGAGAAAGTACAGATTCAGTGCACTTAGAAAATAAAATATTAGTTAGAAGTAGAGAGTGGAACGAAGGCCAGTCTAGTATAGTAGTAGAGACGAGAAATAAAACACATCTAATGACCTTTGCGGATGAAAGGCAAAATAAAAATGATGTGAAAATGTGATAAATAGCCCAGTATTTATACATTGTAATAAGTCGGACTGTAAATGAATACAATTTAGTTCAGTAAGTTGGCTATTCAGAAAGAGAATGTCGGTCCGTTAATTCAACAAACTAAACCAGTTAGACCGATAGAAACACGAAAAATAGAAAAGAGAAAAAGAAAGAGGTAACGATAAAATAGAGAGATTCAATGGCTCATAGCCATTTGAAAAGATAAAATCAGTCGTATTCAATTAAGTTTCTTCTTTCATATTTCCCTATTATAACCGAGAGACATCTTTTACCTATAGAAATAATATTAACTTAAGCAATCCGTAAATTCCCATGGGCGATTGTTTGCCAATTGGCAGAGACGTCTGTGACATACTGCCAATTGGCAAAAAGTGCTATAGTTGGCAGAGTGACATAGATCCACATCAAAATCCATCTTAACGTTCAAACTTCGGGAACGCATACAATCCATAAAACCAATACAAAAAATCTCTAACAAAATCATTATTACACACAATCAGAAGTTCATCAAAAAAAAACTTCAGAAATTCACTCAACAACATCTGATCAATAAGAGCCTATAGAAATTACGAATACTTCAAAAACTGAAACATCTTGTACACTTATCTTTAATTTTATTGGATCAGTGTAAGTTGATTTAAACATTAATGATTTACCGAAATAATTTTGATTGAGATGTAGTCATAGAACCGAACATATCTTATGATTGAACGGATTTAAGCCCCGTTCGAAATGCATCGTATGATGGCTTGGTTTCTAATTATATATCGTTGAAACACACCAGTTGGAACTGAATCGTGGCACTTTCATGAAATTAAACCACAACAAGAAGTTTTCACACGCATCACCATTCCGGATTCAATCATAACGGCTCAACAAACCAGTATGGAATCTCAATCAGAAGTTTCTGGAAAATCATCTGATTTTCAAATCGGTAGTTTATGTGATTAATCAGTTCCTGAAGTCGACGAACTGAAATATCTTCAATCGCAGAAGACCATGCAATCAAGGATAAACGAAGTTAAACCTGTAGAACAGATTTCTCAAAATGCTGAGAATTCATTACAACTTTCATCTGCTGTACCTGTAGTCAACAAACAACAACAAAGCTATCTAGAGACACCGAAAAGGCAACCGTGGAACATAGACTAGAACTACAGCCCAATCAACATAATTTGAACCGGAAGCCGCGATTGCACGGTTTACTACAAGCCTCAAACCTGCCGATACGATTATCATCACATAATCATTCTCACAATTCTTTATTAGTATACCTGAACACCTGTTTGGTCCAGGGGGTGTTATTTCTGTGTTCAATACTAATACTGTAACGGAAAAATATTTGATCGCGTAAATATTCTTCAAATAACTATCGAGATATATAGAATCGCGTATATATCCTGATAGGACGATGGACAACAAAATGTGGATCAGTATCAGCTATATATATTAGCCACTGCGTGTATAATATTAACAACAATTCCACACAATAAGTTTATTCTTGTCCAAAATGAGTTCTGTGTGTTGTCTTTCAATACAACCGAATACAATCGTACGTATTACAAAGCACAACTTTCTTCTAACTTGAATGGTTTAGAACTGAGCTCGACTGCCCAACTATAGCGAAAAAGAGAAGAAGTTTAACTCTACCGTTATACGTGGCATTGATGTTAGTTGAGCTACTTCATTCTAAATCGTTATGACAAATAGAGAGGCATAGTTTAGTGTTTTACTACACGATGTTTATTCAACTATACTCTACATCCAAATGTGTTCATCTAATACAAAGCACACGCTTATATACGCCACCAAGAAAGAAGTGCAGGGAGAGAGAAGAAGATACATAGAGACAAAATTTATTGAGAGAGAAGCGGATACGGAGAAAGAAAAAGATATCTAGAGAGAACGTATACACAGAAAGATTACGTACTGTTCAGTGCGCGATTCTGTGTTACGTCACTGCAGTATGTTCATCATCTCTATGACTTACACGTGGACGTCCGGCGGTTCATTGAACCCCTATCTAATATAGTCCTTTACGCGGACGTACTTCTTGGCACAAATACGAGTTGGAATCGCTTATAATATGGCAAGTTCGCCAGGCACTTATCATGCTCAATCACCGACTATCAATTCAGAATTCACTATTAACTCCATGCCACTGAAATGTGCAAGAGGTTATGTTGAAAAGTCTTTATCATTTAATAAACCAATTGAAATTCTTCGGGATCTAGAATCACTTTTAATTTACGGTATAACGTAACAATCCAATCGGATTTTGGACTTCTTATTCGGACATTAGACCTTCGGACTTTCACTGGCACATGTTTTAACTCAGAGAAACCACAAGCCAATATTTACCCTAGGCGAACTTTTTTATTCAAGCGCTTGCCAAGACTTGAGTTCAAGATGTGTCCATAGCGCATGCGTTTCTGTCCACAGACAAGCGCTTGAACGCTTGCATGAGTCAAGCATCAAGATCAAGAAGAATATGCGCTGAAATCATGAAGATTATGTGAAACGATATAATTAGAAAAAAAATCGGTCTGGATACAATAAATACTGCTTTTCTGTGCAGGATCTAATGGGTATTCTTAGGGTTGGCAACATTGGCACCTGACTACTGATTTAGATTGCCTTTCTGTTTTCCTTTTAACAATATTTGTTTGTTTAAACTACGAAATTTTATTTTCAATTGGTCATTGTAAAAGTTAAATAAACAAAAATCACTGTAAAATGGTGGGTATTGGTAATACCTGAACTATTTTCAGTATCTTGTTATGGAGATGTGCTGATGTCGTTAGTATTGTTGTTGTTGATATTGATATTGGAGGTTCTAATTGTTTTAAATAGTTTGTTCCGTTTATCATCATGTTTGAGCTGACGAACTGACTCTTTTACTGTCTGCCATGCATCAGTTAATAAGTTTTCATCGTTTCGCAAGGTTTTATCACGCTTTTTCATCAAATCTATGAAAAGTATGAAAAAATAATAATATTTTATTTTTAAATGAGTAATCACTCACTTTTCAGCTCGTTTACTTTTTCTTCATCATTAAGCACAGCATTTGGATTCGACGTGTAGCCAGCAGTGCGGAAGATTTGCCTAACCAATCGTGTATGTTCGTCAAATCCATAGGAAAAATTACTAATATCAACCCCAAGCACAAACTAGAACAGCAGAATTATAGTTTATTAGCGATGAGGAAATCACTTACTTCTGGCTCAGGCGGTGGCGGTGATCTTGATGCAGGTAATTGATTGATAATGTTCGATAAATTCTTATTCTAAGTTATAAATACGATAAATATCGAGTGAAATAAATATGATTTACCTACTTCCATCAGAACTTTTCGCCTTTTCAATATCCGAAAAGTTTTTTCTAATGCTTTTAATCGATTGTCTACCTTGTATTGATATATTGAAAACTCTTTTTGGAGCTTTGTAAGTTCAACAGAAGCAGTTGAACTTGATGCCGCTTGTTTCGCATGTGACTGAAATTAATACGTTACATAGAAAAAAAGATTAGCAAATTCTAGATCACACCGCTCTTTTTCGTTTTTTTTAGTTGATTTATTTTGTAATGGCAGCTCATCATCTTCTTGTTCACAGCTATCACTCGCTTCGTCCCGAGCATTTGAGACAATATCTAAAATATGCATAGATTTATACAAGAGAAATTAAAAAAGAATATTACTTGAGTTCTCTTGATTTATTTCTTGGACAATCGCATGTTCGTCAATTAGTAATGGTCTCGGTGATAAAGTATTACTAAAAACTAAAAACAAACATCACGATAAATGAGTGATTGATGAAAATAGGCATTAGCTACTGTGCGTTTTTATGAAATGACAATCTCAAAGAAAACTTACCAGTTTCTTTTTCTATATCATTTTTATTTTGACTGGTTTGTGTCTTATATCCTGCGTCACCACTCATCGCATGATCACGTTCGGATGCCAAACATATCGTTGTATTTCCTATATGCTTATAGCCAGTGACTACACGAAAATCTAGAGCAGATTCAATGACATCGGACATCTGCTGAGCATCTGAAAGAAAAAAATGAATATGTATAGTCGGAAGAGCTGTTTCCTTACTTGTTGTCGATGGTGAATGTTGATTATTACCATTGTCACAGAAATTCTGAGTTGTATAAATGTGGTTCTCATCAACTAGTTCATCTTCATCATCATTACCATGACTTACATCTACTTCTTCGCTACCAGTATCACGACTAAATTGAGAAGCTCTTTCCCGACATTTAACACAACTACCTGTCATTGAACAAAAAGAAAAGAAAATAATCAAGCCTACATATTGAAAATATAAAGATTAATTTACCTTCAGCAATGATGCGTACTGGTTGAACAAAGCCTGATGATCGAACAGTTCCATTTTGTTCATCAATTGTATCAATGGTCACCTGGTGTTTTGCAATAATTGAATGTTTATTTTTTTTTTGGAAAACTAGCTAAGACATAAAGATTTGGATCGTAAAATGAATTTGGTTTTCTAATTCGTTGCGATCGTTGCATTAGAAAATGGATGAAATTCTGAAACGAGTTTAAAAAACAGCATAAAAGTAAAAAGAACTTGAACTATGATAACTGAACAAATTGTGTTCATAAACTGATCTATACATGTTATCTAATCATGTTCAAAATCAAAGTCCACAGGTGTGAATGAGAATATATCTTTTTCAAGCGTAGGGATCATGATAACCTTTTTCACAATATCGGACACCAACAATATTTTGAAGTAGAACTCGTTTTCATCGAATAACCTAAAGTATGAGTTAATTATCGTTTCTACTAGAGGTGGAACAGATCGTTGTAAAACAGATAATAAACTTCGCAAAATACATGGATAAACTTTTACAAATGCATAATGCTGATGAAGCACGGAAAAATAAAAAAGAACAGACGCAATACAAATTTTATCTTTTGAACACAACGATGATCGAATAGATACAAAATGGCCAATTGAATTACCTCGACGCGCATAAGAAACGGAATGAAAACTAACGAAGCCGCGAAAATAGCGAGAAAAAAATGTACAATCTGATGATGATACAGAAAATGGTTGCAAACGTTCCAGAAAATCACGTTGAATAGATGCAATAAAATTATTATCGACATACGTTGGAGAAAAAGATTCTTTTGAAAAAATATCGGGAAGAGAAATTGAATTAGATTTATGAACATTTTGAGATATATTATACCATGTAACAAGTTGACTAAGCACGTACCTGGTGCCTTTACACCAATTCAGTACATGTGATAAATACGATTCACGAGCGAAACATGAAGTAAAGCATAGAGCACCATGATAGTGAACTTGTGAAAGTAGATGACAGTGATAATGAATAGTCGCTAGCTCTGAACGTTTCGAATAAAGAGTAGAAAGAGATTCACAATATAAAGAAAATAAACGATCAACACCAAGCAACTGTTTTTTATCTGTAAAAAAAGTAAAGTGCTTTTATAAATGTATAGTATAATAAAAAATGAGCTGAATAATCATCTGGTAGGAAGTTAATTGCAAACAAAGGAGATACATATAAGAAAAAATCGCTAAGCATTTTTGCTTTCCAATTCGAAAAATCAGCTAATGAGAAAAATTGATACTTGAAAGAATGTGGAAGAACTACTTTGGATAAAAATGCAGAACCATTGGTGAAAACGTCTTTCGAAAACATTTCTTTCCATGATTTCAAAAGAGTTTTCATGTGCCCATGATAAATTAAGTGCATTGAATCGTATGGTGTCTGTATTGGAAGTAGTAAAATCGACGATAAAGGTGTCGGACCTTTAATACCTTGTATGACTCTACCTGAAGCAAGTTTAGCATTTTTTAAATAAAACTGATGGTCTTTTGGCTTTTCACGCTTCTTGGAAAAAGGAAAATACACTTGCCGACCTATCGCCACACCTAGAAACACAAACGTTATGAAACAATATTGATATCGAAATAAGTACTCATCTTTAATGCAACAATCAGCACAACCATCATAACCATTGTATTGAACAACATTTAGAGAATGCGCTCTAGCTGGTAAATCGAAAATAGCTTGTTGAATACGGAGATTATACGACCAAGTAGAACCTAATAGAAAATTTCAAGTAAATCTTAATACAAGAAAAATATTACCATCATTTTGTTTCAAATTAATTCCAGATTTCATCAGTGTTTCTAGTTGTATAACAATAGGAGCAAGCAAACAATCACGTGGCGGTTTTGTTGCTGCAAGCCAGGCACCAAACAGCATCACAGCCGACTTAGAATCTCGTAGTGGTGGACAGCCAAAACGGCTAACGGTCAACCAACATGATTGAAGTAGAAGTTGTTTTGTTTTCAAAACAAACTATACCATCTTGTAAAACACGACTTTCTGCATAAGAAACTCTATTTTGATTGGTTCGACAGCATAAGTAAGACTGGAAAACATGACCGAAACTGATTACTGGTCACCAGGGTCTAGGCTTGATTTGAAAGTGCTTCTCAAAATGTAAATGAGAGACACGGAAAGAAAAGAGTAAACATGAAGTGTCATGTAGCATTTTGTAGAAAAATGTTCCGACTTTCTTTATGGCTACATCGAATTTTTCCAGATCGATGTTCTGTTTAGAAAAAATGAACTAAAAACCTTCATTTTTTTCATGTCTGTGCGTTACCAAAAGGGCTCTTAGTTTGTCGCATCATGAGATTAAAACAGTTTTCTTAATTTTGATCAATGGCCTACCGTCAACTTTTTACGGGCTATCCGATGAGCCAATTGGTTTCTCTTCATCTCTTTTCTTTGACTCTGAAAATTGGGTAACACACAGACATTTTTCCTGTTGTCACTCAACATAATCAATATGCACCTCGTAAAACTTCATATTCTACTATGAATTACTTTTTTCGAATGAATACATGAGTAATTTGATGTGCTCTACACAATGGTATCCTCAGAATTATCTGGATCGAAAATCTTCGATTGGTCTTTTTTGAGTCTGATATTCAAATTTCCAACTCAAACGTGAGTTTCAAGCAAAATAAACTTTTGAATCATGATCAGTGTATCCGATTACCCATGATCAACTATTTTTAATAAATAAATAGTTTGATTGATATAAAATTCGCCCGAAACAGACATTTTTCTAAAAAAATGTGTCTGTGCGTTACCAAAATGTCTGTGTGTTACTTCCAATTTTGTCAATAGCTCGCTCATTTTTCAAATTAATTATATTTTCTCTTCACCAAAAGATACTTCTACTTCTGAGCTACAAAATGCTCTGTCACAATATTCATTAACACAGCGTAGTTCGCAGCATTTATCACTTCTCTCGCGTCTACTGAGAACGAAGGACCTTTTTTGTCTGTGTGTTACCGACCAGTATTTCACCTATAGAATCTAAACAGCCCAACAATTGAGGCTCAAACTTTCAGGTATTATAGAAGTTGTTGACTTACATAAGTGTTGAAATTTACAAGCTTTTTCCTTTTACCATCATCGAGATACAATCGTTCGAAGTTGAAAAAACGTCCGTGCGTTACCTGCGTTTCGGCTGTGGAGGTATTTCAGCAATAGTGGCTTGAACAGACCATACCGATTTATCTAAATAAAAAAAAAACATTATTGTACAGGAATAAACATTGCAGAATGATTTCTTGAATGATATATTTATTATAATCAAAAAAAACAAAAGAGAGAATTTAGATTCTAAAATGTGAATAAAAGTATTAATCTTTTTTCTATTCAGTTTAATTTGGTTTGAAGCAATTTGTCTATGATAGAAGGGACAAAAATACATGATAAATTACAGTAATTTCCATGATACAGCGAATCGTTAGTAATAAAGAATATTTAGCTGACTTTATTATAACACTTACTAGTCACATCGATAACCGGAGCCCCGTCGCTATGTAATATGATAGTGATGTTGTGGTGGTTTTGATTAGACGGCAGTTGATGGTAAATGTTGCCTAAAAATATCAAATAAAATATATGTATTAAAGGTTCATTATTTACCGTTGATATGATCTGAAGGACACAAATGCACAGCTTGTTTAGGATATTCATTGATTAAATGAATGTAACGTTTAGCAACTCGTTTTATTTCATTTTCGACATTCATAATAGCTAATTCGGCAATTTGAGAATAAGAACGATATTTACCATTTAAGCTACACGCATTTGAACATTTTTTTTGGTCAAGTTTGATTAAAATCTCGCTACATTCTACACAATGAGTAGATACCTGTAAAAATTGAACGTAAATGTTAGTAAAAATATTATTTCTAAAACAAACTTGTGGATGATCATCATTATCTGTTAATTTGAACAATGTAAAGACAGTTTTGGGAAGACGACATTCAGAAGGAAAGAAAAAGCGAAGTTCTTTGAGTAGAATTTGTAATCGATTTTTGTTGAGATTTAGTGAATTTGATAATTGAATTAGATGAACACAAGCTTCATGTACGGATATGGGACTTCCATCATATAATGGTGTTGATTTGTTTTGATCTTCATTTATTATTTTACTAATAAAATCTTCTATGTCATCATCTTCATCAGCATCACGATGACTATCATAATTTACATTAGTATTACTTCCAAAATGTTCGAAATCAGACTCTTCTTCTTTTTCTGTTTCTGAAGAAACAGAACATGAAGAAGAACGTTGATTTACATAATAATCAGCCATTGATTCATGATCTCGATGAAAACTTGTTTCTTCTTCGCTGGTATTTGTTGTCTCAAAGGTATCTACCTATTATATAAATTATAAAAATATAAGAACAAAAGAAAGCTAGTATATTACAATACTTGCTGATTGAAAAACATTTTGAATCATATTTCTTCGTCTATGTGAACGCCATTCTCGCTTGACATTTGAATGCAAACGCCGTTTTGGTGGTCTATCACCCATCTGAAATATTAAGAAAACGAAAACTTTATGAATAAAATTCGAAATGACGATCGCAAAGTTTTTCTAGAGTTTCGTAAGTTAACATAGTGCGCTTTGTTTTGTTTTTTCTTTAAACAGTTTTTGCACATTAGCTACGTAGTAGTAGGCATAAATTCTTTGTGAATTTTCTTTTGTTTATATTCAGAATTTCGTCTGTATGTATTTAATGGTATTTTTTTTTCTGTTAATAGCAAGGAGCCATTGTATAGCGACATCTAAAGGGAGGATAACTAACGGAAGGAATACAATGTCATCTCTATAATGTCTATCATCTACAAGAAATTCACCATGTTTCTTTATCAAGAAACCCAAGTACATGAACAAGAAATACAAGCGCTGAAGCAAGAATTACAAGCGCTTTGGTTTTTTAGTGCCCCCAAGTCTTGACTCAAGATGTGTCCATAGCGCATGACATTCGGGCTCAAGAAACTCAAGAGTGTCATGCGCATACTAAAAAAAGTTCGACTAGGGTAACGATTCTTTATCATTTATAATCAGACGAATTTATGTGAATTATGAAGAATTGTGAACTACAATGAATATATATGAATTCTCATGAAGTGAGATAAGCTTTTATGTATTATTCCAACCTATTATGGATTTTTATGATTTTTTGTGAATTTTATGAATTTTATGAATTTTATGAAGTAACATGTATTATTATGAAATTTTTGTTATAAAACGATATGAATTATTTCAAATGCTTATGAAATAATTAATATCAAATATTATAAGCAAATGTGAATTATTGTGAATTTTTATAGAAGGATATGACTTACTTCGAAAGAATATGTAGTATTCCGAATTTGGATGAACTGGTATGAATTTTTTAAAATTTTTATTGAGCAACGTGAGCTGATACGAAGAGATATGAATTATCTCTAAGAATATGGTCAAATGTCAGTCTCTACTACAAACAGAAATGGTTATCTGGAAAAAAGCATGAAGTCAGAAAAAAATTGATTGAACCTAACCACAAAAAGCTGTTAGCGCAATCCCTTTGGGATTAAAAGTATGAAACACGATGAAACTTCTTTTCTGGAATTCGTCTATTACTGTCACTGGTGGTCTGTGGAGCTTCTCCATTACAGTCTATATTATGATGTACGGAGTCTCTAGAAACCATCACAGACCGTGACAGAGGGACTTCAGGAACCATCACAGACCGGGACAGAGACCTCAAAAACCATCACATACTGGGACAGATACCTCAGAAACCATCACAGACAGTGACAGAGAATTAAAAAACCATCCTAGACAGTGACAGAGAATTCAGGGACCATCACAGACCGGGACAGAGAAATTAATTAATTAATTAATTAATCAGCTAATTAATTAATTAATTTCTCTGTCCCTGTCGATGGGGGGAGGGGCCGGGGGTGGGTCCAAATTTCTACCCTATATACTTCAGCACTCCTTTCAGATCGTGTTTCACAAAAAGGGTGTAAAACAGTGTTTCAATGCGTCTTCTTTAGAATGAAAATTATTTTTAAAAGTTCGTTGAATTATTGTTGTTGGAAACTTGTCTGCCATCTATTGAAGTGATTTTATGCTCTTTAAAAAGTTTCTTTTTATAGTACCTTGGTAAAAAAAAGGGCAATACGAATTCGACAGAGACATCTCTCATTATATTCACCTTTTCTATTATGCATTGTATCTTCATGAGAGAGAACCATTCTTCATTTGCATTGGTTATTTAATTGCTTTGTGTAGACGAGCATTGAAGTGAAACGAAATCAATATAATTTACTTTCATACTTTGTTCGAACCACTGTTAAGTTCTGTCCTGCTTCTTCTGCTTTCAATCTATATTATTTGCGTATCTATAAAATACACTACAATATATTTCTAAACGCAAAATTTATACTCTGTGCAATTTGTGTGCGCAGAGAAATATTGGCACATCTATAGTTTCCGCTTGACTTATTTAATTCTACACAGTACGTAAAGCTATTTTCGTAGGATTATAGCACTGTCAATTCAAAATGCATCCATGATGCATTTTATATCAAAGAAAATTCAGTCTACATATGTGACTCTGTGCTCCGGGGATGAGAGTAACTCGCTTTGTTGATGAATATATGAGCTATACCTCCATTTATGCTCTCGTTATTGAGACCTCGTACTAATGTGGAAGTATGACTAGAACGAGTGTTAAAAGTAATTCTGTCAATGAAATATCTATTTAGTGTCTTATTGTCCGTTATGACTGATCATAGTTCATCATCAAAACCTAAATTCACATTAGATGAATCTTTTGATTACACAATTTTTTTATCGTTGACACTTGCACCTGATAATGATCAAACGATTCTTATTCAAATATTACATCGTGACTGGACTCGAAATATCAATGAACAACATCTCTATCTTCAATCATTTAACAGCCAGGACAAAAAACTGGTGACTCGTAATGCTTCAGATTCACTGAAACCAATTTGGAGAGGTGAATGGATTGCCTATATAGCTGGATGTATGTTGAACGATACTATGGACAAAGAGTAAAACTATATTAATCTTTATTCAATTCGAACTGAACAAACATTTCCTGTCACAGTAGGCAAAGAGCCGATTCATGCGTTTACTTGGTCGAATACAGATGGTAGTCTGTACTTTGCAACACAAACTCCATAGGCAAGCGAAGGCGACGAGATATATAAGAATGAATGGAAAGACGTAGTTGAATATCGAGAAAACGGGCGGGGTGATACGATCTATCGTATCAAGATAAGCGATTTGAATCGAATACAGATCGATTCGTTACTACTGCAGTATTTATTTTTATTTGTAATCACAAAGAGAAACTGGAAGAGTAGCGTTACCGCTATCCTCGGTGTATACAAGATGTTAGTTACACTACTCCATTCTCTAATTTTCCAGTTCTGTTCCAGTTCTAATATATAATACAGTGTACTCGCTTTATATACGTGCATATGAGAGAGAGGAGAATAGAAAAAGATATAATTGGCATATGCGCATTACGTAGGTTATGTCTAAAGATGTAATCACGTTACATAAAAGTGGATGGATAACATTAAGAAGCATAACAGATAGACTGATGAGAGTAACGAGTTATACAAAGCCTATGGCATATTGCATAACACTCATCATAATGTATTCCTCCTTCCTAATACTGGATCAGAGGATATTCCAAAGAAATGGAAACGCAAATATGTGAACAATAAAGGATGTCCATGCATTATTGACACAACCGGATGGCAAACATCTGGTATTTTCAACGACGACAATATCACAAGAGGTCGAATCAACAAATGATTTTGAAATATACTCCTATGATTTTTTTAATTCGTTGCCATCCACTCCGATTCAGTTAACGAAAAATCCTGCATTTGAATGAAATTTGAAATGGTTCGATAACGAAACAATTTTCTTCACAGTTACCGGTGAGGGATCTGTAGAAGGTGTTTATCAAGAGAATCAAGGACGACTTTACTCACTTAATGTTGTAAGCGGTCAAATTGAACGTTGGGCCGATAAATTTAAAGGTGCAATGAACGACTTTGCTCTATTAGAAAATGGTCGAAAAGGTGTTATCCTTCTCGGGCAGTTGAATACAGAAATACAAATTTATACTCAACAATCAACATATGATCCACTGATTAAACTAACAGGCTGGAATGGAACTTCTGAAAACCTCGTTACCACCTGTGTTGAAAACAAATCTACAATTGCTTTCATTCACTCTTCATTTGATGCTCCTCAAGAAATCTATTATATAAATACAATTGACCAATTGAACTCAGCTAAGAAAGTCACAAACGAAAATAAGCTGTTTACAGAACGAAATCTGCCCAAAGGTACATCATATCGATGGGCAAATAAGGACGATTAAACTGAAATAGAAGGTATCCTTCTCTATCCTCCAAACAAGTACCAAGAGAAAAATTTACCATTATTAGTACTCATGCATGGCGGACCTTATTCAGCGGATTTAAATGCTTTTCGTACTGACTGGTTTTACATTGCTGGAATGATGGCCACTGAATGTTGGCTTGTATTTCAACCTAACTATCGAGGTTCAACAGGTATAGCAGATCATTTGTGTCATTATGCGATTGATGAGGTTTATTTTGTTTTGTATACAGGTTATGCTGATGAGTTTCTCCATGGGATATTAGACGTATTAATCTCCCGACCAGGAAAGGATGCTCTGTTCGGTGTCGATGCATTAGTACAAGATGGTATTGCAGATCCAGAGAGACTAGCCGTCGGTGGCTACAGCTATGGTGGGCATTTGACAAATTGGTTGATCGCTCAGACCACTCGTTTCAATGCTGCTCTGACTGGTGCTGGTGCTGTTGAGCATGTGAATTCTTGGGGATTAACTGATTTGCCTTTGTATAGGACTTACAAGTTAGGTGGGTTTCCATGGCAAGTATCCAATCGTTATCAACAGGAATCTGCGATATTTCAATTGGACAAAGTTCGAACACCAACGCATATAGTTGTGGGTGAAAATGATTATCGAGTTCCAACTTCACAGGCTTATTTATTAAAGCAATCACTTCATGTTCTAGGTATACCATCAAAACTAATTATCTTTCCTGGTGAAGGGTGTGTGGGTGTGGGTGTGGGTGTGAGGGTTGTATAGTATAAATAGGATAAAAAAGAATAATAAAGGAAAGATCAAAATTTAGATTAGGAATCGAAAATAGGAAATTTGTTGTTGATTGGTTAAATGGTAACATAAATTTCTATTTTGCGAATTGATTTAAGTTACAGCGGTGCCTCTGTGACACTTTCTATCTCAGTTTTTTCAATATCTTCAAATTAAACACAAAAATGCATGTTTATCTTTCCTCATTTTTACTGTCATTATTATCTACACTGCTATATTGTAAAAAACAAACACATCGCTAATGTAAAATATAGATGATCGAATAAGACTACTTACCAGTCGTTATCATCAAAATGCTTATTTTTTAATGTGAGTCTGCAAGAGATATTACTTTGTATACATATAGGCGTTACATATTTTTTCTTTTTTTCTAACATAAAATGTTTACCTGAGCCAATGAAGTGTGATTCTAATTTCGCTACTTCTTATTTTCGCATATCAAAATATTGTTTCATGTATACCGCAAGTTCACCAAATAAATAATCCATATTTTCCTTTCGGTTGTGACCAGTGCAAAAAAACGATCGGCATCTTACTAATTCTTTTCATCAGGTTAGCGCGTGGGTGGCTGTATAAAATAACATTAACCAGACCCACACCCTCAATTAATAACATGTAAATCATTATAAAATTTTTAACTATCATCATTCATTTGGTTGTTAGTTGAATTCACAGGAGAATAAATAAAAAATAATAGTCAAATTTACAAATAAACATTTCAGTTTAATTTTTGCGATCATATCACTCACTGATTCTCACTCCGAGCCAGAATCTTTCCATACCTTAGCAGCTGTTTTGTCCAAACAGATGGCTACCATTTAAGTGGTCAGTAAAATAAATGAATTGGTCAGTAAAAAAATATGGAAATGGTCAGTACCAAAATGATCAGTATTTTATTCTAGAATGGTCAGTTTTATAATGTAAGTAGCAGTAAAAAATAAAAATTTGGCCAGTAATAAATACAAAATTGATCAGTAAAAAAGATAAGCTTTACCAGTAAAAATTAAGGTTAAATAAATCTTCTATTTAACTTTTAACAACTTCATCAACACCTCGAAATGCGTCATCGTGATGTTCGTATTCAGCTTCCGTTTCATACACGGTTACTCTATCACGACCTACATGATATAATAGATAAATACTTAAAGCCCTACTGAAACCATCTTGCTAATGTGCATCAGTTTATTGAGCTTCTGGACCAAGAAGTTTATGCGATATGGGCAAATCTTGAAGTCTTCACAGGTCAAGAACACGGGGGAAAGTCGCCTCAGGAAGACATTGATGATCACGAGGTTTAACTTTTTTGCATATCGAATATACTTTTATCTCATTTGCTGTATACTGTGTGTAATGTTTTGGCAATTGATTTTCAATTGATGCTTCTGCTTCATCAGCATTATCAAATACATCTTTTAATCCAACTATTTGATGTCTTTTTTTCAAGGGTTCTTTTAATTCCATTAATTCCATCATCTTCTACAACCTCTTCATCTGATATATCACTTTCATATTGAGGAACTTGAAACACTTGCATAGTTAAAAATATGTCAAAATTTTAACTGTTAAGTATGTTATTTTTATTTGAAAAATACTAAATATTCATTTATGAATATGGATAAAGACAACGACCAGGCAAGAAATTGAGAATCTTTTTTTCTTTTCTTTTAGACAATGAACAACAAGAAGAACTAAAACGATGATTCTTCTTATTCATAAAATAGATGTTAAAAGAAAGAACAAGGACAAAAAAGCGAGAACATATGTAGAACAACTGAGAAGAAAAAGAAAGTAGAACAAATGTGATTCACTCTACTGCTATTTCAATTTTTATACTGACCATTTAGAAAAATCGACTGTCAAAAAAACATTTTTACTGACCTTTAAATTTATTTACAAACCTCATTAGTTTTTAACTGACCATTTAAGTAATTTACTGACCAATCAATAATTTTACTGATTTTATAATTATTTAACTTACTGACCGTTTCATTTATTTTACTGACCATAAACTATATCCCCAAACAGACAACTATTCCATGAGCGTTTCGAGTTTTATTTACTGATGGTAATCCAGCGAAAATCTATGCAAAGTCATTTATTAATTTACCTCCAGAATTGTACATGCACATTTCACTCAGTGCAGCAATTTGAACACGATATTTTTGTAATTGCCTCATAATAAGTTCCTTCTTTGATTGTTTGGCACAGGTTCTAACATTCCAGCTTCCAAAGAAAACACTGGTGTGCGTTCGCGCACTTGCTTTGTAACACACGGTCTGAAAGGAGTGTTGAAGTATATAGGGTAGAAATTTGAATACCCCCCCCACAGACCGTTACAGAGAAATTAATTAATTATATACTTGCTTAATTAATTATTTTCTCTATAACGACTGTGGTGGTTTTCGAGGTCTCTTTAACGGTCTGCGGTAGTTTCTGAGGTGTATGTAACGGTTTATGATGGTTTCTAGAGGCTCCATACATTATCATACAGCCCGTAGCAGAGAAACTCCACAGACTATCACCGACCGTGATTGACGGATTCCAGAAAAGGAGTTTCATCGTGTTTCACATTTTTCGTTAGCAAGTTGAGTTTAAAGTCTGACTGACGAGTTGCTAGCACAACCGTCCGATAAATTCGCTACCGGCAGCTGAGGGTCGTCATCCCTGTGTGAATTAAAAATTCACCCGGGAGACTATGAAAGATCTACGAAGATCACTAGAGATGTTTACTGTGACTACCTTAGTTATAAGGTATTTCTGTGATTATAAGATCCAAATCGATAGAAAATCACATTCTAAGATCTTTCCGCGAAGAAACGCTGCAATACAAGCCTGATTTAAGCCCGAAATCATGATTTTACTAATAAAGATCTTTGAAGGTAATTTGTTCTATTTACCTTAATTAGATGATATTCTGCTGGTGGAGAGTACAACACTGATTGTAAATGTTGCTCAAGGAAGATCTGTAACAAGTCCAAAGTCCTATGTCGATTCTTGTTTTCAATTATCATCCATTAATATTAGAAATGGGGTTGAAATGATTTTGAGAAAATTTTGATATAAAAAAATGTATGCGAAGTGTTGCCTGTGACTTACCTCAAACCGGCGTGTTGCGCCTCTGAGGTTGGAACTTTGAATGAACACTCATGTGGATAGATTGGCGATCTTCAGGGTGTTCATGTATCACTAGGTCAGTTTGAAGACTGTTTTAGTATTTCAATACATTCTTTTTTGAGCGCTCTAGTTTTTGACATATCAAACTCGGTTGGATTCGGCGAGAATGGTCTTTCTGCTCCAGTGCCTGTCTGTCACCTTCCGTTCGTATCTGTGACAGATGTGCTCGAAGACCTTTAAAATGATAAGATTTGAGTATTTTGTCGGTTTTTAGACTTTCCAGAATTGAACGTTTAATTTATTGCTTTTTATGGTGTCGGTTTTTTTTGTACCAGATGTTTTTGAACTCTGGCAATTAAATTAATTTAAATCGGCTCAGTAGTCGTTTCGTTTACCTAGTTATCGTGCATTGTCGCGAGGGATCATCTGAGCTAAATAATATCTTCCAATTTGAAGACACAATTCAATAGTCTATCGTGATCTCTATTCAACTATTGCTCTTAACAGCGAGTTGTGAGTTGTGCAATCTTTTACGTAGCATTTTTGTATCCAGTCTGCATGTTCTCACACGGCTGTTAAATTCGTACTTCTTAAAACTGCTTTAAGACTGACTATCATGTCCATTTTAGTCCAATGTTCGTATGGAATCGTAACTTTTGTGGAACTGACGTATATTTTTGAAGCAAATAGTGAGTGTAAGTTTAAGGGGCAGAATTCTGCGACTTCCCCTCCCATTACAGACATTAAAAACTAATTATTAACTAGAATAAAAAATAAAGAAAAAACGAAAAAATAGGAGAAATGCGAAAGAAAAAAAAGGGCGCCAAAAAAAATACAATAATCTTTTGAAAATGTAAAAATAAATGAGAAAGATTTTGCTGTGATGATCAATTATTTTGAAAAATCAGTAGTCTGAGAAATTTTTCATTTTACGCATTGTTTTTGGTTTATCGAGGCTTCAAGAATATACGTGAGTTCCATATTTTGACCACAAAGGGACTGCGCTGAATAGTTTTTCTTAATATTCCATACATTTGAGCATTGAATATACAATTTTATTCTCGGGATTCTTTTGAGAGAGCTATCCAATTTGTCGATTGTAAGGTATCACAGTCATATAGTTATAAGGAATACGTTTTCGAATAGATCCTATCGTTTCCGGTTGCGGGATTAAACCGTCTGAAAGAAAATAAAAACGGTCGGATCTGGGCGCTGCAACCAAGTTGGAAATGGCAGTAGGATCCTGGCATTCCATCTGGCTGCAGGAATCAGCAGGGATGAAGCCGTAACCGATAATTTCCCGCCGTACGGTTTGGACCTGGGATACTGTGAATTCTTCGAATCGATCTCTGTATCAGCGTTTTTTAACCCTGAAAGATGTTACAATCTGTTGCCTATGCGACATTTTGCAAAAGCAATGTGTCCTGTGATCTCTCCTAGCACCGAACTCACACAAAATATACCAATTTGTCGTGTTCAATGAATGTCTCCTTCTTGCTGGCTATCCTAATTTAATCGTTAGTTCCAGAATTTCAGTAAAGTTTGAGCGATCCTGCGATACAACAAAGCGACACACAATGTCAATGACATACCACAGAACTTTGTTTCACATGTACTTGTTCTCTGGCCTTAACTTACATCTCAGCGTCAGGCTAGGTTCAGCTTTCTCACACAAATACTTAACATGTTTGCGACAAAATGTTTTACTATTACATTTAATGAGAATATTTTGAATCCTAGTATTCTGTCGTGCAATATTCGTCATAATCATTCAATGCGACCATACTCTCCTTTGCAATGGGATTCAGATATAAGGATTCAAGTGTTCGCTAATTTAAATCTATCCTGCTTCCCTATCAACAGCCACGAGCCCCATCCCTTATAGATCATGATAATGCTATATCATATCATGATCAACATTAAACTTTTTCCTTGATAGTATTCAATACCACAACTACAATAACACCTATTACTACGTATAACAATGAATAACTCAAACACAAATACAATATTGATCTTGCCAAGAAGTGAGTAAATTTTCACATAAGAGTTTAATCCTTTCCGCAATTTCCTCATCAGCAGTACTATCAGTCGTTCCATGCAATGTATGAGAAATCTACCACGAGTAATGTTGAGTCAAGCCGATATAAACGATTCACTGAACCCTTTTCGGTAACATGATTCAGGACACTATTTGGCGTCAAAAATACTGAGTTCGCATCTGATAACATAACCCTAACATACATATCCGCTTGAATTACGTTTTTATTGTTCCCGAGTCGATGCATCAATGACTGCCTCGGGTACAACTGTCTCAAATGCATTGGAAAACGGGTCTGATGGCGATAGCTGCTGCCTATGCGTTGATATGTAAAGTTTCAGGTCTCCTGAACCAGTGAGTATGTCGCTGGTAAACCAAATTTGCCACGGTTTAGGAATTCGTATGCTACGAGTCCTCTAACGACAGGACAGCACACGAAAAAGATTACGATCAATACTGCATTTCGATGAACGTTTGATAACTGTAGAGAATAGAGTGAGTAACGGTTTGTCCAGCTCTGGAAACAAACAATGTAACAGCACGACTCCTACAAAACCACCATCGCATATATAATATGCACTTTATTCGGTAAAAAGTAGCCTGGTCTGCTGTAACATTCGTTCCTTCGGATTCACTTTTACTTTTACTATGAATTGTTATCAAGGATGCTTTTGAACGATTCCTTCATTTTTCCTTCTGAATAAATAATTTTTTCCCTAATTTTAAATGGTATGCTATATTAGGGGTTGAAAGGTATGACTGTAAAAAAAATGCTTGGAATTTATATAAACAGTTGACTGTCGAACAGGTAAGCAATATTTCGATGATTGAAATGATTGTATATTTCAAGATGAATAGAAAGAAAAATGAAATTGAGACCTCGATGAAGTTTGTGTTATGGAGTCTATTCATGGATACAAATTAACATTGCACTAATGATTGCCTTATTCATATGGGTGAAAGTATCCATTTTATTCATAATAACATTTTTTTGAAAATATATCATTAAAAAAAACTTGGATATGAAACATAAATCGAAAATAGAAAGAAAAAGTAATTAGTTAAACAAGGAAATACATGAATAATAACCAAGTCAAGTTTCATATGTAAGAAATTACCATCGCATTGATTTTGCTTCTCGAAGTTTTTCTTGTGCTTGTTGAGACAAGCTACAGTTATCTAAACGACAAGCAGATAATGTTTCATTGTGCTCAACCATTTCAAGTAAAAAATCCACCGATGAATCTGTAACGTATTTATTTGATCGAAGATCCAAACATCGAAGAGATGTCGAATTGGATCCAAGCGCACTAGTAATCATTTCGATCCCACGATCGGTTATTTCAGTATCATTTAAAGATAAATGATAAAGTGTTTGATTATTATTAAATAATTCAATAATATATTTTAGTCCTTCATCTCCTATTGGATTCGATGATAGAATAAGATGTGTAATGTTTTTATTTTTCTTCAGAGCATTAACCAACATTTGAATTCCGTTGGGCGTTATTTTGTTGTTTGCTAATGACAAAGTTGCAGATTTTTTCTTTTTAATGACTTTTCTATTGATAAATGGAACGTCCTGATCTGTTAAATTCAGATTCGATAAATCGATATTTTCCGTTGATGATTGATTTATTCGTTTTTCTAATTCAATATTTCGATTGGAATCATCTTTCGTTTTTGGACGAATGCACGCAAAAGCCATTTGTATGTGTTCACTTCAATTTTTATTTTAGTATTCTATACATCGAAATAAGAGAAGAAAAGAAGATATTCTTCATTCGTTCTTTTTCAGTTTATTTACTCATATTTGAAGGCTGAAAGAGAAAAAAGAATCAACTTTTCTGTCACGATTGCTTTAATTAACATTACTATAGATGCTGTTCTATCGGATGCAATGAATTCAACAGAATGCAAAAGAAAGTCTTATTTTTAGATATTTCTATGGTGAAATTTCTTTAGAATTCATTTCTTCTGACTATATACATTATTTGAAAGACAAAACTTTTATGAAATAATTTATCGCCTCAAAATCACTTCAAGAACTAAAATTTCTTGTTATATTTTTTTTAAAAATGTTATAAAATTCTTGTGAGTAATGCTGAATAAATTTATTTAAAAAAAACAAGTAATCAAATCGGTTGCATTTCTATTCTTCTTCAAATGTCATTTTCGAATGATTGTAAAATTAAAAAAGAAAATCGATCAAATCATATCTTTATAATTTGATGATCGGAAAAATATACTTAGTTTAATCAGCCGCGAAAATTTGTACAGATAATTTTCATAGAATGATATAATTAATTATGCCATTGATTGTCGACTTTTTTTTATTTTGAAAATTAAAAAGAAGTCGTAATACACAGATAACCTATGGATTTGCACAAATTCGTGATTTCATATGAATAGAATGATGAAAGCACTTCATGTTTTAATGATATATAAGAAACAAAATTAAATGTTTTACTACATAGAAAAGAATTGATTGTTTTTCCAATTCATTTTTTTTATTGTGAACAAAGATCAGTTTTGTATCTCTGGTTAAAAACCAATTTAAATACAAATCATCATAAAAAATGAAAAACAAACGAACCGGAAGACAAATGGAAAAAGTAATTTATTGTTTCTTAACATTTCTTTTTAAAAAATAATCTAAAGTTGGAATTGAATAGCCACTAGGCCCTGGCTGACCTTGATATAATATTTGATCATTATGTAAAACATAAAGTCTTTCAGGCCATGCACGAAACAAATGATTTGTATGATTATCCATTGTATCAGAATAAATGGATAAATGATTTTCTTTGGTGATATTAGTTATTTCAATTAACATTTTAACTGCATTCAATCGATCTTGAATATTTTTATGATTTTTAATAAAACTATATTTAGGGCGATCAAATTTCCATCCATCTGATGCATGAGCTTCTTCAATATAGATAATCATAAAATCAATTGGATAATTAAGTTCATTGTAATAATCAGAAAGTTTAATAAAATCTTTTAAACTCTCAAGAAACGGTGGTCATGTACAACTTCCAAAAGTAATAACTAAATAACGTTTATCTTTTATTAATGATCTTAACTTAATGATTTCCATATTTATTTTATCATTATCAAATAAATAAAATTTTTTTGTTAAAACAGGAATTATTTGAGCTGTATTCGGAACTTTTGCACCTTGACTTGTTAAATATGCTGGAAGATTTCGAGATAATTTAATACGTTGATATTCAAGATTCCAATAAAATATCCAAAAGTTTACACTGAATAATGAACGAACAGCTAATGATGGAGGACATAAACCAGCCTAAATAATAAATTATTTTTCTTCAATTAACTTATATATTAAAACATCGGGTTTTATTTAAATAAAACAGGAAATATCTATTGAAGAAGTAAATGTTAAACATACCGTGAAAGCTGTTCCTTGAATAAGTTCATTTGGCATTTCATCATTTGAACTTGAATTGTTTCGATCAATTTCAGCTAATTTTTTTTTATTTTCAATCCAACTTTTTTCTTGCAATGTAATAACTATCCAAAGTGAATGTAACACCATCATTACAGGTCTTACTAACATTCTTTTTATTGTTAAAATAATATCAATTGATTCATTTTTTAATTTAACAAAATGTTGAAAAAGCGACATTCTTCTTCTTAAAGAAGGGTCTACTATGCATTTATTTTATTCTCCGCATTTTATAGCTGTAAAAAAGCAATCGTTTGATAAGAATATTTTTTTTAGATTAAGTCATTTTTACTGACGAAAAGGAAAAAAGCATTGTGTAGAATGATGACAATGAAATTTTTAGTTGCAGTATTTTTTGATATATCATCATTTGGTAAATATTTGTTTTAGTAATAGTATATTTTATTGAGATAAAACTTCAATCGAGCTATTATGAAAGTCAACCGAAGCCATCAAGATATCTAACAAATAAAATTCATCTTTTAATCCTTGTATGAAATAAGACTTTGAATGAGGATGATTGGTATGCGCTTATTATCTTTCAGCGAAGAGAATTCATATCAGGAAAAAAACATTGAAACATCTCCCTTCTGTACAAGTTTGTATGTGTATGATCTTGAATATAAGCGATTATTCTCATAATAATAAAGCATTGCAAAACTCTTTAGAGAAATACGTACAGAAAGGCGTTTTTCACGAAAACCGTACGTATACTCATTACTTTAGAAAAAAAACTGAATTCGTTTGCATATTGACGAGCAATAAGAAGAAGAATGTAGAATGGGAAAAAATAACATTATTCGTCTGACTAATTGATCAAGAACAAAAATTCTTAGTAGCTTGGCTAGATAATACTATGTTAGGCCAGTGTTGCAAAGTTTTTTCGAGCACATTCTCAATCAATTTCTACAGCTACTCAATGAAATTATGCTATCTCAGAATCAACAGAGTTACATAATTAGAGAGAAATATCACGCTCATTTCCATTCGATTGATTGATCATTGAATAGGCACTCTTATTTGAAATTTCGGAAAAATGAAACTTATCATAAATGGCATAGTTAATAGTGTTATAGAAATAGCCTATAACAATAATTTTATATAATTAGAATAAAATCTTGTTGAAATTTATTGTAAAATTAAAAATCTAAATAATGAAAAGAAAAGAAAAAAGATTATAATAATCGTACTCTATATCCATGATTAGCAAAAACAAGATAAAAACACCAAGGAAACATTGTTTTATCTTGAAAATCAATTTGAATATGTTTTGCTTTTTCATGTGTTCTTTCATTAACTAAAGTTAATAGTTTTTGATTACAATCAATAGTTAATTGAAGAATATCATTTTGAATAGGAATACCAGACCATTGTATTCTTTTTCCCATGCCATTTATCCAAATATCTCCATTGGTTGACCAACCGCAAGCTGAACGTAATTTATGATACCTAACATCTCCATATGCTGATCGATCTGTAGCTGAACATAATCCAATAAATATCCATGGAGACCATTCACAGTTGTTCGAATTTGATGATCTTTTAAAATAATATTTATTTATTGATTAAATAACAAAAAAAAATGATAAAATGACAGTATACTCAATTTTTTCAAATTTCATTCTAATATGATGAATACCATCTGAATAAGATTGATTTCCTTTTACATAACCGTATGTTTCATAATTTTTTTTTTCACAAAGACGATTATTTTCATGAACTCGTATTGAACGACTCTTCTCATGAAATTCTAATGCTGTTTCGTCCACAGTCATTTTATTTTATTTGAATAATTGAAAAAACTTTTGTCTATTATTCAAACGAAAAAAATGAAAAGAAATGAAATATTCATGTTTTTAATGTAATTTTCATTCTGTTTCTAATAGAATCATGAGAAAATATGGCTGGTTGATGTTTTGTTACGTTTTGTTTATACCATTAATAATGATTTATTTTTCATAAATTATTTTGAAAAAAAAGTCAATAGAAAATAACTATTGTGTTCACAAGTTTTTGAAATATCTTAAGAAACAACTATCATTTTTATTGAAATCATGTATGTCATCAATCAAAAAAATAGTATAGGTTCTTGTTCAATTCATTTTTTCCTGACATAACAATTAATCAAGAAAATAATTAAAAATATAATTGAAAGTTTATTTTATCTGATTTCATAATAATTAACTAACAAATCCGAAAGATATTTTTACACATACAGAAGAAACACTCCGTTGGTTTTTATTATCATTATTTCAACTGCGGATGATCATGATGAAATCATTAATATCTGTAATCGGAATATAATGTTTTATTTTGATTTAAAAAATACATTTAAGTAGAATCAATAGAATTATTTTGAATGTGACTATCTAATAAGGATAAATATAAAATTAAATCAAATAAATAAAAAATTATCTTAATAAGAAGGAAACAAAAATCATTTTCTTTTTTTCAAAAACATTATGGTGATTTTCATTTTTTAATTTCCTTTTCATATCGAATCAATTGAATAAGAAATCCACAATTAGGAGCAGCTATTGGTCTTTTTTCCAGTAAATATTCATAAGCTTTTTCTAAACTTAAATTATTATATCTATAATAATTTGAATTAATGAATAAAAATTTAAGATAAAAATAGCAATAAAAAACCTGATTAAATAAGCAAGAACAATTGAAGATGATCGAGATATTCCAGCTTGACAATGAACTAAAACTTTTTCATTTTTTTCTTTACATTTAAATAAAAATTTATTTGTTTGATCAAAATATTCATTAATGTTTCCATGAAAATCATCTTCTAAATTTTGAATCCATAAAAGATTAAAAATTTCTTTAATTTGTTCATCTAATTGACAATCGCATAGATTAATAATATTTTTTATATTAAGATTCACAAGTAAATTAATATCAATTGCATGAGCTAAATCTCCATGATAAAGAAAATCTTCAATAATAACCGATGGTTCGAAATTATTTATTATTCGTTTATTTGAGTTTTCTTTTTGAATTTTTAATAAATTTTCTAAAGATTTTAATTCATCATTATTTGCATTTAATTCATTGATAAGACGAATTTTGGTTATATTATCCATGGAAGTATTTTCATTTGCATTAAATATCTGAATTAATGAAATTTATCTTCAAATCACATTGGTTTATTTTTTTAACCAATTCGAAACCAAGAAAATTTCTACTGTCAAAATTCTTATTTAGTTTAATAATTAATAAAAAAATTTAACTAGTCAAGATTGAATTTTTTTGCAACTTTTACATATGATTCTTGGAAATAAGTCTAATTTTATTGATTTTATTTTCTTTTTGAAAAACATAATCTGTAAATTCTTACGTCATGAATAAATATAACTTGGAAAAATTCCTGTCGTTTTTTTTCCTTCCTAAAATAAATAGTTTGATAAAATTAAAGTTGCAAGTTTGCCTTTTTCTTTTCTCCTATTGTCTTGTGTCAGTCAAACTTTTGTAGATTGTTCTTTCTTTTTCGTTTACCAAACACATAAAAACACAAACAATCTTTCGTTTTGTTTTCTTCTTCCTAGTCTTCGCAATCAAAATAAAGAAAAAGTAAAAGCATAAGTAAAAAAGAAATTTAATTTCTATGGCAAGAAGAAATCAACCATCGATGATAAAAGGAAATCAACATAATGATCCATCGACTGATATTAATGTTTTATTATTAGGTCAAACTGGTGTTGGAAAATCCACATTTATAAATGGTTTAGCTAATTATTTATGTAATGATACATTAGAAGAAGCTTGCAATGATAAGATTCAATCAGTTATACCATCAGCATTTTCATTTACGGACGATGATACATTCGAACAAAAAACAATTGAAATTGGACAGAAAAATGAACATGAAGATTTTAATGAAGACGGCCGATCATGTACACAACAATGTCGAAGTTTTGTTTTTCCTGTTGGAGATAAAAATTTACGAATAATCGATGCACCTGGTATTGGTGATACACGTGGTCTTGAACAAGATACAAAAAATTTTCATGAAATTTTAACTTACATATCACAATATGAACATTTAAATGGAATTTGTATTTTACTTAAACCAAATGAAGAACGTTTAACAATACTTTTTAGATTTTGTATCAATGAATTACTTAGACACTTACATAAGAGTGCAAGCGAAAATATTATTTTTGTATTTACAAATGCTCGAGCGACTTTTTTTAAACCTGGTGCAACATCAAAAATTCTTCGAGCACTTTTAGATCAACATAAAAAAGAGCATGATGTTGATGTATCTTTTTCAAGAGAAAATACTTTTCTATTAGATAATGAACCATTTAGATATTTAGCATTGAGAAAAAATGGTGTTCGATTAAATAATGATCAAACATTAAGCTATCAAAAAAGTTGGGATCATACTGTTAAAGAATATTCAAATCTTATTAATCATATTGTGACACGTCCTCTTCATGCTGTTAGTAATACACTTTCACTTAATGAAGCTGAACAATTAGTTAGAAAGTTAACACGTCCGATTGCTGAAATAGCAAAACTTATTCAAGAAAATATTCAACTTGCTAAACAACATAAAGAAAATGTCCTTAAAAATCCGCAATTAGCTAATCAAGGTTTACCACAAAATGAAGCTAAAATTATTCCATTAGCTCATCCAAGAACTGTTTGTATTAATGAAAAATGTTGTAAATCTATAACTGTTAATAATCAAACAAAAATTGAATACATATCAAAATGTCATGAAGAATGTTATTTGAAAGG